CAGAAAAAATAGACAATAAGATTTTGTATAGCGCATAAGAACCTCAAAAAGTTCTCCTGTCTAAGTAGCTAACATTTTTAGGCTTCGGTGAAGTTACTGATATAACGTAGCTGGGACGAACTAGAACTACTTTTTTCCTTAGCAACAAAGAGGAAGGAGCCTCATGCGAGGAGTAAGGTAATAAGAAAGCGAAAAGATGCTTTCTCCAGAGCCTGCTTGGACTAACGACCCCTTCCCTCGCCCTCTCATCTGTGTCAGGGACGTTCATCCTCTCTCTCCTTTACCCTCCCCCCATCTTATACACAAATTTAAACCCGCCATATTAATTTTTAATACATGTTCTACTTTGTTTGCAAATAAGCATAGATTACAATAATGTTACATTTTTACAATAAGGGTGTAATTTTTTTTAAAGCAATAAACAGTGAATTAATGATATTTACTATAATTTTATTTCTTTATTCAATTTTAATATTTAATCTAATCATATTTTATTGTTACTATAAATTTATGTTGGTTGATATGCAAAAATTTCAGGTCTACCAAACGCCATAACCACTTTCAAGACCAAAAAGAGGTCTCTATAGTTCACTGATGAAATTTCGGATTCTTTATAAACGCATTAAATTGGTCAATGGTGTTTCAATGAGGAGTTGAAACTTGGCTTGTCCACTATTCAACTTAGAAATGGAAAAAGTAATTAAGGACTCAGGTAGAATATTTGGACTCGTCCTTCAAAACGGTGAAGGACTAACCAGGAGATTTATAATCTCTAACCCAATATCATCTTAAGATGGATGGGTCGTGTGGCAAGTGTGGATGAGGAGCGAATCTGAAGGAATCTGCTTCCCTGGATTGACTGCGTGGTTGTAGACGCTAGGAGACTAGGTGTCCCCAACTGAAATTGTCCAGCATTAGACAGACTCCTAATGATTACTTATAGAGAACAAAACAGGGTTTGTTACAGACCAGCAGAAAGTAAGAACGCTTTTAACGAGGATATAGTCCTAATGTTCATAAAATAATAATAATATATTTATATTAAATTTGTGAATTGAGAACTTTATTTTAATTAAAGCTAACAATGATTCACACCCAACAAAAGGAACTAACGAATCAAACAAGGCATTAAATAAAACTGATCGGATAATAATTTAAATTGTAATTTGATAAAAATACCTGGCTACTTTCTTATTTATCACTCGGTAAATTATTTTTTAAAATCTTTACATTCCTATCTGAATCTTTGCGATCGTTTCACAATATTTAAACAAGCAGATATTTTTCACCCGACGATTTTCTATGTTTCAACTTTCTTCCATTACCATCAACTCCAGAGGTGTTACTCGACCAAAAAACTTTCCAAGGAAATGAGTGGAATCAAATACTTAATTTCGATGCAAATTTTACCAAAAAAAAAAAAAAAAAATTATAATGATCCACAAGAACAGCTCATCACCTCGATATGTTAGATTTAAGAATAATCGAAGCCACATGTAGCATGTACAAACGATCCAAATAATTGTAATGATCTTTAAGATTTTTATTATTTTTTGTACAATAAAGATTAATGTTTAAAATAAAAACGCACATGCTCATTGAAGAAGCAACAGCATTAATCTTAATTTTATCAACTTTTCAGTAAAATAACAAATGTAATAAAATAACAAAAAAAAATATATGTCAATGAAAAGAACAGCATTTTTTGATCAAGAAGAAATAGACATTTTCATCGTAAAAATAATAACTTAGAGCCTTTCAACCAAATATCAGTGATATATCTCTGACCAGTATGTAAAATATATATATATATTTTATTGTACCCGTTGGAGTACTCTGAATTCCGTTAAGCTAATATTTTCTGCAGACTCAACGAGAACTTTGAATAAAATGGAGTGCGAATCTTAATTTCAGTATAAATTGAGATGTGTGATGTTTCTTCTACTTTGGCGATATACAACTAAGAACTGAAAAAAAATCGAATGAATATAAATATTAAACTGAACTGTTTGGCCAATTAGTTAAATATATATTTTGATAACATAATTTTTTTCTTTTTAAATTTCTGTAGAGCTGAAATTCTATGGAATCGATCAAAAATTTATTCACAAAACAATTAATTCCGTATTTCCATCAAACCACCCACTTACTTCAACGAAAATGAATGTACGTACTTAATTTTCTTTTTTGGTATATAATTTATATTGTAGTTATATTTTCATATTTAACAACTTAGTGACAAACGTTCAATAGGTTTTGGAAAAATTCGCCATATAAACTATGATAGTGCAGAAACATACATATATAGAAAATTTTGTCTAAAATTACATTTTATGAACTCAATATTACTACCTATTGTTACCTATATTATACTTACGAGTAAATATTTACTAAAATAAGCAATATGTAAATTAAATAAACTATTAAAATTGGATTTTTTAGACTAAAAATTTAAAAAGGTGTATTATTTATATATTGAAATAAAAATTAAATTCTCTGAAGTATCCCCAAAAATATTTAAATAATTTATCATTTTACAGCCGCGATAAAATCAATTATTTTACTAACTTGAAAAAACATATTGTACTAATTTTTCTTTTTTTCAGACTTTGTCTCCGATTGCATCAGATATTTTCTTATCAAATTTCAGATAAGTACTTTTATAATAGTTAAAATCTATTAAAATATCTTCAGAAAAAATATTAATATTCAATGTTGTTTAAATATTACATTTCAATTTGTATTTCGCCATAATAAAAAATCACATGAACTTCGCATTAGTTCGAATTCTTACAGCATGTAAAAGACAATTATATAGAAACCTTTTTCAATCAAACATTTTTTTGTGTTACAAGTACAAATTACCTATTATAGGTAGGAAAGTAAAAAAAAAAAACGTACTTAGTAAGTGATATAAGAAAAATAAAATAATATTAGATTAAATAAATAATAAAAATAAATAAATCAGCCAGAGATCCAAAACATCAAAATCTGTAGGTCAATTTTTTCTCCTATTACGATACTTTCTCTACTTATACATTGCAGACGAGAAAGTAACTGATAAATATATTTCAGCACTACACCCAAGGGAAGAATAACAAATAATAATTTTAATTGATTATTATTGAATAAAATATATAATAAATTATCAATGGAAATACTACATACTAGTAATCTCATTTTAAATAATAAAAAATAAAATGATCCAATTTAAAGTTATAATATTATTTTAAACCTTCAAACTTATTGGGCCACGGGCCGCATTAAGACCTCCGCTAAGTCCCCGGGACATGGTTTGCGATCTTGGTTGAAATCTTGTTCTATAAATGACACTTTAGCTGTGAAATAAGCTTTCCAAGAGAAACGACACATGCAATAAATGTTGAAGTAATCTCCTGTTTGAGTGATTTACTAAATTTCGTGGTTTTTAAATTGTTTTAAAAATATACTATGTGAACAAGAAAACTTCCGCGGAGCGGATTGGAGAAGATTTCGGGCCGTAATTTGGAGACTCCTGCTTTAAGCTAACAAATAAATAAGCAAATTCAAAATCATTTTCGTAATCAAAGACTATTTCTTAGAAACGTTAATACGTTTCTTACTATATGTATATAAATATTTAATGCAAAACATCATAGTTATAAAATATAAAGATCCGCATTTTAAAAATACTTAACTAAAATTAAATTCTTTAAGTTAAAAAAAAACATGGATATTTAAATTTAATAAAAATACAAATATTTATTGAGGGATTAATCCAAAGACAAGCAATAATGTTTTAATAAGGTTCCCATCGATAATTATGTGAAAATTATAAAATAAGAGGTTAACCATAACAAAACATAACTTACACGTTTCTGGCTAATAAAAGAAATTTATTTTAAGAACATATAGTATAACTCACAAATTAAATAACATTTAAAATAAATATTTTTACATCATTTAACAACTTAGTATGAAATTTTAAATGTACAGTTTCAAGGAATGCTCACTTGACACCGCTAGTGTCCTTGTTGGGCTGACTGATAACAGTCCGGTACAAATTTAAATACAGAGACGTGCAAGAGACATTTAAAAAAGAATTTAGCTAACACTAGTCCAATAATGTTTAACTTCTTGCATAATTTCGAGTTTAACACACATAAGGAAGGAAAATATAAACCTAAAGAAGGCATATTAGTTTAGGATTGTCACACACCCTTGAAATGATAAGAACTGCCTGGATGAAAATTGCATTTGTTAATACAAACTCAAAAGAGAAAAAATATATTTTAAAAAGAACAAACATATTTAAAACTATAAAAATATATTGTAAATCAGGTCGAAAAAAAAATTAATTAATTCGATACACAACATTAATAAAAAGATTTTTTTTCTGGCCAATCACTATCACGTTGACAATCCACTAAAGATTGAAAATGATAAGATATGATACCCCTGACCTGTATCTTAGATTAAATCAATAACTTAGTAACTAATAAGAGCAACAATTTGACAAAATAAAAATTACCTGGCATTTTATTCCGATTTTCTCAGAAAGTACAGGATGAAATCCGGTTGATTTAATTTTCACAAATGCAGCAGAGGTTTTTTTCCGAGCCTGAGTATTCCGACCGATTTGACACAATTTCTCTAAACCCCGACCACAAAGACGACTTGACCCTATACAAGCCATAGTACAAACTGTTCTGAACAGGCGGACTCCCAGTACATTACTCTACTACTCTCCCAGACATTTGTAAAGATCAGCTGTTGCCTACTCTGCATCCTGAAAACATATCTCATGGGGTTTCAGTGAAATATTGCGAACGATTCAAAAAAATATACTCAATATAATTTTCTAAAATATTATATGACCTAATCTTTGACTGTACTCAGAGTATTAAACGGTTATAACATTTCTTTAATTTCTAACCATTATATTTTCGGAAAAGTTGATAGATGCTACTTTCATTACTCCAGCTGATAAGGTTTGTTATTGTAACCTCCTCATCAGCGACATGCTTCTTAATCGTTTAATTTGTAAAAGTCGTGAAATTTATTTTAAATTAGAATCTCAGGTTTTATTTTGTTTTTTTGGAACTCCATTCCCTCAAGGTTCAGTAATCTGTGTAACTATTGACCGTTATTATAAAATCTTGGACAAAATTACTGCATCACTTTATTTATTTAAAAATGATCCTATATCTATAGATTTTATAAATGTATTGAAACGTTATAACAGAATAATCCATGGTTTGTCTTTTTATTTCTGTTTACGTTTGTGATAACCTCAAGAGAGTTTTTTTACATTCATGTTCATCACTTAACAAATCATTTGATTCCATAATGCTTTAAAGGTGTTGACTTGAGTAGATTATATTGATGCTGTCCACTTGCCATAGATATGACAGGTTTATTCCAATACAGGCCTTAATGATCATATTTTAACCAAAAATCAACTCGGAAGTCTATTATGGCCCATCTGCCGGGTAATGATTTCCATTTCGAGAGCAAAGACTTATTGAAGCTAATCTAAGAGCTAAAAACCATCTTTCCACCAGAAGAAACTTACTTAAATTTACTCATGACAAACATTAATTTTAAGTATTAAAGGCCTGAAGAATTTTCTATATATTGATGATTAGATAGCTTTATTTTTATTTTCAGGTGCCCAATTATATGACCCCACATATATTATTCCAAGGAGTCTGAAACATGTTTCTGAGGTAGTAGTATTCTTGATGCCTGAATAGAATTAGTGGTTGTACAGAGTAAACACTTAAATGCTCAAATGTGTGTGAAAGATTGAGAGAAAATCTCTGTATACCATTCCACTTACGTTGGAAATACAACTTTCTGCAGCATGTTTATAAATACAAACATTCTGGAGGTATTCAACTCAGAGTGTAGTTAAATACTTCCAGAATGGTTGGATTTTATATTCCTAGAATGGCCATTGAATAATCTAGACGGTAATCCGATATGCATGTAAGTGTATGGTGCAAGTTCTATTTGTAAAACCAGAATTCCATTCCTAGTAAAGTTGAAAACAGTAGTTACAGAAGAATCAGACAATACAATCCAGTAATTTGTTAATAACCTATTTAAGGGTAGGTGATTTTTTTTGTCTTGATTCATGAAACAGGCTGTAGCAGGAGCTATTAAGTCTTTTTTTTCAATTTCAGATTACCTAAATATTTATCATAAATAGATAATTTTTATTAAATCTTAAAACTTAATTAAACCGCTTAACATACTAATTTCGAGGTGATGCCTTAATTTTATCCAGGAGTTTATATTTTAATTTTTAAACTTACCATTGTTATTTATATTTCAATTTTTAAAAATACTATTGTGACTAATCATTTAATTTTTCCATTTCTTTTCTATAAAGGTTTCAGTTTCAATCCTATCTGTGAAACAGCTTTAAACCATAATTCTATTTTACCAAGCCCGGAAAATGTCTTGCAAAACGCATTTTTATTTGCTGTACCAAAAAGTAGAAGGTCAGTTGAGAAAAAAAGAAACCGTAAATTTGGTTTTCCTCAATACCATTGGAAACTGTTAGTTCCAAAAAGAAATATTTTGATGTGTGACACTTGCGGAAGTGACTATGAAGCAGGTCATCTTTGTGGTATGTAATAGTATTATAATATGTAAGTATTGCTAATAGTGTTCATACATGTTACAACAAAAATTGTTTACAAATATTTCAGCTAAGCTAATGAAAATCATAGTATGATACTTTTCTAAATCATACTAAAACTATATTAATATTTTGCAAGACTTGCTAATAAGTTTAGAAGCAGCTTGCTGAGCAGAAGCTTGACATTGTCAATCTGTTCTCGCTTCTTACTTATCCTCTCCTAACTGCGCTCCTCTCGAAGATGTGTCCTGTCCTACTGGACGGCATCGACCTCCACCGTGATGTTGTATGCCCCCAGGAGATACCGAGGATTGGGATTTATCCACTGCCAGTGGGAGGCTGCTCTTCAGCATTGGTCCATTGCTAAGCAGGTGTCCAATGTATCAGATGCCCTTTTCCAATCACCTTTCGATTATTCGGCTGAAGTTGCTGAATGTGCCGAGATATTGGGGGTTGATCCAGGTCACCGAAATATGAGAGCTCTATGGCAGTCGCTAAGAGAAAATTCGTTCTGAGGAATGACACCCCGAAATCGAATAAATACATGTATGAAAGGCAAGTACTTTCTGGGTCTGAATGGTCGAATGCCCTGAAACTAAACATTAATTATGCCCCAACAACTCCTTCCTCATAACATGTCGGCACCATTGATTCACAAGTTCGAGTTGATGAGACTCCTTAGGGAAAAGGAATTCACCTTTGGCCTTTGACGAGGTCTATTGTATCGACAGTGAAGGCTCTACAAGATATGCGGATATTGTCGCATTTCTCAAGAAAGGAAGGACAGCACTGGATCCAACTCTCTTCTTTGAGAGCAATGACCTCAATCAGGTGAGTGAAGTGGAAAGGGAAAAGAAGATATGACAAATGTATCCCTTTCCTAAAAGAGAAGTTCCATGAGACATTTGGAGAGAGAGGGGCCTTTGGTTTGCGTCTAGCAGAACGATTTCAAGTAGAACAAGGAGCTTTCTCTAGGAATTAGGTGTCGACATTAAGGATGTAGCGAGTTTGGCTGAAAATATAGTCCTCAACTCCCTGGGAATCATTCACCATCACATGCATGGATTGGTGACAATTTTAATTTATTTATTGAAAAAGTTTTATTGCAATAAATTGTATATACACTTTTCTTTTTGTTATTGTTTGTATTAAATAGTTTAAAGCCTTTTAATAGAATAGAAGAATCAACTTTATTCTTAGACCAAGTCCCATAAGAATAACAGTATTGATCATAAAAATTAACATTACATCTGGCCAAAATGCATATTACAATAAAAGAATAACTAAAACATAAGGAATAACAGAAGTATTTACTTAGCTACATTTATATATTTAAAAAAACAGATGAGCAATAAGGTCACAGATTTTAGGGAGAGAAAGGGAAATTAAATGAAAAAAAAGTGCATGAACAAGGAAAAAAAAAAGATATATATTTATTATACTCACACTTATTAACCGTTTCTATATATTTATGTATAAGCTTTATTGATTGTCCTAAAGATTAATCAGTATGCTGTGTGTCCAGCAACCCTATATGATTGGGCAGCAAGCTTTTATATTTTATGTGAAAATAAAGTGTTTCTCTCTTCTCTATATATATTACAGTTTGATGCATTTTGTTGCAATTCTATTACCATATTTTAAATAATACCATTGTTCTATCTGTAATATTATCAGATTATTCCAGGTAAAAGTAAATAGGGTGTTAGGTGGAAATTTCTGAGTTCTTTAATGATTTATGGTGTTATCTTCTTTGTAAATATTGGAACGCAATATAGGGCTTCAATTATGAACATTTTAATGTGTAACAATATGCAGGTCCAATTTTTTGTTTTTGAGATATTTTAATCCATATGAAAAAACACTTAATTTAGCCAACTTTACCCAAGCGTTACACATTGGAGATTTGATGGCTCAATCTAATTCACTCTCCACAAAGAAAAGTGCAAAACATGCCAAAAAACTTTTCACTTAAAAAAAAAATATTTGAACCATAAAACTTCCAATTAACCAATCTTGGACTTTTTCTTTCTTAACTATTGCCTTTATCTAAACTAATTGAGCACATTACAGAATGTAACATTATGAGTTCTGAGCAGAGTCTCTCAAAAATATCTTAAAAGTTGAGAATCAGACTTATCTATCGGTACCTATTGAATTATTAATTTACTTTTAACACAACAAAAAAAGTTTCACATGTATGAAATTAAATTATCAAAATTGTTTTATTGCTAATATGATTCTCAAACTTATTTTAAAGGTTATTGCTACAATCAAGTAAAACTAGAAACAGAAGAAATGCAAAAAGCAATTCAAGATGAATTAAAGTTAAACCCTGTTGACAAAGAAGTTACAGTTGTTTATGAAGGTGAAGCAACAGGAAAACCCGAACACTTTTGGAAGGTATTACATATTTGATTTTTTGTATGCTTTTGCAAAAAAAAAGTTATGATGCTTGCCACCATTTACCCACCAGAGTGGGTGTATTAAAATTAATTTCTTGGTGTCTCTGAGAAATTAATATTGTATTAACCGAGCCAGGAGGGACCCTCACCCCAATGTTCTCAGCCATCTCGTCCTCTCTTCTCAAAACGACTTCTTATAATGAAGTAAACAATTAATTATATTTTCAGATACCTATTATATTCTATACATAGATAAAATTTATTCTTGAATTTTAATTTTATTTCATTATAAATTAACATGGTGCTAGAGACAGACAGCCGATTCTAGTGAAACTTTTTTTTGTGATACTAGGTCAAAAAATATTGAATCCATGTCCGAGAGTTCTTGCCAATCCTTCCTAAGGGAAGAAAATCCTGAGGGGTTATGAATGGTTTACTGAATGGGAGGGTAGATAACATTTTTCAAAAAAATAAAGTCCAACATTTATATTTATGACCTAAAAAATCAATTTTAAATAAAAGTAAAATCAAAAGTTTACTTAAAGCCAGGGGTGGGGTGGTGGAGCATAACAATGGGGGTGAACATTTTTTAACAACCTAGTGATGTTAGTAAAAGGAGAGGTTATGGAAGTGAGGACACTAATTTCAATGAAACTTTTTTTGTTACTACTAGTTCGAAAAATATTAAATCCATATCTGAGAGTTCTTGCTAATGGGCCCTAGGAGCCGAGAAAAAAAAAAGTTATATTTTTGTAATACTGTTTTCAGACTTTGCTCTTCATGGATTTCTATGTTATTATTCCCCAATCGATTTGCTTTTTCGTGTAAAATAAGAAAAATATACTAATTTTCCTAAACGAATTCTTATTTATAATAAATTACAAAAATCCAGAGACGTTTCTAGTAAAGTAGGCCAAATAAATTTTTATCATTAAAAAATGATTCAGATTCGTTTTTAGGATACACAAAAATTCTTAAATACAAGTTTGTTTTGAAACCAAACAATATAAATTGTTTACTTAATTTGATGGGAGATTTTTTTTCATACCGTATACTATAATATTCATAACTCCTGAGGAATTTCTTCCAAGTCAATGTTACTACAACCGTAGGAAAGCTAAACTATTTCTCTTTAAAACCATGCCAATTACTTTTGTATTTTACATCTTTACAAGGAATAAATCAAGGAAAACTCCCTAAATGTTTTTATTTTTAATCTCCAAGCCTAATTTATTTGTGGGTGTCTGATTTGTGTACATTATAGGGTCCTAAATTCATCCAATTTTCGTGAGAATAAGTGGAGTCATGTCAAAGTTATCACAACTTCAGTGATTTTAAGAAAAAAATTGAAGGCTGGAAAATTTGGAGCAAAAATTTTTATTTTTCGATTGATATGAAAATTCATATTTAAAAGTTTCTTGAGTTGCAAATACAAAGCTCAACTTCGTTTCTCCTAGAAAAAATATTTGAACCTGCTTTACTCCTTATGTCAGTACTAATTGATTCAATATTTTATTCGTACTACAGCTGTATGCCAAATAAATAATTTTTTTCTAAACAGGATGGGAACGCACCGATAGTAGGATTATGAGATCCATCTATTTTTATTTCCCTTATGAGATCCATCTATTTTTATTTCCCTTATGAGATCCATCAATTTTTATTTCCATCTAAGCTTTATAGTAGGTATTAGTACAGCAAAATATATTAATTTTTCAATTGTTCTGATAATTTTCTCAATGTTTAAATATATTTAACAGTTGTTATTATTTAAAATTATCATTGCAATAGAAAAATAAATATATTTTGCTGTACTAATAACTACTGTAGAGTTATAAACAAACTCTTATTTAAGATTTATTGTGGACCCTAAATAAAATGAATCTGGATCGTATTTTCATTTCAAAAATTTACTTGGCTTACTTAACTGAAAGCGTCTGTGGATTTTTATAATTTATTATATATAAGAATTTGTTTAATAGAATTAGCGTTATGTTTTTCTTATTTTACACAATAAAGCAAATTGATTGGTATAAAATAACATGGAAATCCATTCAGAGAAAATTCATAAAACGGTATTACAAAAATATAATAAAATTTTATATATTATTTTTTTCTCAGCTCCTAGAACTCAAGAAGCCTTGGATATGGGTCTTATATTTTTCAACCTAGTATCACCGAAAAAAGTTTCATTGAAATTATTGATCCCACGTCCATAACCTTCCCGTATATAAGTGATGACTGCAGTATTCCCATTTTGGTTGTGACAGAATCATTGAACTTAAAGAGTCCCTAAATAAAACTTCATTATGACATTGAAATGCCAACAAGAAACAGTTATTATGCAGAGAAAAAAGTTCATCACCATAGTAGTGATTAGATTAAAACAGAAACAATTAATAATTGAAAAATTAATTTAAACTAAATTTATTTTTCCAGGACAAAAGGGTTGTAGAAATGAAGAAGCCCAGACCTGCTTGGTTTAGTAAAAATTTGTTACAGAAAAGTACTGCTGATAACTCAGAAAATAAAAATTTAAAACCTACTGATTTAGCTTAACAATTAAGTACTAAGTTAGTTTTAGCTAGTTTCATATTTTGAAGTGTTATTTTTTTCACAAATAGCTGTATCAACTCTATTTTTATTTAACTAAATAAATTGAATGTATCTCAATTATTTTGTTTGATTGTATCCTGTAATTAATTTGATTTCTTATTAAAAGTAAATTGTTACTGCTTTACTGCAACTAGCCTTAGTTGGGAGACCCCTAAATTACATGGACATATTTTGAAATAAGATTAATAGTCTGGGATACAGACCCCTTTTTATCAAATTACTAAAACTTCATGAATGGCTTCATCTTTATTTAACCTACAACTTTTTTATCTACACAAATTCTCAGAAATGGGGCATGTTATCATTAAATTAATAATTTAATGAAGTAATAAAAACTGATGAAGTCATTTGCTTTCCACTTAAATCGTAAGATAATTTGATTACAAACTGAAGAAAAAAGGTGACCTATACAAATAGTGGGTTGTTTGGCCTAACTTCGATATATTGGAGGTGAAGGTCACGCCAAATGTGTGTCTTTTGTCGGCCACATTTTTCTCAACTTTGTGATCAAATTATCTTATATTTCAAATGGAAAGTAAGTGTTTTTAGTACCTCATTAAATAGATACAGTTTACCAATCTCTAGATTGAAAACACATAATATGAAGTCATTCACGAAGTTTTAGACAGATTTTAATAATTTGATAAAAAGGTATCATAACAAGGTATCAGACTATAAAACTATTTACCTGATAAACAAAAATTATATGTGGTGTGATCCTCCATTCATACTGTTTATGAATTTTCAATACTTAATTGTTTTTTGTCATATCCTTCTATTTTCTTTTTTAGATGTATTTATCCTAACATTTATTTTTATAATGACATTGAATATAACTAGATCATGGTCATTACCGTTTTATATTTTGATTTTATATACGAGAAAACTGTTTTTTTTTTTTTATATTTCAGAAGTGTGATTTAAATAATTTTGTTAAGTAATTGGTTTGTTGTAAAGTTCTGATTATGAAAGTGTTTGACATTTTTTTCTTTTTGATCTCAAATTTGTTTATTGTGCTATAACATTAGAATTTATTCCATAATTACCGGCCAAAATTAAATATCTATTGCTAATTAATATGGTTCAAAAAGAAAGATCGTTTTCCTTATTATATCGTTTAGCAACAAATCAAAGCATTTATCAAATTAATGATAACAGTAAAGTGCTACGTTTGTTGATTATATCAATGTTGCTTTTGACATAAATATTTTGAATCGCATGTTGAGAACTTGTATGAGAAATGGAACTGGTTCCAGTAAATGGATTTCAAAAATTATTTTATTGTTAACTTGATTATTGTGGATGTTCTATTTTTTGTTTGACTTATGTTACACGTAAGATAAGTAAAACAGAAAATAAAGTATCAATTTTACACTTGACAAATCAAAAATCTTTAAATGCTCTTTTCCCAAACCAGAATGCAAAAAAATCTATAGAAATTACCTTATAATAAAATATTGAAGGTTGGCCATACATTCCATTCTAACATGTATTAAAGCTTCAAACCAGAATTCTTGTATTAAATTGGGTGGGACATGTAGATAGTTTATCTAGGCCTCATAACCATTGTACATTCCTGATTTTCATTAAGCAAATAATTTCATGAAAGTAAATAGTTTTTCATATCCCTAGTTTTTATTTTTATAAATTATTTTCCACTTTTTTTTTTTTTAAATATTCAATTGGGCAATAAATTAGAAAAAAAGTGGAAACTTCACAATTTATTTATAGAAAAAAATTAACTTTTGTGTATATTTATCAGTTCTTATTCTCTACAAATTTATTATATTCGCAATACTTTTCCTTAATTTTTGTAAGCAGTTGATTTATATTTTTCCAACTTTTGTTTAAACAATTTTCAGGCACTAGGAAGTAATTATTATAACTAAATTTTCCTCTTGATGTCCAATGCTATAAAGGATAATGTCCAACTAAGCTTTTTAAATTAAATTTATATAAATAAAATGCATTATATAAATAAAACATTATTGTAAGTGGACAATGCAGCAGATCCATGTTGCCTGTTATCTCTGTGTCAACTGAGCTAAAGTGGTCAGTAATGATTGAAAGTGTAGGTCTCATCATGATTGGAGCAATCTTTGTAAGTCTTGTGATTTTCATTCACGACTGATTGTGTAAGGTTCCTTTAAGCCTTCTTCATTCTCTCAACTTTTTTTTTTCTAACCCTCCAATTTCATTTATTAATAACTAAGTTCAAAGATATAAGAAAGAGAATTAGTGGTTATTAAGTGCTAGAATGAACCCCTTTCTCCTATATTACTATTTTTTATAAAACTGAAAAGGTATGTAACTTGAGTGGACCATGAAAAGAAATAGTAGAACAGATGTTTAATGTTGGCTCAAGCAAATCTATACTTGAATGGAATGAAAATTTTCGGCATATTCCTTACTGAGATAATAAAAAACAAAATAATTTTGACAAAACTTTTTGGTTTTCAGTGGATATTTTCTTAAATTAATACATTGCCAAGGAACTGAAATTTAAGAAATAAGCGTATTTAGCTTTATAGTTTTAAAATGAAATTTTATCGAGGCATTGTATTAAAAAGTAGTTAACTGTAATCATTATATAATTATTTTTTTTATAAAACAAGAATGAACAACTTCAGGTATTTAATAAAATAATGTAATAAAATAGTCTAAGGTCAAGTATTTATTCTACCAAAATAAAGTGCATGAATTCTTCATTACATCTTTACATGTGATTCATTTTCTTTTTTATTAATAACAACAAATTAGTACAAGACTCTTAACAAACATAAAGGTACATGAAATTCAAAAATTTAATTTATTTATAAAACTACCCAACGTCCTTACATAGTAGAACAATATTTTAAAATTTTAACCAAATTAAATTTTACTGTTTTCATAATTGTTCATTAATTGCACAGTAACTTTCCATTATGCCTATCAGACTTATACCATGCTAGTTTCTATAATTATTAATGGAATTAAAATAATCCTATAAACAAAAAATTATCATAATTTCCACAATTTGATTTACAATTTATTAAAACTGTTTATTCACAAGCAATTTATATGTTTTGAATGAAATATGTAGAAAACATGCTACGTGTATCTGTTGTTAGTGGTAAGGTTTTCTCATGGTTTAATATTCAAAAGGAAACAGGAAATTGGTTGCTTTTAACTCTAGAAAACTACACGAAAACCATCAAATGCACAAGTTGATGTATTAAAAAGAACATAATCTCTAAGTAAGCATAATTTTGAGAAAAATCAAAAAGTAAATCCGAAAATAAATATTTTTTTTTTTTCCATCGTTTAGTAACTATTTCAAAATTGTATATGCAGGCAGACCAATTGTAGGGTAGCTAATTGACAATGTCAAGCCACATTTACAAAGAGATAACACCCTCAACTAATTATTTATTATATAAATTGTCTTCTAACACTGATCTAAGTTGTAAGAATAAAACATCTAAATCATAAAGCATCTAACATCACTCTAATAACAGATAAGCTACAGATCTGTAAATGTAACATTAATTTTATTAACATTACTGAATTGTGCTTGTTTGAGGTGAAATAATTGATTCATAAGATATTAATTAATATATATTTAAACACCACATGATAAAATTAAAATTTTTCATGAGGAAAACAAAATTATATTATTACGTTTGAGCATAAAATATTAAAATTAAATTTGTACATTATCAAGGCCTGGATGGATGAAGCTCGCAATCGACTTTTAAGATGTTGCTATTCATCCCAACTCCCAGAATATTAAATATCTCATACATCATATGCAGAATATATCAATTACAACTAAGTAAACAAGAAATAAATAAATAATTTAAAGAAAAACTTATGTTATAATTTTACGAATTGCACTTCAACTTGTTAAACAAACCTACAATTTTGTATATATGATTACTAAAACTGAATTGTTTTCATTCATTGTTGTCAGCGCCCAAAAAGGCTCGGCTTAGAACTATTAACACAGTTGCGTTTTTTCAACATTGCAGAGCTGGGACGGGATGTTATATAAATAAAATGCATCATTTAATAGGTAATTAACAGTCAAATGGTAAAATATTTAGTAAGGTAAAGTAAAAGTTAATTCCAGTGAAAATGAAAACAAATTAAATATTGACCAGATACAATTTACAGATCTAATTGATAAATCACATTTTAATAAAAATCCAATATGTAAAAAGGGTCTTAAAATTAAAAATAAATAAAAAGTATATTATTTCTAAGAAGAAAGAAAAATTATCTTCAAAACATTTTTCTTTATAAATGCTTCACACTACGTTCCTCACTATAAGTACAGACGACTTCATCATACAAGCAAAATGAAAACATTAATTCATAAAAAACAAAATGTTTGACATCAATTTTTTAAGAAATAATGTTTGATTTAATAAAAATATCAGTAAAGATAATCAAACAACATAAAATTCTATTCACAAAAAATCAATAATCCACATATTACTCTTTTATATACAATTGTATTTTATAATGATGGTCACGTTTAACTACATTATTTTTGCCAGAATTCATGCTTTATCTAAAGGCCTACCTCATTTTACATAATACAACCACATTTAGAGAGGCAGCTGAATATATTCTTTATATTATAACCATGAAACATCATTTTTATACAGTCAATATCATTCATAATACAAAATCAAACTTATAAGCAAATTATTGTAAAATTACTTTCTGGCCAAATATTATTTGACCCCGATATGTAACTGTTAATTTAAAGTTGTATTTTAAAAATATATATATATTTTTTTTAGTTTTTTTTTTTTCTTTCTCTTAGGGAAATATTCCAGGAAGAAAGATAAGGAGTGGGATATAAGACACTGTGTACTCCTGATGTACATTACATCTAGCTTAAATTTTGAGTACCAGATGTGAATCTTTACCATTCTTTTTTTTTAAAAACTCATCACATAGGGAGTGATTAATATTAGATAACTAATTAAAAACAAATTAAAACGACATTTATTTCAGATATTTATATATAGTGTGTAGTGAAGGGAGAAGGTAAAAGTGCCTAACTCCGCTTGTTACGCACTTTGAGTATCGCCCTTGACTTTTTTGGTCGTTTTGATACTGCAGGGGGTGGAGTATCTTCAGATTTACGTTTTAACTGAGGCAATGGAGGTGGTTCAGGCCATAATTCACTTGTTGATGCCTCGTCCATAGCACTCGTTCCCTGGGTAGCAAGGAATTGAAGATCCTCAGCAGTTAGCCCAGTAGTTGTTTTCCCACAGGATACACAAAGAGAACTTAAAGGAGATTTAGACCTCCAATATTGCAACTCAGTTTTGCATTTGTTCAATTCCTAAAAAAAAACATATTAAAAAATATTTAAATAACAATCAGTCTAAATGAAGTAAATACACAACTTATCACAGAAGTTCTCTAAGTAAATTCAGACAATCATAAGTCAATGAATCAATGATTTAAAACTTGATTTTTTTGTTTTAAATAATTAATTCTGCTTTTAGAAAATGATCTTTAAACTCATAATAAACATTTCATTATCAGTAAATGCATTCTTTTAGAAGGATTAATGTACTACAATACTTAACAACTTCTTGCTGATTTTTTTATTATTGCAATTTAAAAAGAATTATATAAAGAGAGAAGAGAAGGGGAAAGGCCTATTAGAAAGGTTAAATTAGCCCGATTGGGACTGACGTTCTTCCAGAGGGATGTTATCAACATGTATCTGTACCAACTGCCTTACTAATGGTTTACTTACTATAATATAATAGCAACAAATTATTTTTGGAAAGTGGCAGAAACTTGCATAATTTATTTCACCAAGGTTTAAGTTGCCAGATATATTATTTCAGTATATTGAAATTTACATTTTCAAAAGGAGCAAAACAAAAACTTTTATTAATGTGTACCTAATTTTTTTTTTTAACTATTTGTATCTGTATAATCATGAACTCTCAGTGATTATTTGAGGATTTAGATTCTTTATTATTATGAGTGAAAATTATTTTTAATAGTTTTTAGGGATCATGCAAATAAATACATTTACACTCTTGTCCGATTGTTAATAGTGAAAAACTAATTCCTAATTTTTTATATGATTGTACACATTCCTTTAACAATTTTAAGGAAAAAAAATTCAAAACATAACTCAAACATTAGCTAGTCACTGAAGGGATAAATTGACACAAGAAAAATTTATACATTAACATGTAAACATTTTTAAATTAATTTTATCTATCAATATGCTGACATCTGAAAATAAAAGGAAAAATGAGCATACCTGAAGAAGTGTGCTAAACTTCCTCGAAGTTTCATCACTCTTCTTGTCATAATCATCAAGTCGTGAAGCATATTCATGAAACTGTTTCTGCTGATCAGCAATCTTTGCTTTACAAGATCGTAATTCCCGCTTCATAAGAATTAGTTGAGAGTTGTACCTATAAATAAAATAATGAATATAGTATTCGAAAAGAATTAATAAAAATAAAATTTTGGAACATATTTATTATTACATTAATAAATACAGAAAAGTGTCAGTTATTCGGATAATTGAAGGAATTATACATAGAATAAAACTGCAACTAGTTAAAAAAAAAAAGAACATAAATTATATATTTTTATTTAAATGTTTAACATCGTGATGAATTTATATGCAATTATAGTTAAAAATCATTACAAAACTCTTGAGAGTTTTATTATTTTCAAAAACAGAAAAGAGTAATTTCAGAGAACATAAAGTATAACGAGAAACGATTGTAGTTAAATAATTTTTTTTTACTTTTGCTTACCTATATATTAAATGTACAGTAGAGAAAAGTGTTGCGATTGTGTGAAATACTGAAAACAATTTTCAATGAAAATAAAAGTTTTGAGATGACGCCCTAAGTAAAAAAAAACAATTTTTGCAAAATGGTCTCAGCCTGTATGTATGTGTATGAACAAACAAGTCAACTCAAAAATGATAAGTCTTTATTATGATTACATACTTAAATTTTATGATTACTTACAAACTTGCATAATATGTTATCTACATCATAGGCGAGGAACACGCAGTCACAAATAGTATAAATGTGGCTTTTATAAATGATATCTCTGATATTAATAATAAATATTTAATTATATAAATTATGAAAATCTGATAACTAAAATTAGTATATATACCTAATAAAAATACCCACAATGATAAAACACGTTCCCTGTCTTTGTACTATATTATAATCAGCAGTTCTCTCTTTTTTTTTTAACATAGAGTACTAAAAAAATATGGATATAAATGAATTTAAGTTCGGTCTAAAACCACAAAATCCAATTAGAAAATTATTATCGAAAACAAAAGACAAATCCCTGATTTCAAATCAGCTTAATTTAGTATAAAATTTAGCAAAAATTGTGAAGTCGTATATTGGGACGACATCGACCGACCTAAAAACACATGTATACAACCATAAAAATAATTAAAAAGCAAAATCAAAAACAAATACGGCCTTATCAAACCATGTTAAAAACCATACACATGAAAAGCAGAGGTAAATTCCAAGTAGCCAACGCCTGTACTCTATTAACTTAACTACATAATAATTGAGATGATAATCCTTTATGAAGACATTTTAACTTATTATGAATTTTTAAAAATATTATAATTGTAAATGTTATTGAAAATAGGTAAACAAGTATATTATTGTAATATGAAATTAGGAATGGATCAAGAAAAATGGGTGCCTTAACCTATAAAAAAGTTGAGGCTCCTCAAAATAAAATTTAAAATTAAGATGCCATAAATTGAACTTTAATTTGGTAACTAGGTAAATGCGGTAACATTTAGAATGAATATTTCTTTGATGCTGAATCAAATGAACAAGACTCCAAATCAATACGACCAATAGTAAATAAGTTAATTTCAATATATACGACCAATATAAAATAAAATAAAGTCAGTATAACCAATAGTATAAATGTTATATATTTAATTTACAACCAATAGTTAATATTTTCATTGTACCACTAGATGAACGGTCTTCGATTTAGTACTTTGAAAAGGAATCCTATTTCTAGGCTTATCATACAAGTAAAGGTTTTTATATTAAAAAGCCAAAAATTGTATGCATAAACCTGCTTAAGCATATGTTCATTATGAATTTGTAGGTATTTTAGACGCAAACATTGTTGTATGTTACAATGTATGTTACAACATGGTTGTAAAGGACCCAAATGATGTTAAGAAAATATCCACTTGGTATTGTACACATAATCCTTTTTCTATCATACAAGTGGTAAGGTTGACTGCAACAGAAGTTACATTAGCAAATTGTAATGATAAACTGACCCTTTATGGAAATAATGTCGGCAGTAATTCTTAAGTGATGGAAATTCTTATTTGGTGTTAGGTCCAGATATTGTTGTAAAGCAGGATCCAGATGACGTTAAGAAAATAGCCTCATGGTATTGTAAATTGTAAAAATGGTAAATTTGCAAGAGTAAAAAGACAATGATAATCAGAAACAATAGTTTATCGTTCATTAAATGGTCTACCTTTTAAAACTTCAGCAGTCTTACCTGTTAAAACAATCTTGTTGAATGGGTTAATGAATTAACTGAACCGTATCCTTATGGAATTCTATTATACACCTAACCCACAATGCTCATCCACTTTCTATATATAGCATTTCCAAGTCGATTTCAACCTTTTCCAAATCAAATTAAACCTTTTCCATTTCAAATTCAACCTTTTTTTATTTATTTAATTATTTTTAATTTTTCGATGTGTGGGTCTGTTATCGTATGAGTAGTCTACTTTTGTTTCAGGAGCCATAAATTTTTAAAATGACCCCATTTTAAGTTTATGCCAATGTGTTTTGGATTATAAAAGTTTTTTTGACTTTTTCGGTATAAGGATCTACTTATATGTTATCGGAGACATAGTATTTGAAATTTTTCTAATCTCTAATATTTAATCTCCATTTTATGATTACACCGCTGCATCTCGATTAATTAAGCTTCATTTGGTTTTCAATACAAAATTTCATCAATATGTTTTCGAGTATCAATAAATAAATAAATAGATTTTATGAAGCTAAGGTTAAATTAACCACGAAACACAAACTAAAAAGCCGAAAAAAGCAACTGATAATAAATTTAACCTACCATATTCAGATTTTTCAGGTAATTGTTCGAAATCTTATAATTTTGCTATAGGAGACCACATTATTAAAAATGATAACTAAAATTAAATTAAAAATGAGACAATAGATATTTTATTTATTTCGATTAGACAATTTTATTTATTTATTGAAAAAGAAATTAATCCTTCGTATTTTTTTTTTATTTGAAGGAAAAATCAAAAACACTTAAAAAAACCAAAACACAGTGGCCTAATCTTAAAATGTAAGTCATTTTCAAAAACTATGGTTCCGACAACATAAAAGTAGACCCTTATATCGAATAAATTAGAAAAACTTAAATAAGTCGAAATACAGTGGTGTAACCACAAAATGGAGGTCATTTTTAAAATCTACATCTCCGGAAACATAAAAGTATACCTTTATATTGGATACATTCGAAAAACTTAAATAAGAAGAAACGGAGTGGCGTTGTCTTAAAATGGGGGTTATTTTCAAAATTTATGGCTCCGAAAACATAAGAATACACCCTTATATGAAAAAAAAATCTAAAAACTTAAATAAGTCGAAACGCAGTGGCGTAATCTTAAAATGGAGGCCATTTTCAAAATCTACGACTCAAATTCGAAACACTTAAATAAGTGGAAACGCGGTGAAGTAATCTTAAAATGGAGGTCATTTTCAATATCTTCGGCTCCGGAAACATAAAAGTAGACCTTTATATGAGATAAATTCGAAAAACGTAAATAAGTCAAAGCGCAGTGGCGTAATCATAAAATGGAGGTCAATTTAAAAATTTACGGCTCTGGAAATATAAGAATACACCCTTATATCGAATAAATCAAAAAACTTAAATAAGTCGAAACGCAGACACGTAATCTTAAAATGGAGGTTATTTTAAAAAATAGGCACAGGACAGCATAATACTAGTCCCTAATAAATCCGAATAGGTACAATAAATCGATATCCTTAAGTGTAAATTCTACTTAGGAGAGCATAATAATAGACCTTCATATTGGAGTGGGGGGAGGGGAGAAGATGGCCATTATTTAAAAAAATATATATATAAAATTTAAAGCATTAATTTGAAATGAAAACGGTTGAATTTGAATTGGAAAAAGTTTAATTTGAAATGTAAATGGTTGAATTTGACTAGGAAAAAGTTAAAATTTGATTTGGAAAAGGTTGAATTTGACTTGGAAAAAATTGAATATGACATGGAAATATTACACTGAAAAAATCTAAAAAGTTAAAATAAATGGATACGCAACCGCGTTATCATAATTTTTTTTTGTATTTTTCAAAAGCTGTGCCTTTGATAATATAGTAAGTGGCCTTCATTTAGAAAAAAATTGAAAATTGACAAAAATTCGAAAGTTGAATTTGACTTGGAAAAGGTTGAAATTTACTTGGAAATGCTATATTAACCATTTTGACCATCTTCTATCTCTTTTAGGACCATGATTTCCTTACGCCCTGCACTATGTCAATATAAATATTTGTAAATAATAACTAACTTTTGGTGGAGATATCGATGATTATAGATGAATCAAGAAGGTGTTTAGGAGTGCGGTTAAGAGGGAAAACACAAATTAAGCGTAAAATTTCTTGTAATGTGTGCCAACATTTCGGCCTAAGTGGTAGACCTTCATCAGGGCTAAGAAAAACAAGCTAAAATCAAAATAGAAAAGAAATAAAGAATAAATATTGATATAAGAGCAAATATATAGAATATAAAACACTTCAAAAGTATAAATAAAAATATAGGAAAAGTCAAGGACATTTTTGCTGATACTGAGGCAACAACTACAAACCAAGATCTCCTTACCAACATGGAGGAGAAAACCCACAGAAAGAACAAAGAAAATGGAAAAACCTTTAACATAGGTCTACATCATTTGCCGTTGTGCAAACTATTCGAATACCTTGGCTCATTGGTAATGAATGGCAATAACATAGGTACTGAAATAGGAGCCAAAATATCAGAGGGGAAACTAATGTCAATTTGCTCTTCAATATGTAATGAAATTGTGAGTGTTATTAACAAAATCATAGTTAAAAAAACTATAGCACATCAAGTGGTTACAAAGATCAGATAACATAATAAGTATGGCTTATGATAGACAAATAGTGAGGGTGCGGTAGCAGATCATGTTAAAAAGTTGCCAGCTTTTACATTCTAGCGACTAACTCCAATCCTGCCTGGGCTGGTTGAAATTTATTTTGTCGGAACCACAGAATGAATCTCAACCTTCCTACTCTGGTTAGAAAATGTTTGGTAACTATAGAACAGAGGATCCCAACCTAAAGCCCACAGACACTACTGTACCCACATGAAGTCACTCATGCCCAAGAGCAAACTTGTGCCCATCTATCACTAACATAACCTTTATCAGCAATCACCCTGGCAACTAGTAAGAAACGTGCAGGTGAATCAATCAAATCAAAGAGTCAATTTCTCTGAAAGAATCGTACTCTCCTCTCAAGTAATTCTCATGAAAGAATCACGAATCATTCAGGATTGGTCGATTTATTAGGTATTATTAAAAATAAACTAAACAGAGACAAAAGTTAAATAAATAAACAGAATAGTGATATAAATAAGCAAGGGTTATAAATAAATATCTGAAGTGTGAAATGTTAAATTAAATATTTACGTAATCAAGTAATTAAAAATAAAAGCACAAGAGAGAAAAAAAATCTGGTGTGCGCAACACACAACTTTCACTTACAGCTCAACTTTGAATAGAAATTATTTTATAGCCATGTTGGGCTATCATAAAATTTTTGGATTGCATTTTTAACCGAGCTAAAAATAAAAAGCTTAAAGCTAACAAATCATTAATACCATTAAAATAGAACTAACCCGGTTAATTGAGGTATTCAGCCGATTCACAGATTCAGTTGATCCGTGATTCAGTCGATACACCAATTCACTAATTCAGTTGAATCGGCTGCTTCCCCAATTCGCCGATTTTGTTCTAGGAAATCTTCCAGTCGATTTACATTGTTTGTTGGGTTGTTTTGTTTACTTTCCGAATCTCCTCTTCCAGGAACATTTCACACTTCGCAATTTATAACCTACGCTTATTTACAATAAAGTTTTTTACTTTATTTTTAATTACCTATTATTGTGTAAATATTTAATTTAATGTATGGCCATACTGTCATGTTTTATTTATTTTGTACTTATAATTTGTTCTACAAGGTCATCAGTCCCAGGATAATAAAATTATATTTCATTTCAATTTCTATTAGGGGAGTGGAAAGTAATGTCGTTTCTGTGCATGTCACTATTTCTTCCTCCTTAGTGCCTTTCAGCGTGGAGGAGCCTTGACCCATTTACGTCAGTCATCATGTTCTCTCGCTAGGTTCCTCATTTGACCCAACTGCTCGCCTCTTCTCTGTCCCAGCTTGGTTATTTCGTCAATCCAAGTTTTCCGTGGACGTCCTCTTGGCCTCTTTTCTGTGGGTCTTGCTTTAAGAAATTTTCTGGATTCCCTGTCCTTGTCCATCCTCATAACATGGCCGAACCATTTGAGCGTTTTCTTTTCAACGGTTTCCAGCATTGGTGGCACCATAACATTTTCTTTAATCCGTTCGTTTCATATGTAATCTCTTCTAGTTCGTCCAGCTACTCCTCTCAGATATTTCATTTCGGCAGCAGTGAGTCTAATTTTGTGCCTATCTAGAAGGAACCAGCTCGCACTACCGTACAGTAGCGTTGGAAGGTAGAGTGTGTTGTATATATGGATCTTAGTTATATTTTTCATCTCTCGTTTTCCTACGACCGTGTTGTAGATCTGGTAATGTCATTATTTGATTATCATTAATCAGTTCATTGTGTTTATCGGACATTCTAAGCTTATAGTAACTTGTTTAGTGTGAAGACCAACAATGTTAAACAATGACATGTAAAGGGCGGAAGTGGAATCAAATCCATATCAAAAAACGAGGAATTGTCAAACAGTACTAATCTTGGTAGGCCATCTACCGATCCACCACATGCACCTTATTGCTTCAACGGCACAATACAGAAGCAATCCTTATCTTCACTGAAACTATGCACATTGCTCTGATGATGGGAAAATTGTCCCGAAACGTTAGAGGTGATGAATGTGATTAAAGGGATTTGAAGAAAATTGGAAGTATTATTGCCTTAACTATGAAAAAATTTATAAACGTAGGCTTCCTAAAAAAAGAAAAATAATAATATAATACAGAAGCATTTTTTTGATTGTTTGATCACCGGAGATGAAAAATGGGTCCTCAATGATAATCCAAAACATAAAAGGCAGTGGTTCTCTCTAAATGAATCGCCACGAAGTGTACTCCTAATCCAGGTTTTCATCCCAAAAAGGCACTTATGTGTGTTTGGTGGAGTATTCGTAGCGTTGTTCATTTTGAAGTGCTGAAACCAGGACAAACTGAATGCAGATCTTTAATGTGAACAATTGGTTCATGTATTGACTTAACGGTTGGTTCCTTGTATTGAATTATATCTATATAAAATGTCAAACTGTAAGACCCAATATTTCTGGAGATACAGATAGCCATTGCAAAGAGTTTTTCAAATATAAGTTTAGGAGGTGTGGCTATTAAATTAGAGTGATACTATAAAACATTTCATTTTGATTTTATACATATTTAGTTATTATCACCTTCAATAAACACTCTTCCTCTATTCCTATAGCACTTCATCTTAATATTCCATCGTTTGAAACAGGGCTGGAAGTCTTCATCTATCAGATCCTTCAGGATGCTTTCTATTTCACAGCTTCACACGTGTCCTGAATGAAGGAGCTGACAGAAGACTTCAAGCACTGTTTCAGACAATGTAAGATTCCCAAATGGAACATTGTAGGAATAAAGGATCGGTGTAGATTTAAAGTGATAAGTAAATATGTATGAAATCAAAATAAAATGTTTAAGGATCTGTCTCGTTATTTAATAGCTACACATCATATATAAAATTGTACTCACTTTTTCATTCCTTGTTTGATTTTTCGTATCCTCTTGCGAAGTACAACATTGGACTGAGGGGGTGGCGGTGAGGGTTGTTCCCCAGACCGTTCTTCACTAGGGCCAGCAGGCTCATACTCAGCTTTTCCGCTATGTGGAGGGGAATCCAACATCCAACTTTTATTATTAGATGAACCTAATAACAAATATAATAATAAAATAATCTGCATTAAGAGTAATAGAATGTCATAAAAAGATTTTGCCTAAAAAATTAAGGACTGATTCACATTCATCATTAAAAATAAAAAAAAACATTAGAATAAACATCAGAAAACTTTCATTAACAATAAAGAGAAAATTATTAACATCTAATTTCTAGATTTTTCTTCTAGATATATTTCTTGATTACTTGTTTTTTTTTTTCAACATCTAAATTATTCAACATACAAATTTAATTTATTAAACAAATGTTATGTTTATTTTAGTTTGGATTGTAATAAGTAATTTCAAGAGTATTGGGTTAGTTTCTTCAAATTCATAAATTTATCTTAGATTGGCTCAACAAATTTGACTTAATAAAAGTATTTAATTTTTTTACAGTATAACTTTAAATAAAGTCTAGATCCAAAATGTCAAATAGTTTTTCTATGTACAAAACATGAAAGAAAAGTACAGCTGTCAACAAATAATCTTTTGACTGACAAAAAAAAAAGCTTTATTTTGTCTAAATGAAATTGACAAGAAAAAATTTTACAACAAAATGTGGACAGGTGGTGTAAATATGTGCAATAAATATATTTAAAAATGGCTAAAAAGGGCGAAATGTTATAAAGTAATTTGAATGTTATAAACATTTTTTTAACGTAAAATAAAAGATTGTGAGATTAAAAGGGTTTTAGTACAAACATAATCATATATAGATCAAATATAATAATCAAATTTTTTATTATTACTTTAACACTATACGGTTTATAGGCCAGGTCCAACAAGCACCTCTGGACTTTCTGGAGGTTTCAATGCGGCCTACAGATCGCGAGCCAAATAGTTTGGAGAACCTCCTCCCCTTTGCTTGAGTACACAAAATTCAAAAATTTAAATTTAAAATGCGCCCTTTTATTTTCGCTTATCGAAACATGAAATAGGACATGAGATTATAGTGTAAATGACCAAGTATTCAAACATTTAAATAAATGTCATTCATCAAAGGTGTTTTTTTTGACAATATCCCATATCTTTGTTCTTCTACATCATATCCAATCAAATTGAGCCATCATTTTGAAGATTGTCTTTTCCTTAAGCTGGGAAAATAAGCACATTCACCAGCAAAGTTATTAAGAAAAGGAAACTTTATTTGCTTATAACTCAAAAATTATAGCTTATGGATGATTATACCGATGATAATGTGGTTTATTACTCTGAATGAACAATTGTAATCGATTGAGGAAAAGAGAATTGTTTCCTCCATCTCAAAATACATTAGATTTACTTATTTAGACATATTATAATCACTTATTCATTGAGCCATATACTATATGAATTATTCATAACGGTTAACTAGTAATAGCATATATGTCGGTTTAATAGAATAAAGTCAGAAAGTAATATTTTATAAAATAAATTTGAATTTTTGAAGTAAATAATCTGTGAAATCACAACATTGTACACTTAGTGTTTCCAATTTTGAGATATAAGTTTGCGTTATTTTGGTTGTCATAATGAGTTTTGGCATTGACAAATATCAATGAAATTCACAAATGTGTTCTTTAAAGAAGTTCAGCTTCATTAAAAATACATTTCAATAACTTTTTACAATAACTCAATTTTGGCAGCATTTTTAACATAATTTATACTAATAGTTGAGTAGAAATTTGCGTCATGAGTGTACTTTTTTTTCATTGGTCTTGTATATTATATTGATAAAATATTGGAATTTAAGGCATTAAAAAAATGCAATGAAATCTCAAACAAAAAAAAAAAATCTATTTTTAAATAATTTCACAAAATGATAATAAATATTTAAGTATAAATTTTGTAGCTCTAAAAAATGTATTATCATTTTATTTGTATTTAGCTACATATCATTCAAGTTAACACAATGTAGACTTTAAAGTCGGTTGAAAAATCATGTTTAACCTTTTAGTTGCTCGGATCCTTATCAAGGTCAAGTACCGCGCGCGCAGGGTACTAAAAAAAAAACAAAAAAAAAAACTGTATCATTACAACCCATGAAGGGTCTTGGGTTCAGTACTATTTAGGGAAAGCACTGTTTCTTGGTTTACGGTTGTGTAAGGTGATGTGACCAATATCACGCTCAACCGCCAGGTTTTTCCTCTTAATTATTTTAACGGTTCCCACTTTATAGAGCCTGGGTGTACCCCAGGAGGGTCTACCTACCCAGAGTCTCCCCATGGCAAATGAAAAAGAATAAATAATTTTTCTGTCATGAGCCTTAATTCGAACTTGGGATCTTTAGCACTGAAAGCCGAGTACCCTACCACTGAGCTACCCCACTCCTGTGCGCAGGATTTATCCACTGAATTATTCCCCATGCTTTTTTTTATAACTGACTAATACACTTTTCTTTAATATGATGTTAGCTCATATTTCAATAAACAGATAAATATCTTCTTCTTTTTTTTATACAATTTATTGTCTTAGATTTATTTTATATTAAACTGTAACATTTACATTATATTTTTTTTATTCTAATTTTTTTGTTGGTATATGTATATATAGTTTCATTATTTTATAATTAACTTTCTTATCATTAACCAATTTCTGATATGAAAATATTTAAAAAAACGTTTTATTATCTGGTAAAGTTTATCACATATACTTCAATTGAAAAAAAAATTATAACTTCGATAAAAATAAAAAAAATTAAAAAATTGTTTGAAGATTTAAAGAAATTTTAAAACTCATTTTCAACTTTCACACTACAAAACACTACCAACTACTGTTAGTTTTAGAGCTAAACTGTGTTCAAAATACTAGAGAAAAGTGAAATAGGGGTGGAGCAGCGGGTATACGAAAGGATGAGCTCAGAGCCCTCACACTAAAGGGTACCTGGGACTACATAATACATCTCACTCTATGTAGTGATTCCAGCAACAACCTTGTGCTAACTCAAGAGCTCTGTAATGAGTCAGAATATTGACTTCGTATAACTAATTGATAAAGAGCTGAAGCCAATATATTGGCTCAGCGCAACAGGGGCATGGTCTTTCCGGAGCCACTATATTGGCATTGCACGCTGGCGTCACAGCTGGCAGGAGCCATTATATTGGCTTTGCACATGTAAAAGTTAAATTAAGTTGAATTAATAGTAAACGTTATCAACAATTAAATTATTACATATTATGCAATAATTCATTTTAACAGATAAGATTTGAATTAAATCCAACTAACTTTGCAAACCATTCGTAAAATCAAAAAAGTCAGTTCCAAAATAGGCTATTTCAGGTAGTGTTGGCTCGATATGTTCTTTGAAGTATTCCATTGCCATTGTAGATAAATCAAAGAGTTCATCAGTAACTCTGTAGGGTCGAGCCAGTTTTGGTGTGACTTTAATATAATGCAGAATTCTATAAACTTCATCTAATATCTGAAAAAAAATTATTATTCAAGTTGGATATAAATATTTCAATAAGCTCATATTATACAACTATAATGTAACTTAATATTATAGTAATGATGAAAACTGATCAAACATAAAATTTAAATTAAACTAGATATAAGATATTTTGAGTAATAAAATAGAGAAGAAACAGTTAAAAAAATTCTAAACGTTTTAAAATTATCTCTAAGCTACCTCGTATTATAATCAAGCAAAACCTGTTACCCCAAATTATAAGTTAAAAGTTCTGAGCCTATTACAAACAGCATTTAATTAACAATTGTTTTAGACCACCACACATATAGGCTGAGAGCCATTGGCAAAAAAGGTGTGTTATCTCATATTAAGGTTTGTCCTTATAAATTGACTATGTCCACAGGCCTGATGAGAAAAATACAGGTCTACCAGCATATAGCCGCTGGAATACAAAATGATGACCAGGTGAAGAAAGACAGAGAACCTATTTAGGTATAAAATGTATATAGATAGTGGGCCTGTAGATATAGAAAGCTACTAACCCTTTAGATTTTTAGTATTTACTATCTTAAGACATGAATAATAGTCAGTTACCCCATACCCGTGAATTTCAAGTCGAAAATTTGAATCTAGAATTCAAAAGTTCACTTTTTTTTTTTTCTTTTTTTGCTTGTATCAATAAAACTATGCGTTCCAGCAATAATAATATTCTATGCAAAATTAAAGCTGACAAAATGTGCAACAGAAATGACAATATTCATTTCTTCTCTATCTTCAATAATTTCCAAGATATCTGTCCTCTTATTTCACTAACTTAAAAAAAACAACAACTATTTTTGCCTCACATTTTTATCACTATTTGACTCAATAACTTTTTATCTTTTTATTTTATAAAAAAATTATAAATAAAGCTGTTCAACATTAATGTTCCTATAGAATATGCATTACTTTAATATCTTTTCTTCAGCCATTCAGCCTAGAACAATTGTAACTTTATTTTGAACTCTGATAATATGCAGAAAAACTTATTTTTCAAATTTTCGTTATTACACAGCTACAAATCATTATATAAGGCAATATACACATGTTTATTATATAAGCTAAAGTTTATATATAATGATATATAGCTGTGTAATGACGGAAATTACGAAAAGTAAGTTTTTCTACATAGTATCGGAGTTGAAACATAAAGTTACAATTGCTCTGGCTTATGAATGCTTGAAGATAAGATATTAAAGTAATGCATATTTCAACTAAAGCTTAGTAGACCAGCCAAACACAAGAATTCACCAACCTGTTTTGCATTACATATATACCTACTATAGCTTACAACATTTTAGTAGAATAGTACTGAGGGATTATTAACCCAACATTCATAATTGTTTGGCATGATAACATGTTAACCATTTATCAAAATAAATTCAGAAACTAAACAAAATATATTCTTCCACCGTTATTATATTAAAATATATTAAGACAAAAAAATGTAATAGAATATGGATGTAAATATACCTCGCCAGCAAAAAAACAACAATGCTTTCTCTCAATGTGCTTCCCAAAAGACATTTGAAGCAATGTTAATCTCATATGTAATGTCTCAATTATATCACTTTCACAGGCTAATGGATGATTGCGTCTTGCAGATTCCCTTCGGGGCATTTTTGATTTGATGTGTTGAAATCTAAAAATTAATTATTCAGAAAAACAATCATTAACCAAATATATATCAAAATAAATAAAAATAGATACAAATAAATCAATACTTACCGATGCAGCATTTGTGTTTGAAGCTTCTGAAAAGTTGAGTTCAGAACTGAACTACATATTCTATCCATTTGCCTGCAAACCTAGATTGGACATTAATTTTATTTTTAATTTTTGTTTTATACAGAACAAAATTCTAAATAAAATATAATTTCTATCTCTACTGCAAAATGCAGTTACCAATGACTTTCAATGGGGTCATTTTCAAAATTTATGTAATATTGCAGTCCATAAGTTTTCAGTACCTAGCAGGCCCGTGCGAAAAATTCGCACAGCATATTGTTATCAAATGCCAAATTAATAAGAAAGTAAAATAATGCAACATATCAAAAGTTAAAGGAATCAATTGTTACTTTATCGATAAATATAATCGACAAAAGAAACTAAATTAATTTAAATCTTCATTTTTGTTTGGAACCAACATATTTACAAATTTCAATAACTGTATCTTTACGAAAAATTGTCCGATTTCAATGATTTTTTTTTTCCTCTTGTAGACAATTTAGTAATGTTTTATATAATCATGGGAATAACCAAGGGAAAAGTGTGTAATTTTTTAGTTATTTGCAAATAAAGTTTCTTTCCTTTCATAACTTGTTTGCCTGAATTTTCGGGGTGATTGGACTATTTTGCCTGCCTGAAGGAGAAGGAAGCCTTCGAAATTGGTGGTTTCCTTGAAATTTGGTGAAGAATTAACGATGATATGGTTGCCGATCAAAAACACCATCGATAAATAATATAAACTCCTCCTGTCTCGATCATAGAGACCTCATGTCGACGAAATGAGACATGTATCCAATGACAGTACTAATATTAACAACAGGTTGTGTGGATGCGAACCCTATGACTCTCTCGCATCTCGAAAATAGTACGTTTTTGGGCTTAAAAACGCAGGATGAGGAACTATCCGGGTCTTGCTGTACACATCAAAATCTTCAAGGTCCAATTTTTCCCGCATCGATCTACAGACTTACCACCGTTCCAGTATTGAGGCCTAGCAAAATGTTGGTATTGTCTTTATTTATTTTAGAAAGAAAAACAAAAGTGGAGAATATGATTCGCTAACCCCCGTGAAATTCTGTATTTGAGCATGACAGGAGCTTATATTTGGTACAAAACTGATTTCGAGCCTTACTGCAATAATATATGTGGGGATAAAGCAAAATTAATCATTACAAATTAGCACTACACAAATTTCTATTATTTAAGCTATGCATAAAAAAAAAAAAAATGTTTAAGATCTATTCTTTCTATGTCTTTAACCAAGTTATACATCTTTATTTGCTTCTACATAAATAAACAAATTAATTTAAGGACTAATACTGTGATATTATGTTATAAGGAGAATTATTAAAAAATATTCCATAGAAGTTAATCATAAAATATCACTTCATTAAGTTCGAGTACTGTCCTAAAAGTCTGGCACGAGTGTTACATCAGTAGCTTCAATTATCTTCGAGACATATTCACGATGATTCCTGTTCTGGTAAGTTAACTACGAGGGACTATTTTCTTTCAGTTAAAACAGCAAATGTTTTCAAAATCATGACAAGTTGAGTATTTTGATTCATTGTCATGAATGTTACCCAAATAACTAACTTAAATGTCATATATTTAACATTCATTTGATTAGTTACTTTTCTCAGTAAATGACGTTTTTAGACGTTTTTATTAAACTAATATAGTCCTATAATGCCTGGCTTCATTATTAGACAATTGTAAAAAGAACAATCTAATTCCACTTTTTCAGAAGTGATTTCTTAAGAAATTAACATTCATCACTCATTACCAACATTCCCATCTCGTATGCCCATTTCGTCAGTAATTTCATTAAGAATGATGCAAAATTAAGAAACTTAAGCTTTATTCTTAATAGTTGAGAACTACTAAACAGCGGAAACAAAGAAAAAGAGAAAATTAGAAACTCAAAATTTTAGTGATAACGAGTAACAGAAAGAATATCTCCCTGGATTAACACATTAGTGATCTTCCCACTTATATCATTTAAATATTTTAGTATATTTAACCAAGTACGAGTTATAATAAATGTCTGAGCACAGATTTATAAAATTTATTGAAAAAGTTCAAAAAATCAGTTTAACTAAGAGATTGTAACTAATTGTACATGATGTAGTTGAAATTGTACTACAATGCTACAACAATGTATTATAAATATTTTAAGATGTATTATGTTACTTGTTCAAAACAATTTATAAACTGTAACATTACGTTTATTTTGAAAATGACTCAATGACAATTTCCTATACTTTGTGTGTATAATGGTGATTCAAAACAATAATCTTTATAATACAATACATTAAGGAAATATTTTGCCTACAGTAATAAAGGAAGAAACAACACTATATAGTTAGGCAATTCAAGCATGTAAATACTAAACAGTTCAAGAGCAGTTTTTATTTACCAATAAGAAACATTACTTTCAGATCATCTGTGATTATATCAGTAATAAACTCAGATTAATAATAATAGTATGACTCTAGGCACATAAGCCTAAAAAAAAAAAAATCGAACCATGCACATGGCATCTTTTTGCATTTTAATTTTCAAAAATGCAATTGTAACATATAATCTATAAATATTATAGCAAATTTAACAAATCCAAACTCACTGTTAGGATGAAATGAATTAAATAAAGACAAAAGTGTAACAGCATTACATAAAATTGATTTAGAAACAAATAGTAAATAAATGGATATTAATATATTCAATGAGAGGAGAATATTAAGAGAAAAAATGGAATCAAATGGAGAAGCCATGATGTTAATATTGATGTATTTATATCATGTACAACATGATTAACTTCCAATAATAATTTGCAATCTAACACCACAGACATCAATGATTCTCAAATTACTGCACATTGCTGATTAGGTAATTTAATGCTGATACACATGTGATTCTCAATGGTTGTTTACTGAATAAGGTAGACGAATTCATACAGAATAAAATAAATGTTTTAAGTAAATATACAACATTAAAATACCAAAATACAATGCTACAATCCAAACAAAAGTTGATAAAATAGCAGAAACATAAATCAAACAAAATTCATCAAATTTACAAAGCTCATTCAAACACCACCCATTGCTTACGGTGGTTTTTAATTTAAATTTAATAAAACATTCTTCAAAAATAAAAAACCTGGGAAACTTTCAGAATGATATAAATTACACCAAAGGAATGATAAAGTTTTGTTATATATAATAAGTTGCACTTAAAGAAGTTAACAAGTTATGCATGCTTAGTTTAAAATAATTCTAATTAAAATCTTACCAATCTCATTTGAGAAACTGTCTTATAGCCAGTATAGCTAAAGATTTTCTCAAAAATTTCGGGCGGTAAGTCCAAAAAATGTTTATTGGAAACATATTCTGAGGCATGAGTAACGGGTATGAGAGCAGAACTTTGTGTGTGGTGCGAACTATGTCTTGTTTTGATGCCAGTGGAATCATTACTAGAACTATCTCCAGCATTGCCTACATTACTTGACTGTCTTGTTGACACCATATTTTTTAAAAATTATACTTCAAGTGACCTAAAAATTCATAACACTGTTATAATAAGACTAGACAGGAAAACTAACACAGTGCAGTAATTAAAATTGATAGACAGTAAATGAGTGAAAAGTGTAGGGGATAACACAGTAAATTATAACCTAATTTCCTTAAATAACCTACTTCAAAAAAATTATGAAAGCAAATTTTAAGATACCCATTAATTATTTTTTAAATGGGTATACATTTTGTATTTAAATATTAATGAGGAATAGAAAAACTAAATTCTTCAGTTAAAACATGACATTAATTATGTTAATAATCAACTTATAATAAAATAAAGCATTGGACTCCATCCATCTTTGATGGATTGTAACAGATCTTTACCAAGTTATTACTGCATTCACCACATCTGCAATCCTTATATTTATTATTAGAAAAAGCTAAGAAAATTCTAGAGTTACGGTACGCTAATTTTTATAGCAATTAAAACCAAAATGAATAATAAATCCACGAACGTATGGCTGGACGACAACTTATGTACAAGATTTTACACAATCTACTTCACTTTTCCCGATCTTTTCTACCTATACAGAGTAAGCAGAGTAGCCAACATCACACACTTTAACCAGCACTGTTATTAAGCTCAGATTTCTGAAAGACTTAAATTTCTTGTATAATAAGCATATAGAAACTTTTTTAATCTTTACATAAAGTATTTCCTATAGACACAGTACATTATTATTGTTTAAAAACGATATTTTGTTCCTCTGATTCAGTTCACTATGTTGACAGCACACATATCTAGTTGCTTGTCAGGTTGTGTTTATGTGTACGTTTGGTGGAGGTTACTTATCTGTAAAATAGTGATTAAAGAATGTTGGTTTTCTGTTGTGTTTGTTCGAAAAGATGAGTAATTTAATTTAATTTAATTTTTGGAAGGAAATTATTTAATCATGGAAACTTCTTACAACGTTAACGATAATAACTTCCATTTTAACTCTGGTTCTAATCCTCAAAGTGCTTTGCTAGGTTCTCAGTATGCTCTTAAACTAGCTCTGCAGACAATGAAAGAAAGATGTCAAAAACTTCAGAAAAGACTAACATGTCTCGAAGATGAAAATCTTCAACTAAGAATTGAAAGACACACAGTTCCAGGACTCATGAAAAAGGAACAAAAAAATGAATTTTTCTCCCTCCAAAAACAAGTGGAAGAATTAAACAGACATAAATCACTGTTATGTCATCATATTTATATGGTTGCTATGGAAAACAAAGAATTATGGGAAAGGTTAAGTAAAACCTCTGGTGATAGAGAAATGACTGATAATAAAAGTAACCATGAAGAAAGTTTCAATAACAATCTTCATAAACCTGAGAAATCTATTAATGTTGTAGACTCTTGTTTTAAAGGTAAATTGTTTTTGTTCTCATGTTAACTTGTTTTTCTGTACCAAGGTCATACTGTTAACTTTAATGACACACTTGTCCATGTTTTAGCCTGTTAGTAAAAGAAATAAATATTGAATATATCTCGACATTATCTGTTGTGTAAATTGACAGTATGCCTGCATAATCATGTTAGTGCCATTGAAAAAAATACAGGGACATACAAGGTTTTGCACATTTACTGTTGATATGCTCATGTATTGATGGAATGGTGAAATATGAACAGATTAAATAAATTTCTAACTGTTTTTTATTTTTAATGTTGATATTATATTCTAGTAATCTGATTTTTTTTTTTATCGTATGCCTTGATGGTCTTGAGCTGTTTTGTCCATGCGAGGTCTAACAACCCAGTAAATTTCACCTTTACTTCTGGCTTTGGTACTAATGTCCTGTAGTCCGGGACAAGTCAGTAGATGCAGAGCTGTCATTTACCCTAGTTGACACAGTGGACATGTTACTGATTTGACGACTCCGATATGGTATAGATGGCTTTGGAGATACTCATATCCGGTTTTCGAGGAGCGGGGTAGCTCAGTGTTTGGTCACTAAACTTCCAATGCTCTAAGTCTCAAGTTCGAATCCCGGCTCATGGCAGACAAATTATTTATTCTGTTTCATTGGCCGTGGGGTGACCTTGGGATAGGTAGATCCTCCTGGAGCACACCCAGCCTCTACAAAGTGGGTACCCTTAATTAAATAATTGATAAAGGGGGAAAATCTGGTGGTTGAGCGTGATCCTGGCCCGATCCCATCCCTGCCTAACTGCTGGCCTTGAAACAGTACATTCCCTAAATAGCACTGAACCCAAGACCCTTCATGAGTTGTAATGGTACAGGTTTTTTTTTTTTCTTCATATCCGATTTTCATTCTAAACTGTGCAACGACCTCACTTCTAAGGAGATCCATTGGCACTCTTCCATTTTCTACTAGTAATGAAGCCCATTGCTTCTTCTTCAACTTTCGGGCTGAAGCGCCCCTCTCCCGAAAAAATAGTAAAATATAACCATGAAAAAAAAATTATCTCTAAAAGTATTATTGTTCATCTGATTGGATTTAATAGGACTTAAAGTTTAAGATAAACATCATTTCATGTAGGTACTTAGTTTATTTGTTTCTTCCAAAGTAATTATCGTAATATATACATTAAAAAAAAATCTTTCGGGCTGAAGTCCCCTCTTCCCCAAAATTAAATCCTGAATCCGTTAGTGGTTGCAGGAGGTGTTGGATGATTTGTGCTGACTTTGTAGAAGAGAGCCTTGGTGGGATCGTCATGAAATTTTCTCTTGAAGAAATAACTATCCCTTTAATTTCTTTAATTATATCCAATTTCTTTACGTACATGACTTGCGTTTTAAGCCTTGTTTTGGCAGATTTACATTCCTTCCAGTAGTCAGTTTCCAAACACATCAGTTTCTCGCTCATTGTTAGCACAGCGATTTCATTTCATACCATGATGGGTTCTATAGCTTGAACACATTTGAAGCTGCATAGCTGCAATAGGGATTGGTTTTGGGGTGCCAGTAATAATTGATAATATTGACTGAAAAATTGTATTTTTAAGAATTCTAAGATATTTTTTCATTTGAATTAAATTTAATATTAATTAGTTCTGTTTAATGTAGCAAAGTGTCCAATAAATAATTTGTTTTATTGAGTCAAATAAATATAGACTATTATTGTAAATTAAAAAAGTTTTTAATTCAAGGTGGAAAAGATGACAGCATGGAAGAAATACCTTTGAAAGTAATAAGCAGTTTTAAGAAGAATAAATCAATTTATGATGATCGAAATGAAGAGGTAAAATGGCCAACTTTAAAAATATCTCTCTCTAGTTGTTCAAATCAATTTGTATGATCAATATTGTGGTAACATTTTAAAATCAAATTATGGAGATTTATAATTTATAACAATGTAGAGATTGTTGACTGTGATATAATATGAGAAGGAGTTGATCGGGGGATGCGGTCAAATAAATACTAAATTATAGAAATAGTATTATTTAATTATTATGCCAGCGTTTTGACCCACCTTGCAGGTCTTCATCAGGGTTACATAAGATACAAAATATAAAACGTAGAAAATAAAATAGATGAATTATAAGTAGATACATAAATAAAAAAAAGTTGTCTGATTAAGAAATAATAAGATGATATCAGAGATATACTGGGTGGCAATGTAGTTAAAATATAAAGTATTATATATATATATATATATATATATTATATATATATAAAAGATACAAACAAAAATAGAAAACAAAGGAGAATTATAGTATGTAAGTTAAAAAGTAAACAGATTGTGATAAAAGATAAGAAATGAATGTATAATTTTTTATTTTATCACAATCTGTTTACTTTTAACTTACATACTATATTCTTCTTTGTTTTCTATTTTTATTCATACTAATTTCCAATTTTGTTTGTATCTTCTATATAAATAACACTTGATATTTTAACTACATTGTCACCCACTATATCTCTGATATCATCTTATTCAGGATGATATCAGAGATATAGACCTTGAGGATTATTTAAATCCAATATCAGTAAATATTGACATTCTATATGCGTCAAAATGATAGACACACTTGTTTACTATTTTCTTAATCCTCTAGAGTTGAAATCATTAAAATACCATTTCTACTTCAGTGCAGTGTTGAATTTGTTTCAAAATAGACCTAAAAAGAACGTGAGTTATGGGAAAAAATAAGTGTTTCTCCGAAGAAGAGCACTGTTTGATTTCTTCACTCCACAGATACGGGATGAGCTGTAGGGAAATAGCCCATCGAATCAAGCGGAGTTTTTCATTGGTCGCGAAGTTTATTTGCCACGGGGAGACATAGGGAACCCACCGTTCTACTGGGATGCCCTCTGCTTTGACATTACGATAGAAACGGAATATTCTTCAAATCACATCCGACTCTTGTAAAACAGCAAGAGCAATTGCTGAGGAAGTTCATACAAAACTAAGGAATGTCCAAAGATTATTTTAAAAAGTCAAAGACAATAGTGAGAAAAAAATTGAAAAGAAAGCCAGTTTTGAGTACCAGTCACAAATTAGCCCAGATGCCCTTTGCTTGTAATGTGATGTCATGGACTGAGGAATGGTAGAAAGTCATATTTAGTAATGAAAAAAAATTCAAGATGGATTTTCTTATTATTCTCATGACTAGATACGGGAGGGTAGAGATAACAATTTTTGAAGTCTGTCTAACATTTTGACACTGATTGTGTGTTATATGTATTCTAATAAATTAATTACAAAAGTAAACTTTTTATTTAGAAAAAATGATATTTTTCAAAAATTTATCATCTAAAAATTACATCAGAGGAATTGATGCATATTGTGTTAAGTGACTAGCTAAATGTTTCTAATCCTGATATTTATCTTTATTATGAAAATACTTTAAGCAGTTGGTGGATTTATTGATTTTTATTTTTTTAGAAATTTTAATTTTATTTAATGAGTAGTGTTTTCATGTCATTATATCCATTATGTTCAAATTTACTAGATGTATTTATTTAATACAGATATAAATGTCATTAAGAAATATAAAAAAAATTAATGAGTTATTACTTTAAATTGTTATTGACATCTAGTTGATAATGAGAGCTGAATAATGAAGCAATATTAAACTATTAACTATTTGGAAATTAAAGGGAAAAAACATATTCCGTAGAGTAGAACTGTTTTTTTAAAGAAGCAGCCAGGGTAATGTTGAACAATGGGACTGTTGGATAGGCAAAAATGGCTTTGATTTGTTTACCAATATGTACAATTCAATATTAAGCACATGTCTGTGAACTTAAAAACTAGTGTTTAGTTTGTAAAAAAAAAAAGCTTGGATTTTCCTTTACTCTCCAGTAATGGACTGAAGTTCCAGCCCTCTATGAATTTATCATATAAAATTGGATTTTTCTTCCTAAGGTGCTCATAAATGTAGTGGTAATGAATGATTTTTAAATTTTTTATTTTTATTATTAAATTATAATGCAAATCTAAATTGTCACTAATTAATCAATATTATTTTTATTTAGGTTCTTGATACAAAATCAGGTGATGTGAGTTTAAAAGAATGTGAGTTTACTTTGGATATTGACATAGATGAAGAAAATGGTGTTTATGAAGGACTTGTTATAGAAATAAAAAGAATATTACAGAAGTTGAGGAATGAAAAAATTGTATTGAAGCAACAACAGGAAGGTCTCAAATCTGCTTTGGAAATAATAGCAAAATTCATTAAAGGTGAATTAAAAAAAAAATTAGTTTATTGTCAAAAACTAATATTAATATTTATTCATCCTTCTTTTTAAGACTATAATATCTCCAATGTTATTAAAGGTCTTCTCCCTTGATTTTCATTATATTGTTTATGAGATTTAGGTATTGAGCCATATTTAACTCCTTATAACCTTAATGTCTTAAAATAATCAAATTATTACCTTTTTGTTAAGTTTTTACTCATTTATGTTCATAAAGCTGTGTAAACTTTTCTAAATACCAACCATTTTGATTGATAGGGTTCTCAGAAATTTAATTCTCATTTTCTATTCAAATACACTCTTTAGATATTTAATGATCTCCCTTATAGCACTTTATATGAAGTAGTATATTAGTTCTATGGATTATGAAAAATAATTCATTTAGATTTATTAAGCCTTCCATCTCATTACTATATATATATTTTCTATCTTAGTATAATTATTTTTCTATTTTTAAGATAAGCAAACATGCAAGAATTGCATTATATTAAAAGAAGAGGTAGAAAATTTGAAAACGTCTGCAAAGGATGCTGATGCACCAATAAGCAATCATCAAGAAGAAAGCTTTGATTCAAATTTAAGGAGGGAACCAAACTTTAACATTTCTAGAACCAAAGAAAATACTTTTGAAGATCGTATATGCCCATTGTGCACAAAATTTTATCCAAAATCCACACCTTTTGATGAGTTTAATGAACATGTTTTAAGTCATTTTGTGGAAGAACCTGACCAGGATTCATTAATGAGTAATTATGAAATTTTAGCATAATCCTAGTCTATTACTAAAATAGCATTTAAATTGATTGTAAGATACTATTTGTGAGTTATATGATAATTTAATTTTCTATTATTTAGATAATTTGATTTTTTACTTGTTTTTGAATTATTATATCATTTACAGGATTTATCCTTTAATCAAATTCCTGAATAGGAACTATATTTGTATAAATATTTAAATGTATGTATGTAATGCATGATTATGAAATTATAAAACTTATATCATTGTAATTTCACAAATTTCAAAGAAGGCTTATTTTTTATTACTTATACATCACACTACTAAATTAATTTGTGGAATAACAGATGGGAAATATTGATAAAAATATTTACTTGTATTTCTTTTCAGGTCATTAGATCATCGATTGATTCATAAGCAATCATTATCTCTTGATATTGACATTAACTATGAGTATAATTTTAATAATTAAATAACATTCTTGGCATACTGTCACATCCATTTTTAATTTTTATTATTTTCAATTAAAATTTTTTTAAAGTACTATTTTGTTTGGCTTTATGTCAACATTTTTATTTCATTAATTGTAAACTTTATGTAATTAAGATCAACATTAAATTCTTTTGTCAGGGATTAGAATTCTAATCGATTATTATATTACTGCCATATGTCTTAAGATGAAGTTAAATTTTATTTATTTATTTTGTATTCAAATACTTCAAAGATCAAAATATATCAAATCAAAATAACAGTAATTCATTTATTGTTGTGAATCAGTAATCATTATTACAACTTATATAATTTATAAATACAGTGTATTAGAAATGCCATCAATTGTTGATAAGTTAAGTATTAAAGTTGTCTTAAATTTGACATTATTTTATGAGAACAAATCTATTGAAAATAAAAATTATAGAAACAATGTTAATTAGTCAAAAATATTTATTGTAATAATATTATTCTCCTCAATGATTTTAGCTGTAATATTCAAAATGTATCAATTTCCATTGCCTGTGATCACTAAAATATTTGCCTTTATATGATAAAAATCACTGTCATAATTTCATACTAATGCAAAGTTTGTATGTTATTTCCAGTCTATTTTTTATAAGAACAAAGTATAGTTTATTAATTTTACATAGGTATTAAGATGTGGAATATTGTGATTTTATATAAGTAATATTGTTAATTTATATTTAAAATTCTCTTATGCATTGTTACTATTTATTATTAGTCTACAAATTATTTAAGCAATATATCAGTTTGTATTTTATTTTTTTTAATTTATTGATTAAAGCTACCCAATTATTTTCAATCATTTCTTCAAAGATTAGTACTAGGTTTGATTTCTTCTCTAAAGGGCCCCTTACACAGTCAATATCGAATTTTGTCAACGCATTGACGGTGTAAGGGCTACATTGGCATATATTATATTGATGTCAATCAAACTAGTTGATATCAATTTACCGACAGGCCTATAGACAGGGATTGGTCTCTGGACATGTCTGCGTTGGTAAACTGAGACATGGCTCATGGACCAAAATCACGCAACATGTCTACTAGTATGGACTAGTCTTTAAGTAAGAACTCCACTATATTTGACAAAATGACAAAGTGAAATATTGTCAATTATTTCCGCAGACTTTCCAATCTGTTTGGAGAGAGGGAGGGGGCGATGAACCCCTCCGAAAAGTCGAGAGTTTATATCAAGTATAAAAGTTATGAGTGATAATTAACATAATTATTTTCTTCTTATATTATTTAATATTTATATTTTTCTTAAGGAAGAGTTTTTTTCCTATTTTAGGTTTAAAGTATGAAAACTTTTCTCTTCCGTGTGTGTCAATTTATCCATGTCTAACGTTTCGAACTCTTTGGCTATCCTCAGAGATATTTTCTTTCACTTCTACATGTTATTAACATTTGTCTTTTTTTCCTATTCTATTTAACAATTATATACCCACCCTTAGTCGATTTTCATTATTACATCATGTTATCATATTATAATGAAAATCGACTAAGGGTTGTTTATAATTGTTAAGTAGAAAAAGAGAAATGTTAATAACATGCAGAAGTAAAAAGGAAATGTCTCTGAGGATGGACAAAGAGTCCAAAACGTTAGACAGATGAATAAATTGACACACATGGAAGAGAAAAGTTTCATACTTTATACCTATAATTTTTTCAATAATATGGGCATAGAGTGTGGTAAAATATTTGTGTACCTACTTCTAGGCCTTAGCTTAGCGACTTTTCTTATTTTATTTTGTTTTACATATATTATATAATCATGTAGATCAATTTTTATTTATTTTTTTAAATATTTGTTCTTCCAAATATTGGAGGGGGGAGGCGAAATGATACTCTCGCTTCTCTATTTTTATGATAGAGAGCGATCCCCTCCCTCTGAAGTCTGCGGGTATGTCGTATAAATTAGGAATAGATTCAGTGCAGTCCTTATGGAGGAGCAACCTGAGCATTCATCATTCTTCAGGGGCGCTTGCCAATTGTTATAAATTAAAATATATACAAAACATATTAACATAATTAATTTTAGCCTATCAATAAATCAGCTCTATTAGAAAAATATTGAATGAAATAAAATTCAAATATTACATAATTTAAAATATAGTAAGAAAATAAATTTAATTAGGCCTTAACAAATATTTAGGGAGGGAGATGTCGTCATTGCCGGGAGGCACCGAATTGCTTAAGGCTACCACCACTAGCGGATCCAGGATTTAATTTTGGGGGAGGACTTCAGCCCAAAAGCTTGTTGATTCATTTTTTTTTCTTGCTATGTGATAGTCATAAATTTACTACGGCTTCTCCGATTTTGATGAAATTTTCAGGAGGTATGCCAGTTGCTACCTTCAGGTCCCACAATAAGGGGGCTGTCAGGACAGGAGTCCTGGGAGGGGGGCTCATCCTGAGGTGTAAGGAATAATAATGAAAATAATGTAGAGATCACACTACATATATTATAATGTAATATAATTTATTTATTTTAAACATAATAAAAAATAAAGGTTGGTTTTTTTATGTAAATTTAATATTTGAAACGGCCTGAGAAAATTCCCCTGAGTTTCTTGGATTATTTCCGTGGACCTACCTTTATACTAATTTAATCGAGTAAGCATGTGTAATCCCATTTTCCAACGTAGGCCTTCTCCTTGCTTATAATGGCCAAAAAGCACTAGCGGATCCAGGATTTAATTTTGGGGGGGCTTCAGCCCGAAACCTTTTTTTTTCATAAAAATAACGATAATTATTTTGGAAAAACAGAAAGAAACTAGCTACCTATATGAAATGGTGTTTAATTTACTCCTTAAGTACTTTTAAATGTAATTACACGAACAATAATACTTTAAGAGGTTTTTTTAAAAAAAAATTTCCCATAAAACATGGTTATATTTTTCCATTTTGTGGGGGGGGGGGCTTCAGCCCGAAAGCCTCCCCCCCGTAGATCCGCCCGTGCCAAAAAGTACAAACAAAATACTCGATTATTTTTAAAATCGCTCGTTTCATTTGCCCAAAGATTGGAAGAAATCTAAGGGCTGGTGAAAAAATGAACAGGTGTGGAGTTTTATAAATTGCAACCACTACTTTCACTTAAAAATATACAAACGAATAATTCGTTGTTGCGTATATTGGTACATTTAAATTTAAAATATCTGCTTATATAATTTTTAACATATTACTTTCAAGCTATAACCTATTTGGCAAACGTTTTTCGTATGGAAAACCATATGTTGTTATAATTTGTGAAATTTACTATTTGGATCATGTTCAGTTATTTTTTAACTGCTAAGATATTTCTCAATTTAAACAGTTATACTTTATTTAGTTCCATTGTCCTTCTTGTGGGTTGTTTTACTCATATTTTGATATCTCTTAACTTTTACGTTCGTGAAGTGGATTTTTTACATCTTATACAATTTCACCTTGCTGAATGCATTCCCATAATCTTTACAATAACCTATTCAATGCTAGCAATTCTCTCATTTATACTTATTTGTTTAAAGGTAAGGTACATCGACTCATAAAAAAAAAACATGATACTTGTATTTTTTGTGATTGTTATTTGATTATTGTTTTCCAAAAACCAAACCTAAAACCTATGAACTTGCCAAGGTGCTTAAAGCATTCGGAAAATAGACTTGTTACTCATTATTGCTTATTTTTAACACCATTTTTGTTGATTGATGGGTAAGGTTAGGGGTGCCCATCCTCTCAAAGGTTTATGGAGCAAGAACATGCCCAGTCCCCCTCCCAAGATATTTTATGGCTTATCTTTTCATACAAACAGAGTAAGGGAAAGTAGAATTAGAAAAAATCGAAGATCATGCACAGTTACACTTGATGCGGTCTGTTCCAAGTTTTCTCCTTGCCCCTTATGATGAAACTTTTCATTCCGAAAACTCATAACCCCGTTAAAATGTGCACCCCTCAAAAATTAAAATACCCTTCAAAATATGTCCCCTTAAAAAAATTAATGGCTCAAGTTGCGCCATAAAACCTCCTTCGGGGCACCCATTGGTAAGGTGTACTATCAAGTTTGTGCCGTACAAGACGCTGATAAGGCCAATCGTCACATACGCTGAAGAAACGTGAACCCTGAGTAATAGAAGCATTGACCTGCCAGACAGGTTTGAAAGGGTAATTCTGAGGAGAATCTTAGGGCCCGTATGCGAGAATGGTAATTCGCGAAGAAGAAAAAATAGTGAAATGTTCAGGCTCTACAGAGATTGTAGCATCTCGTCGTATATCAGGATACAGAAGCTTAAATGGCTTGACCATGTGATGAGGATGAGCTAGGAAAGAGCGGCTCATAGATTGTATATTAACGTTCCAGATGGTATACTCCTACGTGGCAGGCCGAAGAGCCGATTGAGGGATGCTGTGGGACAGAATCTGCGACAACTGAGGATCCCTGTTACCCTTACAGAAGATAGAGAGAGATGGTTGGCGCCTGTTGAGCAGAACAAGGGCAGCTTCATGCGCCTGTTGTGCCAACAAAAGAAGAAGAAGAACATTATAAAATTTACAAAAATAATATAAAACTCATATCCTGGCGAAGTAGCCACATAGCAGCTGAAAACGGTATGTTCTCTCTCCGTTCATCTACCATTCCCTAGCTCGTGTATTCTTTCCAAAAAATCGGGACTTTTGTTAAAAGTCGGGACTGTGCGGCCAAAAGCGGAATATCTGATCACCTTATTGATGGGCCCTTTTATTCATTTTTTTAAACAATAAATATTACTCTCCTTTCAGAGCGCCTAGTCACATGATTATGGATGTAAGAATGGCAACGTTGTATTCCTCTACAAATCTCTTTTGTTTATCCAGTTAGTAGCTGTAATCTAAAATTTGTATAGATTTCGGATATTATATCAATTAATAGGTGTTTTGTGTATAGCATGGATCACATTTTGGGACAACTTAATGATTGCTATTAATCAGTAAAAACTCACCAAGGGACTGAACATAAACGTTTGGTTATAAATGGAAAAAATCCAAACACACAGCCTCATGTCTCCAAAATCCAGACAAAGAAAAAAAAATGATCTTTTCTTTGTTATTTATTGCTTTTGTTTTTCTTTGTCTGCATTTTGGACACAGAAGAGTATGTAGTGGGAATTGTTCCAATTATAACCAAATTATTGCTTTATGTTAAAAAGAAATCCCTTGAGTTTCCCAATAGACTTGGTTTCCATTTTATTTATTTACTCTTTTTTTCTTTTCTTCCAAAACTGTAGTGATTTTATATGAAAAATAAAACTAAAATAGTTTATAATTATTATTATACTGTTGTTTTTTTTAATCATATATCTTTATTGCAGTTTCGATTGACAACTTTAACATATCTTTCTTATTACGAAAATTTTCTAATGAAAATTACACTATTCGCTGCTGTAACGCTTGCTATAATAAACATGCTCATTTCCATTTTCTGCTTCATTAAGGAAGGAAATCTCACAAAAAGGACAGAAAATGGACTCTACGCTGCCATACAAGACTACAATAACGACCAAAAATCTAAAGAAATCATGGACAGAATTCAAATTAGGTATCGATGTTGTGGCATTATTTCTTACAAAGTAAGATATTTTTTATACCACACGAATATATTATAGATATATAAATAACATTTGTTTAATAGATTTAAATTTGAATAACTTTCAGATGAACATTAATCAACTTTGATCTTGATTTAATCGTTATTTTAAATTTAGTTTAAACTACTTTTATTTAAGAAAAAACGGGAATTTCTGTTCCCCAAAACCTATCTCACGGTAGACGAGATCAACTGGAAATTTACTTTTGCGGAAAAGTTTATTACGACTTATTAAAGTTATTACGATTTCTAAATATTTTTATATGAAATACGATATATACATAAAATTTTTTTTTTCAAATTTTCGTCAAACAGTATTATATTGTTTTATTTTCTTTCAAATAATTTAGGGCAGGGCAACGCCCTCCCCCCTCCCCCCGCGTACGCTCCATGAATCATGATAGAAGGGTATTAATATGCTATTGGCTTCATTGCTTGTTGATAATGCACATTAGAGTGTAAAATAGTCAAAACAGAAATTCATATCAAGATCTTGATCGGACTATCTATAAATTTCTTAAAAAGATAATGTTAAGAAGTAAATGGTATTCAAATAAAGAGATTTATGTAATGACGATAATGTCAGAAAATATAGAGAAATAAACATTCTTCTCGGCGAAGTAAATGTGAACTGATTTAGACCGCTAGTAGTTCAAGAGTTTTCCGTTAAAATTCTAGATCCAGCCATGAGGTAACTAAAAAAATAAAACGAAATTAGTAAACTTATATGAGATGCGTATTAACGTTGCAACAATTACGAAGGTTAGTGATTGGTTATTTAAAGCAGGAAAGTATGTTCTAGAGTTGGTAATATTACGTGTGATGGTATCACTGACTGCTTTACTACTGACAATGTACTCGTATGTAGTATCAGGATTTTTTTTTTTTTAAATTCAAAGTTAAAGTTGGTTAAAGATAATAAATAACATAAATGTCACTATTATCCCGTAGATGTTTACGAAAACAATTTTTATTTACAGTAAAAAAAAAAAAGCGGTGATTCACACTATTGTGTGCAAGTCAGTAGAAGCGGACTTAGAGATATAGGCCACCAAATAATTATCTCATGAGCTTCCCACTCTCCTCCCAACAAAAATAAAACTATAATTTAGGGAAAGGAAATGAGACACGTGTAAGGAACATTGTATATTTCTTTATGTTTTGATAGTTTTCTTTTAATATAGCTCTAATTAAATAGATATATTAATAGATTTTCTAATTTATGAAGATCCACAATATGAGGGTTATGCACAAGTTGCCATACCACAAGGCCAGAGTAGTCCCTGCTTCAATTACTCACCAAACATACCCATTATAAAATTTTATTCATTTGCTCAAAGTTACCGATTAGATGTGGATACATTGTTTTTTTTATTTGAATTAGAATTCTGGTAAGTTGTACCCAAAGGAAGAATCGTCCTCATTTGTTATGCACTGTAATATGTTTATTTTCAATCAGTTTTTAATATAGACGAAATTTTGCAGGATTGGTTTCGACATGATTGGTTTAAAAAAAGAAGTGATTCAGATGACCCTATAAGTGCACTAATGAAACTATCTGGGAATGAACATATTCCGTTTAGCTGCTGTTCTGATGTATTGCTTAGACCATGCATTCACCATTTTCTCCAGTCCGACAAACACTTATATGAGTAACTATTAAAAATGTATATTTAAATTAGATTACAAAGAATAATTTCTATTCAACTTTCTTCGACAAAGGAAACGGAATTTTGAATAAAAGTTATAATTTAACAGCGATAATTCGATTTGTATTATGAATGTATATGTACATAGGATGCAGGATTTGCTCGACACTTCAAGAGATGGAGCACATTAGTAGAGATTTTTCTTAGATCACCTGGGCTCTCTGGCAGGTCAGACCTTACAAAAATCTCTTCCTTGCAATTCACACCAAACAAAACATTTTTCTCTTCAGTTTTATTTCCTACGATTATAACGTTGTATTTTAAATTTTATTCCCTCTTTATTTGCTTAATCTACTGCTAAATCCGTTCGAAAATTTTAATCGACTAGAAATTAAACATTAAAATGAATAGAAAACAAATTGTGTAAAAATGCACGCTGAATCTTTTAAATTTATTTACTTACCCAAGACAGAGTGAAATAAGCTATTTAAAAGATGTTTCCCTGGCCAAGTATCCTTCAATGTAATGCCAACTTCCTACTTGCTAATATTGGGATCATTTTACGAGAATAGCTATTTGTACTCACTGGGGAATCTCAAAACTTGTTTTTCCGTTGAATACTCGGATTCGAAATTTTCTATGTTCGCAATTATTTCCCTTACAACTTTGATGAAAGTAATGTTACACCAGTCATCTAAATTGTTTAATTTATGCTTCTTTTCCTTTATCCTTTTATTTATTTTATTATTATTTTTTTCGTTTCATACAAAACTCTATTTTCCAGTTATGACTTTGTTGGAGGGACACTTCATACGTTCTGGACAGAAGGTTGTCTTGAGATAATTTCTCATAATTACTTGAATGCCTTTCATTCCGTGAATTTTTCTAATTTCTTGGTAATGACGCTTTATTTAATTCAATTCGTTTTTGATCGAATAATACAAACTGCCGACTCTACAACTTTTATCAATGGCCATTTGCAAAGTTGGGTTTTTATGAAGCCAGCAATGAATCAATTCCTTTTCCCAGGAAATAAATATAAGCTAGGTGCATTAAAAAGAAAATTTATTATGGATACCGGAAGATATAAAAAACACAAATCGGTAATAGAAAAGAAAAAGAGAGAAAGAAAATGCAGAAAATCTGTGCAGTTTAAAGAAGTTGTTGTCTCTTACCCTAATTCGAAGGAACGAAGTGAAGACTCTTGTCAAGATGAAGAAAATAAATCAAAATAAGTATGTAACTTTATTCTCGATTGTGTAGATAGAACACAGTAATAAATATTATAAAGAATCGCAAACCATTGATGTTAAAACAATCATAATTATAAAGTGACATTACTGAGTCTGATTTAATTATCTTTTCATTTTTTTTTACATTAATTATAATAAAATGTTGAATACATTGAATAATCTATATTATTCTTACAAATAATTATTTTCCTCAACTGCTGGAAAAACTTTTGATTCATTGGAAAGGAGAATGATTGCATTTTTTTCTTACATAGATCATTTATGAGCCCGTTGAGGAGTCATTTTTTTTTTCGGTTACCCCCTACATACCACTTTAGGCACACAGGGTGATGGAGGGATTGGTCTAGAAGTATAATTAAAACTATTCTAAACAGAATGGAAGGTTGAGATTCATTCTGTGGATCTGCTACTAAATACATTTCAAGTTGCCCAGGCCGAATTCAGACCGGTGTCGCTAGACTAGTGAATGTTATAGTTTAGGCTATAACTATCTTGACACTTACGACCTGGACAATTTGACTTATTTTGTAGCATGCCGAAGGAATTAATTTCGATCTTTTCGCTGGAATAGGTAGATAACATCCAGAATATCCCGTCCTCCATGCACTAGATATTATACATAAGGATGTTTAATCTAAAAAAAAAAAACATGAATAAATGTAGGCTATACTACATAAGAGAAACACAAAAGGCTTGTCAACATTTTTTAATTTTAGATGTAAACATATTTCCACATTATTAAATTTATTCTGCTAATTAAAGATTAAGCATGCATCATGACAATAAATTAAATATAATCGCTGAATTTATTTAACTAATGACAATAATTGTAGCAGTTACGAGATACAATCTTTAAAATATATGTTTGCCACTTGTCCAAGTTCAGGAAGTAACTGTACAACAGCAATGAGATATGTTGTCAAAAAAGCAATGAACTGAAACAGCATAAAATATAAAATAAATTATTTACTCAGTAATTAACATGTTTTAATAATTCTGATCCATCCTACCATCTTCAAACTTTAATGTGTAATCAAAGAAAATTTCACAGACGGTAGTTTGGCGATTCATGGCTTACATCATGAAAGGTTTGCCATGAGATTGACCGTGAGTTTATATGTACGTACAATTGCAATCGCTATGTAACCAGTATCACAGGCGATGAATTTTTATAACTTTTTGAATTTTTAAACAGCATAAAATCTACTTATTGTTATTGCTTAAGTTGTTAATTGACTAAACAACACACTTTTTCATTAACGTTAGAATAAGCAATATGTTAATTTTCTTACCGAAGATAGGAAGACCTTGTTGATGATAACATAATCATCGATGGAAAAATCATTTATCATCTTCACAAAGTAGACGACCTAAAAAAAAAAAATTCCTGTTGTGAAAGGAATCATTTAAAAAATTTCCTTCCTAAGTGCACAACAGCTTATTGCTACTTACAGGTTTGATCGTACAATTTTTTAAATAATTTTGTATTTCACCGATTTAAATAAAAACTCCATGATAACAAATGTATATTTTAAATTAAAGCTACCAAGAATAAAAAGCAAACACGTACAAAGGTACAGGTTTCAACACTTCTCATGAGAATTCAATATTTCTTTTCCAAAAAAAATCGCTGCTACCATGTATAAACTAACGACCTATGCACATACATAAGACGTAAAATATAGAAATAGAAAAATCATCTTTATTCTGGGATAAAGTCTCTTAAGAATAATAATATTGTTCATACAAACTATCAATAAATCTGGCCAACTCTAGACTTATTACAATAAAGAATAACTAAAAAATAAACATAACTATACGTACTTTTGAATATGCAGCTACTTTTTAACTTCTTATATAGTTCATACAAATCACATTTGGGTAAAATTTATTACATTTAAGGATAATTAATAATGAATAAATAATTATTTTTGTATTAATACTTTAAGGTAATGATTAATTATTTGCTGAAACTAAACAGATTAATGTTATTTCATTAACTATCTATCTAAAAAAAAATCTATTCAATAATTTATTTTGTTTCCTTTTTCCTTTATTTTATAAAATGAAAATGAGAAATAATTTTATTCTGGGACTGAAGTTCCCTCAGAATAATACCAGAGTTCAAAACATATGTACATCAGTCTGGCATTTGATATAATACAGATATAAAAAAAAAAAAAACTAGGATAATACAAATATTTACAAAAAAACTTGGACTTGGAGAATGAAAATACCAAGAAGGAACTGCCGTCGGGAAGCAGAATAGAGACACTTCAACTCAGTGTACAAGCTGGAAACATGAGAACGCTTAGGAATCCCAAAGATAAATCTTACGAAACAATTCATAAATCTCTTCAGTCTTGTGGACAGTCCTCCATACACCAAGAAACCGTATTCGAAGTGGGGGAAAATAAGGGATGTTACAAGGAGCTGTCTGTTTTTTTTTCTGGAATAGAATCACGGAATCGTAGGAATTGTTTAAGGATTATTATAGATTTACGAGTAATCTGGAAGATGTGGTTATTCCAAGAGAGGTTTTGATCAAAGAATACTCCGAGGTTTTTGATTGTCGGAAAGAAATGGATGGGACGGTTAATGAGATAAAGTAGAGAAGAGAAAGGAAGGGAACTAATGAGATGCCTAGAACCGATGAGGATAGCCTTCGTTTTATCTGCGTTCAGCTTCAGTTCATTTTTCTCTGCTCTCTTGTGGATACTGTCAATATCTTCTTGCAGTTCTCGGGTAGCCTCAGGCATCTCAAAAGATTAGGACGATAGGTAAATTTAGAAATCGTCTCCATATAAGTGATAGTCGGAGTGATGAATGGAGTCAGGAAGATCGTTAATATAAAAGGAGAAAAGGGTCGGTGAGAGTGAGGAACACCTCGTGATAATAGATGAGACGAAGAAGGAGATATTTTAGGAATAACAACTTTCTGGGAGCGATGGAATAAAAAGGAGATGAACGATTTCAGGAATAATTTGATATGGGCAGGCTTTGGAATTTGGAAAGAAGGATATTATGATTGACAGAATAAAAGGCTTTTGTGAAGTCATAAAGGACTAAATGTGAATGGAGATTTTCTGTTGATCTATGGATTACTGGAGGTCTTGGATATTCTTTAATAAGGCGGATTGAGTATTGAGCCATTGAGAGCGAAATCCGGATTGTAACGGATTTAGGAGATGATTTTGCTCGAGAAAGGTATTGAACTGAGAATGAACTAATCTTTCTAAAGTCTTGGATAAAATTGAAATGGATCTGAAGTCAGACGCTAATGAAGGAGCTTTATTTTATTGTGCTATCTTTAATTCTAAATTTTATAATATATTAAATAAATGTTAGTTAACCGGCAATTTATAGATGGATTATTTATATTATTATTTATTTTAAATATAATTTCTAATATATGTATAAATATATTCAGCTTACCTGTTTTCTAGCCGAATTATCATTTTTATGTACTACAGTGCTTATAAGATGATCAGTAATATTATCTATCTATAAATTATTATTATTTGTTAATATATCCACTCAAAACATATAAATAATGATGAATATTTTATATACGCACTGTCATAAAAATATTGTTTGTTAAGTGTGAAGCCATCCATATCAAGGGTAAAAACGGCGCCATGGCTGTAAGCTCTGCCCAGTCTACTAAATTGTCCTTCCATATTAAAAGAAAAATATTTATGAGTAGTCTTGATCCTATTACAGAAAATATGAGGACAATTATTGGTTCATAGTGCTCTTGAAAATGTTTAAAGCAACTAAAAATATTCCATAGAGTGATACGATAATTTTCCAAAGTTTCTGACTGCACATTCCTAATGCCCCGTAATTTCCTCAAGTTTCGCTCAAATGATCGTAGGCGTTTGTCTATTTCAAAGACAAACAAAAGGTATAGTATAACATTGATTCTCACTGTTGATGAGAAAACTAAATGCCAAAAAAAAGTAAAGAAGTCACCTTTGAATATTCCGAAAGTATACAACGGTGCTTGAATGAGAACTGTGAACCCGGCAAGAACGAGCCATCCAAAACTATACCCTGCAAGGCTATCGCACATAGAGACTTTTTCAATAAGGTTTGGTAATCCTATGGACACAAAATTACTTGCATACATTGGGATGATAAGAAATATGAAATCGATAAGTGGACATTTTTTCAAAGTAGTGAAATAAAAAAGAAAACAAGGAAATACGACGAATGCCCAAAATGCAGACAATGAAAACCAATTAAATTTAGATCCTCTGCGCACATAAAACGGACACAACCCAAAGATCCGGGCATACCAGCAAATAGACGATATCCTTTTATATATATCCATTGCTGTTCTCCTACGAACTTCATAAATCAATATAGTCCATGCCGTAATATGCCATGACCAACTACTCCACTTATCCCATTAAGGTCATCAAAGTGACATGGAGGACTGATAACTTATTTCTATAACAACACCTCTAGATATCAAGAATATTTTCTTTATGCTTTAGCTATAAATACAATTAATTCTGTGGCGATCAAGAAGAAAAAAAATAATAATAACATTGTTTATTGTAATTAAACAAAGCAATACAAATTCATATTCGAAAAGTATTTTAGATAAAAACCTCACATAAGTTACTAAAGTTAAATTAAGAGTATAATATATTTTTCGAGCTGAAAAACTTCCATGGCTTTTTTTATACACAACAATATAAAATTACAAGAAATATATTTCACGAACGAGTCATATAATCACAGTGTTTAATATAACATAATTAAAAATTTCGAAACATAAGATGAATTTGTATTCTTTTCTGTTCTTTATTCTTCATGTTAAAGTGATTTTGAATTAGCTACATTGTATCCTACTAGTTACTGCCTTGGAACGTCTCGTTAGGTAACATAGAGGTAAAAATTTAAATCTGACAGGGGCTACTGACACTATTAATTGTTTACAAACAATGAAATCATGGGTTGCCCCAAATTTTTGTCGGTTTTATTAACTATTCTCATTGTTATTGCATCTTACATTTTTTATCAACCTGGAACTTCAGTTCCAGGTTTATTAGAAGCCACTGAATTTTGGAATAATTTTGTTGCTCATTTTAGAACAGTTGATCAGTTAGTACCAAAAGATGATTCTAATAATAATTCTGTTGACCAGAATTCGGAATTGCTGTTTACTGTTAATGAACTGAAACAGTTTTCTGGAGAGAAATCAGACAAAATTTATCTTTCTATTTTGGGGAAAGTTTTTGATGTTACTGAAGGTAAAAAATATTATGGAATAGGTGAAGGCTATCATGGATTTGCAGGTATTTATTTAAATTAAATTCGGTGCTTAAAAAAATAAAAACTATTTCTATATGATTTGTAATGCAGGAAGGGACGCAAGTAAAGCATTCATCACTGGTGATTTCACTGAGCAAGGATTAATTGATGATATTAGTGATCTTACCTTAAATGAACTGAGTGACTTAAAAGAATGGGTACTAAAGTATGAAAAGGATTATATCTACAAAGGTATAATTAAAAAAAGAGAGTTCAGAAATATTTATAATTAGCATAAACACTTTTAACTTTGATCTTTTAAAGGGAAACTTATTGGAAGATTTTATGATAAGAATGGAGAACCAACTAAATACCTTAAAGACATAGAAAATAAATTGCCACTTCTTTACGCTCAGAAGAAAAATGATGAATTTTACAAAATAAATTATCCACCTTGTAATGCGGAGTGGACCCCTTCGACTGGATCTAGAGTATGGTGCTCTCATCTCAGGTAATGTGTTTTCTCAAAATGAATAGAAGATTGATCAGAGATAATTAATTAACCTTTGACAGTAGCCATTGCTAAATAAATCATTTTTTTTTTCAAATGATTATGTAAACTGCTTTATTTTAAAATTGAATCTTGAGTAGTATGAAAATTAATTTATTACCCGACTATACTTAAAAAAAAAGGGTAGTGGGTTTAGTTAGACTATATGTATGTAAGGATAAGCCAAAGCCTCTTAAAGTACTATTTTGCTGGTACTGCCCACGACAACAAAATAGACTCCTTTCTATTCCACTAAAGCAGTGCTTAAATGCTAGCAGCTGAATAGTACCTTTACGTATTATGTTTGCCATAAGATACTTTTCACTACATGTTTATGTTTTAAAAATTAAAATATTTCTGTTTATAATTTTCTTTCGGAGAAATAAAAATCAACTGAAAAGGCATACAAAGAATAGTAGCTATCGACTCTAAGGATATATACAAATAATTTTAAAAAAATAAATATCAAGGTTACGTCTTCAAAAATTGACTTTTAGTAAGAGAGAAAACTAAAAACTGAAGCTCTGCACCGAACAAATAGGTCTTGAGCCTGTACTATAATGGATTATTTTATGTTAAAGGTTAGCTGTGCACTATTTAAGTGGATACTTTCTGGTTAAGTTTTAAGCTTCACAAATTGTGTGAAATAGACTATTTTGAGAAAAAATTCACACCTATTCCTATCACTGTACAACTTTCTGAAGAATGTTCAATCTTTAAAAACTTGCAATTTTTAATATTATGAAAAATGGCTAAAAGTGATTTATAGCATACCAACATAGACTTTTCTTACTTCTAGAAACTTATCATCCTTGCTTATCCAATGCTAAAATACATTGGCGTAGTAATATATTATTATTTTTAAAGAACTGTGTTAGATATAATAGTTTTAAATGACCTGATTTTTTAAATGTCAGTTGTTATTTATTATAATTTAAAAACTAATTTTAGGCTGTTTTGCTAGTTTACGCCCAAGAGTAAATTTATCTGTTTTCAGTGGTGGAATAAAAAGAGACTGGATTGGGTTTCCACGTAAATTTCATCAACCTGGTTCAGGTGTTACCAGATGTGCATGTGTCAACTTAAGGAGTGAAGAAAGCAAGAATCTAGGAAATTTTGAAGTTTATGAAAATTGTGATCCTTATGCTGTTTCTTGTTATCTGAAACAGTCATGATTAATTATAATTTATAAGTTTTAAGTTTAAAGAAAACTATGATAATTAATTCATATTTGGAGTTTATATGTTCCTATATTTTTGGAGAAGGGTAAAGCACTGGACAAACCACTCCTGGTCCCAGGCTCAAGTCTAGCTGTAGCAGATATGTTATCTTTTCTGCTAATAAATAATAATAAAGTAGTCAATCGACTCCTGGACCAAACCTAGACTTTATGAAATGGATATCTGATCCTTCACTGGGTTCGGGAATGAACCTGAAAGTTAAGCATGGATAGCAGCCTATCTGACAGTTGGTCAAGAAACTGTACTTTCTTCCCATTTATTTTTTTATATATATACTAGATTATTATATGTATTATTTATTTTTTGTTATAAATGCCTTCATAGAAATATGAACAGAAGTTAAACACCCACAATCTAAGGATCTATTCCATAATAGTTGATAGTTTTTGTAATTATTAATGTTTTTTATATATCAATCTTAAGTTACATTTTTAATGATAATTATTTGTACTTATAAATATTTATATTTAGTATTATTTAATATTGTTATATTTTATTTTTATTTTAAATATATAGTACATGATTATGTAAACTTTTATTTATTTTTTATTAAATATTCAGTAATGACTGTAATTTTTTCTCCGAGTTATCCTAGATGTGCTTTATATTATTTTCTCCCCAATATTTCTATATTTCATGTCTCCTTGAAGACCACTCAAATGTTTGGGCAGGGAAAATAATATATTCTCTGGAAAAAGGGAGGGTAGGTAATGAATAACTATGGCACCTTTTAAAAAATGTGTTAATTTTATAATATAAATACAATATTTTGAAAGTAAACAATTTTTTTTTATTCAAATATTATTAAAATTGTATGGCATTAGTGTAGAAGTTGGAATGGATGGTATAAATAAAGTTATGCTCTACCCCACTGCATGAGCTTCAACATAACACTGTTAAGTTTCAGTAATTATTGCATCCTTGGGAGCTATGCATGTTTACGCATCACTGTGGCTTTGTCATCAAGGGATCTCTTAGAGTACTGTTTACTCCATTACAAGTAAGAAGACAAGCATGGTTCTCTAGATGGTGTGAAACTTTTTCTTGAGTATGATTGTATTTGAGAAATTTATTTTAAATAAATAAAATTTTAACTTTTGAACCAATTTATATGTGCAAGTAAATTTATCTGCAGAGTAGAATCAAGAATAGCTTTGTAAGAGGATTCTGGAACATTTAGTTTTCCATTATTAAGTAGAGTTAGATTGGCTCTTCACCTCCTTTTGTAAACAATATTTCCTAGGTACATTCTTTTAAAAAACAATACACTATATGTCTAAGTCTAAGATGAATATTTGGAATACCTACTCTAATAAATAAATGTTACCAAAGTAAATTATTAATCACATTTTTTAAAATACTAAATAGGAGAGAGATATTCTGTTGATTAATTTATAACTTTTTATATAAGAATATCTCAAAAGATTAAGATCACAACACTATACTTAATAAAGAAAACAATTTTCATTAATAGAAAAGTTTATTATAGTTTCAATGTGAAATAGCAATTTTATTACAGGGTAGCATATGACAGGTTGTTATAGAAACATGATTATGATACAACTTCTTATATTTATTGGGGTAAAGCTGCAGTATTTACAGATCCAGTAACGATTAAAATAAATTTTAAATGCATTCAACTCACTAAATTAAACCAATTAACCATAAATAATAGGTTTTGTAAACCAATACAAAAATAAGAAAAATTATATAAATGACCTTAATACTAGTAATTAAAAAAAATAATGACATTTGGAAATGATTCAATGATATATTCTTTTTAAAAAAATGTACAGTCTTTGTAAATGTAAAGTCTGAAATTAACTAAAATTACTTTTATAAACATTTAAATGCTACACAATTTAATGTCATAAACTGATCCTCTTCAGTCTTTAAATTTTCTGGTTAATACAAAAATACTAGCAACATATTAAAAGGATTACTTGAAAATAAAAGAAAACTCCTGAAGGAATGATTTCTAAGTTAAAATAATAAACATTAAACTTGGCATTATTGATCCAAATTTATTGATTGAACAAAGAAAATAAACAACTCAGGTTTATAAATCCATTTTCCAAAATTGTCTTTGAACCTCTTGAACACGAGCTTCGGCAATGCGATCTAAAATTTTTTTTGCTTTAGCTTTACGTTTTTTTAATTTGGCTTTAGATACAAACTGTGAAAAAGATATAGCTCTTTTGGCTTTTGAAACACTAATTAATACAACTTTTCCATTTTCTTTAATAGGTTCTTCAAAAATAGTTTCTAGATGTTGACGCTTAAAAGGGCCTTTTCCCTTAATTACATTGTGAAGAACTTTTTTAATATTCCCTTCTATATCAGTACAGGGTCTTTTGTGAGGTCTCAAATTGAATCTTCTATTAACTTGTTTCTCGCATGGTGTTGATGGGGCACTGAAACTTTCTTTAACATCCACAGTTTCATTATTTTCTTCTTCAGGAATTTCATTAATTGTCTGTAATTGTGTTTGAGAAGTTTCTGGAAATACCTCTTGAAATTCAACATCCATTTTTAGACCTTCCAAATACCTTTATCCTGGAACAAAAATTAATCATCTGGACATAAATTGCAATATTACTGGTACTGGTACTGCTACAGGTGGGGGGAACTAGTCCGGCAAGTGGGCCCAATCGTGGTCCTTTTTGCCAACCCCAGATATCTACTTTGAGGTTGACGCCGTGCACTTACCAGCGTGGGAATGTCACAATCCATTTCCCAGACCCGCCAAGAAATGAAAAGTAACCGACTATAAGTAACCGGTGAGGATCGAATACACAAAGTTCAGAACCGGGCACACCAGGACCCATGCCCCAACGCGTTCAACCATCCCGTCCTATGTGGCAATGCGAAAGTGACTTCAATGCAACAGCATTACAAAATTCGTGTTTATATGTACAGGAATTTTAGACCCAATCCTAAATTAATCCAATCTCAAGAAAAAACCTTTCTTTCTATGAATAATGCAAACTAGTCGGTCTATGCAAATAATTCACATAATATATTGGTCAGTGAATAAATGGCAATATAATTTGGAAATAAGTAAATGCAACATATTATAAGGTGGAATTAATTTTTTTTCCGATTAAATATAACAGTTCATTCAAAATATATGAGTGAATTATGATTGGCTATACTTCACTAAAAAAAGATATTTTATTTATATTCGTTAAATTTTTTTTTTTGGTTTGAAAGGAATTTAGAAACTTTTCGAATTATGATGGGCATTATCAAACATAAATTGTATATTTTGATAAGAAGTTGGTCGTAGGTGAGGTCAAATTAAATACTATATATTATAACCGTATTTTATTGGATACGTTGATGTTTCAACCCATTTTGTAAGTCTTCATCAGTGCTACAGAAGATACAAACTATAAATATAAATTGGTACAAGGTAAACGAACAAAATAAATGCATTATCAGTAGATATTAAACAAATACAAGTTGCCTGACTAAGAATTTGTAAGATATCAGTGATGTAGTGTGTTTACAAATTATACAACTGTTAATTTTATTGCACTACCCGTTGCTCAAATTTTATAACATGTATTCTGTGGTTCAGATTCAGATTTTTTATCAACATAAAACTCAACGATACCACAGTTGGGACAAAGTTTTTATTTCTTTAAAATTTATATTATACATTGCGCATTATTGCCAATTTATAACTATAATGTAAATTCAACTTGTCCAGTTTCAGATAAAAGCAACAATAATTTAAGTCTTTTATTTCTAATATTTTCATTGTTCATTATATTGTGTTTCCTTTTCTATTTCATAATAATTATAATTACATCGCAACATAATATAATAATTGATATCTTGTATTAAAGGAGAAACGTCCTGATCCAAAAATAACTCCTGTTACCCAGGTAAAATCAAACTAGATGTATAAATACCATTTCTCATACAAATTTTTAGTCTAAAATCTTTATTTTGTATTAGGAGAGTATTTGGTAACAGGAGCTCAACATACGTGTAATTAAATGAATAGCTGTGTAATTATTAGTGCTAATAGGAGACCTAGCTCCTGTAGCCTCTTACTATATTAATTCTAAAATAAATAAAATATGACATATACTAAAAACATTTTAATATAATATAATAATATATATAATAATTTGTATTTTAATTGCACGATAACTCACTGAATCACTTATATCATCTCATAAGTTCTTTGTCAGACAACTTTTACTTGATTAATATCTACTGATAATTCATTTATTTTATTTTTTTATCTTGCACCAATTTATTTTTATAGTTTGTATATTTTGTAGACCTTATGAAGACCTACAAAGTGGGTTGAAACATTGACCTATCCAATAAAATACTATTATAATATGTAGTATTTAAATTAATCACACCCCTGACCAACCGAATTCTCATCTCTAGCCATACATAAACCTGGTTTTAGGCAATGAGAGTAAACTGCCTTAGACATTTTTTTAATTTTTATCAAATACCAAATAGACAGACTACCATTATCTGACACCTTCAGAACTATATATGTATTATAGGCTCATAGAACATCTAAAGAACATTTCAGGTTGCGAGTTAAAATATTCATATGTCTCTGAAAGATCTTAACTCATAGCTTAAGACAATTCTGTGTTCTGGAAAACTATAAGACAAATTTAGTTTTGGGGCTGCCAAAAACCAGTAATTAAGCATAAGTAATATTTCAACAATACCCTATGAATTTAATAATCTTTTAATTTAAACAAATAGATTTACAATAAAAAGATAGATGAGGAATTACCTAAATATTAATTGAGAATAAATAAATATAACAAGGTAAACTTAATATAGATAAAACAATTAGGAATCTTACTTAATTTTTATAAAACAAGGACCATACAAATGTATGACATCAACTGGACCATGGAAGCTGGAATTATATAAATCCATATCTAATCTTATTAGTACACAATGTAACTATTTGGTTTATGCTGTGGATGAAAATAACGTCAGTTCTTATAAATAATGTTATTTTAAACAGAGAAACAAAAGATTCTTAAGATTTACAACTATAAATTAATACTAAAAAGTTGTGCTGAATTAAGCTTTGAGACTTATATTTATTAACATATCTGACATTTCAAAAGACTGTTTTTAAGCAGTTAGAAATGCTTAAAATAAATATTGTACATTAGAATTGAATAAAAATTACATAATCATAAATTCATTCCTACTACTTCAGCTAAACTTCTTAACGCTTGCCATCAAATAAATAATGAAAAGTTAAAAGTTATTAATGAAATACACATAAGAGACTAAAACCTGGACCTACCTGAATAAATCAAACGATTTTTATGAAAATATGAATCTAAAGTTGTAGGAACGAACATGAGTTTAAAAATATTATAAATAAGACTTTATTAATTAGAAGGCCATAACACAATCAAATAGAGAATTAAATTCAAGAGTTAAATAGTTTACACATTTGAATGAACTCATGTCAACAGACAAAAATGGCAACCAACTTTCCATAGAGCTCTTGCACCTGCCATAGAATTGCTATTACTGCTTCGTTCATGACCTAACGAAGTCAAAGCAAAGAACAATGTCGCAGAAGCAAATTTTTGTAGGATATCCATTATGCTATGTTGCCTTTCGCAACTGACTGTCATACATTTCAGTTATTTACAGTAATGTTATTAAATATAAATATTTAAAGGGTATAAATCTAAATGGAAAAAGAATTGTTTGTTATAAAAAGCTGTGTGAAAAAAGATTTATATTTCGATTAAATAGCGCATCATACTATAGATTTTGATAATGGATTGCTCATTATTTCATAGTATTAAACGAAAACTGAACAAATATGTAAAATAAAATTATTTAAAAGTGGCTTCAACGTCAAGATGAAGAACATTGATTATGACCATTCTTGGAAGACAAAAGTCTTTACAAAAGAAACAATTTTTCCACCTAAAGACATCCGTAGCTAAGCTTGATAGATAAAAAAAAAAAAATCAATTTGAGCTGGTAGATACAAATTGACATCAGAATCCACTGAAGACATGCCTAATGAGCAACAACAACATAAGCTATTTAGACTAAACCCTAATGAGAATCAAATCCTGTCAGCTATAAATTAAAATTCTTGCATCGAGAAGTCTTCCAAGTTGATTAGATTGGGTGAATATTTTAGAAAGTGATCAGGCTCAAGGCAAATGAAAAACCAAAAAAGAGGTCAAGAAAAGTGAACTGAATTTAGAAAAGAGGAAACATAATGATATTTATTATTTTACAGATAGAACTATTAATAGAGCTCCAGATATATAAACAGCCAACATAGATCATGAGATCTATCAAGAACAAATTGTTTGTTTATCTCAGGATCGTTCTGACATATCGGTTTATGCTCATCAGTTTCAAGCACTAGTAATTCAACTTTGATACAAATTCAGTTTTCTAACCACATTAAATACAACAGATATGAATTAATTCAATTTTGAAATATATTTAAAATTAATGATTATATTTATTCTTCTAATTTTTGGAAAACCCCTCAAACCTGTCGGTTTTACCAATAGGAGGCAATAATAATATTTATTATTATTTTTATATTTACTTTTCTTAATATAAGATAATTATTTGGAAAAGATTTCATGATTGTTAATAAGATTTTTTATCTTTTCCTTACTTTTTGCCTATAAGTCGAATCTAATAAAATAACCACTCTCAGTTTGTAGATTATTCTTCATTAATTTGTCAGTTTCGGAGAATCTTTGTCCTCTTCAGCATATATGTGCTCCAGTATTGAGTAAGTATTAGTTATCAATAAGCTTGCTAAATGTTTAAAAAGGTTAAAACTGCAAACTAGTAAATCATGTACACTACTAGGTTGTTACAAAAGTACTTGTGCCTAAGTATTGCTTTATTTCATGTTACACATTTTAAATATTATTGAATACTACTCTTCAAAGTTAAAGTCCATTGTCTTCAGCTACTCTCACTTATATTTCTACTGATAATTGGATTTTATGCCAGTATAGTTCGTCTAATATAAGTTTCCCTGTAGGGGAAGGAAGCTCATGCAGCCTTTCCCCTCTCAAGCTCCACCTCTCCTCCTCACCGTTGCAAACACCTCACACCGAGAACACGTTTTTCAATGTTTGATTTTCTTCTATATTCTAATTTCGTAAAAGAAATGAAACAAAATTGGAGAAAAAAATTTCAACTTGTACACAAAGTTGTGAAAGTACATAGGAAAAGAGAGGGAGAGAGGTCGACCGGGAAATATATTGCCACTGCGCACCTGTCTCTTCCTCTACCCACTAGTAAACTTCGCTACCACTCCTTTGGTTTTGAGACAAAAAAAATTAACACATCCAATTTTTACGTCCTTGTAATTATCAAAGATCCGACATTTTTAAAAATGAGTCATTGATAGCAACAAACCATAATCTGATGATGCAATATCTGGACTATACGTAGAATGAGCCAAAACGTTTACTGTTTGCAGTTCTGATATTTTGTCGTAGGTCAAACGAAAATGATGTGCAGGGACATTGTTGCTTTGGAATTAGTTCCTGTTGACCAAAGCGGGATACATTGCACTCAAAACTGCACGAACTCTGTCTACTTGTTCACAGTAAAGGTTTGAGTTAAGTGCTTGATCATCAGGAACAAGTTCAAATTTCAAGCCACCTTCGAAGTTCCAACAAACACTTTTTTTTGTGAACCTCCGGTTGTGCAACTTGACCTACCAACTGCTGGATTTTGCTACGATTTTTTAGAACACTTTTCATCCCTTGTGATAATTATTTTGCAGGACCTGACATCTTTCGGATTTTATATATCTCAACCCGCTTCTGGCCTTTTGTCAAGTCAGCCTAATTTTGTCTTAAATTGCAGTTTAAAAAGTCTTTAAGATGACGAATCAATGTCTCAAAAGATCGCGAATCACAATTATCTCTTCTGAATTTGTACGTGTGTTTTGAAAATGTAAATGAACCTATAAAGCCAACTCAAGTCACAAGGAATTAAAGAATTAGTCAAAGTAAACATTGACAAAAACATTCATATAGGATTAATTATGAGAGTTGAAATTAAGGTTGTGTACAAGGACATTTCTGGCTTGTAGTATAAGCCAATTAGTTGTGAAGTCTATGTAAATTAGTTAAATTATAGTTATATTTTAATTTAAAATAGCAATGGTAAAGAGATTAAATTATTAAGTATAATAATAAAACATAATAAAGAATACATCAGAGTAATAGATCAAACATTCTTTCTTTTCAGATGTAAGAATAGACAAATAAAAAAAAAATAAGTTGGGTTCAGGAATATTTTAATTGGTTTCATCTAAAAGCTATCAAAATAGATTTTATAAGACATCAAGGTTTAAAGTATTATCCAAAAGTATGTGATAGCGAAAATCAGAAGCAACGTACTTGGAACTTTTGTCTTGTTTTGCTCGAAGTTTATCTGGAAATGAAAAGCTTGTGGCGCCCTCTATAAACTTTTCAGTGAAGTTGTAGATTCCGTAAGTGGATTTGGGAGTTTGTTTTGATTGTCAGTCTGTACGTGCACAGAAGCTGATTACGAAAATGTACGGTTTTATCTATTTAAAAGACCTTTGAAAGCGTGTTAATTATAATGGCGAAAAGAAGTGTTGAAGTCCAAGTTTTAGATAGTGATTTCTCTCTTTTATTACGTGAATCAGTGACGTATGAATTTAAAATGGAAACAAGATCTAAATACAGATTTAGAAATTTTGTCATGTTTTGCATGTTACTTGCCCTGACGGGTATTATTTATTTTGGTTATTTTTGCTCTGACCAAGTCTGTGCCCTTACCCCTCAAAGACCTGTTTGGTCTGAATTATCTTTGAAATTTCCAGTCCAAGATAATTTAGGAAAGCCACTGAGCTTACATTCAAGCCCTTATAATTCCAAATCTTCCAATCCAGGTTTTAGTTATGATGATGTACTTAATGAAAATTTTCTGTTTGATATGAATGGACATGATGTTATGGTATTTTTGCATATCCAAAAAACTGGAGGAACGTCGTTTGGAAAGCATTTGGTTCAAGATTTGGACTTACAGAGGCCATGTACCTGCCAACGGAAAAAGAAAAGGTGTTACTGTTTCCGTCCCAACAGAAATGAAAATTGGTTGTTTAGTAGATACTCAACTGGATGGAAATGCGGACTTCATGCAGATTGGACTGAGTTAACAAGTTGTGTTGATACAGAATTTGATAAAAATGAGGGTGACTCTGTGAAAAGGAGGTTTGGAAATACAATTTTTTTTTCTGACATTTACAAAAGATCTAAAAAATAATAATATTAATATTTTCTAGGTATTTCTATATAACATTATTGAGGGAACCAATTTCAAGGTACTTATCTGAATTTCGACATGTTCTGAGAGGTGCAACTTGGAAACATTCTCGTCATTGGTGTGGTGGTAGGGAGGCTTCTCCTGTAGAGCTTCCTTTATGTTATTCTGGAGAATCTTGGGAAGGTGTTACGTTGGACGAATTCATAGCTTGTCCAACAAATCTTGCTCACAACAGGTTTGCAATTAGGTTTATATTAATAAATAAACACATGAATTGTAATAAAGATTCAATTTTACAACAAAATAATTTTAAATAGAATATGTTAGCACTCTCAAGCTTAATGTAGATTGTTATAAATTATGATGTACTATTTTATAAACTTCTCACTTAATCTGCTATATTTACGAATTTTTTAAAATTTATATTAGTAGTTTTTGTCATATATAGAAATATACTTTTAAAAGGTGTCAATAAAATTAGTAAATTATCAGGAACATTTTTTTATTAAACTAATTAAAGGGCTTTGAAATATATTGTTGATCAGAAATCGAAGACAATATTTCATTTATCAGATATTTATAGTATTACTTTATTAAATTAGTTATTATTCCAAAAAGTATTTGTATGGATGATGTATGATAATGGATTTTTCTTTTCATACCTGAAGTATTTGTTTATTGAAACCATTATTAAATTTAAAAATGTTAAATTCATTATTATAAGTATTGGTATTGTTAATTAGTATTAGAGAGAAATTTCCCCAATCTTATAAACTTCTTATTCATTTTCATCCTGCCGCTTTCAGTCTGTGTGTTGTATATTAGATGAAATTATCATGCACTGAGTACTAAATGAAAAAAAAATTAAATTTGTTTATATACACCCTTTAATTTGTATGATAAACCCTAATGTGAACCTTACATAATCAATATCATTGATTTAATATTAACACCTGTGGTGGGATCGGAGTGGTAAAAATAATGATGAGCCGGGGAAGACTTTTAACTCTGCCATTAATCCCTGCCCTTACCCCCGTATCGGGGTATCCTTATAGCCTCAAAGGCAAGGAAGGGGAGGACAAAAATAAAAAAAAATTATATTCTATTGTATTGATTCAATGTTATTGACATATATGGATTTTTTTTAAATGGTTTGATTTTATTTGCTCCTGCTCAGTGTGTTATCAGATTTGTTTTTGAAATTTGTTGTCACTGATGAAGTTCACAAGCCCATAAATTTCTATTCTTTACCCCAGAAAACTTTTTTGTGATATTCCAATAGGTTCTAAAAGAACCTGATTCAAATCCTTCCTTGCATTATAAGTTATTTCTTGATGGAAAATTATTGAGATTTGTCAGGCTAAGTCCATGATTCGCTACCAGCTCCTGGACAAATCAGAAAGTACAAAGTACAGAGCCACACTGGTAGTGCACAAGGAGACTGATGGCCAAAAGAGTTGTCACTCTTGTAGAGCAAACAAATCCAAAGAACAAAGGGAGTGGCCATCTCTGGTTATATAATGCCATGTAATCAGGTGGTGGTATGCTCACTGTTAAGGGAACACAGCAAACTTTCCATTTGAATTTAATTTAAATTAAATGAAGAGTCAAACAACACAGCTGCGATCTCGAGCAATATTGACGATATATCTCAGATGTGAGGCAGATTCCGCCATTACTGAAGTTTCGATGCTCATGCAGTTTGAACTCACTAAACTGGCCAGTAAGAAGATTAAGAATTCTCCTGATTTCATAAACATGGAGTAATAAAATACAGTGGCCAGCAAGAGGCCAAGAAAGGAAGAGCATGAACATGAAGACTGACACATAGAAGAAAGGAAAATCGCAAGTATCCCAATCCACCTAAATTTAAACATTGTATAAAATCCAAAATTAGCTAGAATAAACCAATCAAATTTATTTACAGTCCACAGCAATAAAATAAGAATTAGCCCCATAGCATAATTATTAAGTCAATATCCCTGACAACCGTGGAAGGGATTGGCTTAATAAATTAAATACCCACTCTCTTTGTTTTCTTCGGTGCCCAATGAAGTTTCACTATTCTCCTAGTTAGTCACGCATATTGAGGCTCTGGTTTAATTTGGAGTTCACCAAACTATTTTGCAGAAATCTCATAGGCTCCAGATTTCTTTCATAAAAAGTATATTTGTTGCAGTATAAATATATTTCTGTTTTGTACAAAAATCTATTTCACTATATTAAGAAGGATTAGTAAGTATATCCCTAAAATTGACTTAGATTATTCTATATTATGCAATGTGGTTATATTTCTTTATTAAGTTGTTTTTCTTTGTAAAATTGTGATAGTTAATTAAACATTTAAGTATTGGAGAACATATTTCCATTGATTGCTTTTCTTACTAACTTGATGGATTTTTTGGCTTATTGGTATGTATCAATTATGAATTGATGAACTGTGACTCTGATTGTTAGAAGTCTATCCCTGAGATCATTATTATTTTACCCTTGCTGATGGGTTTTTCTAAATTCAGAAGAAAGTATTGACAATCTGTTTTGGGGCTTATTTCCTTTGTAGTCATTTTCATTTTGAGAGTTTTGAAATGGACATTTGGATTAATCAATATCAGTGAAATTTCCTAATTATTAAAATGCAATTATAAATATTCTTTTCTAATAGCAATGAAGATGATGAGATAAAGCAGAATTTATGAAATAAGAATTGCCTTTCTTTGAAAATTATGGTGAATTCTTTATTGTATATATTTTACTCTGAATTTCTCGATTCTTATCATTGAATCATTTATAAATCATTAAAGACTAATTAATTTACAGTATACCTTATACGTATATTGAAGTTTATATACATATTTTTTTTCTCTTTGTCACAATATAGGTCAACACTGGATCATACGGATATTACTCAGCCTTCTTAGTCTTTTCTTTTCTCCTTCTCCACACCTCCCTCATCATCAGGTTCTTTGACCACTTCTTCTCTCCCTCCCCTCTCACTCCTTTCTTCTGCAAAGACCCTTGCTTGTTATTCCCAATATTGCTATTCCATTGTTTATCTACTCCTTAATATTCCTGAGACCTAGGTAAAACTATTCTTATTTTGTCTAATTTTATCTATCTTGTCCGTATTTTTGTAAAATGACATACTTTTTCTCATTGATGTCTCTATCTTCTCTCCACTTTTGTACAATTGGCAATTATCCCTCATTCTGTAACCACTCTCTATTTTCTTCGGCCCTTATATCTTTCACATGATTTTCCTTTCCATTTTCTACTATCACCACCATATTTGTGAACCTTATTATTTCCACCTCCTACAAATTCACCAGTTCCACTACAGTCTCGTTCTCATAGTGGCTATGTTTTTCTCTCTCCCTCCAGATAAATTTGTTTTGTTAAATATGCTTTCTGCCTTGAACCCTAATCTATCTATTTTTTTCTTTTTTCCATCTACTAGCCTAATTCTCATTAATTGCCTGTACCCTCCATTGTAATTTTTTATATATTTTACATAAATTATTTTGAATTTCAGACAAACTAGAATGCTGGCAGATTTGGCTTTAGTTGGCTGCTATAATATTTCTTACATGTCCCTGCTTGAGAGAAATCGGGTTATGTTGGCCAGTGCTAAAAGAAATTTAGCAGCCATGGCATTTTTTGCACTAACTGAATATCAAAAGGTAAATTATTTTCAATTTTAGAAATTTTATGAATCTATACCATACTATTTTGTATTTACTAAAAAATCCTTAAGTAAAAACCAAATTCTAACTTGAGGTGAAGAATAAATTTGAACCCTTGGACTCAGAGAATCTCACAGTGATCCATCTATTAGTAGGTAATACAGACAGTGCTAAAAGATATAACTAAGGAAGTGATAGGTATTCAGGAGAAATGAAAAGCTAAGAAGTGGCAGAAATTAGGAAAGATAGAGTGTAGGATATAAATGAAAAAAATTGCAAATGCAAGAAAAATATGGCATCAAAAGAAATGATTTTTATTTTGTGGTATGAATCTGGATTTTCCCATTCTGGTTAGAATAGATTTGGTTGTACCTCTTCAACAACCTCCTCCTCCCGGTTGTTTACTGTAACTGTCTGATCTTCACTTAATAGACTTTAACTAATATTTTTTCACACAAATACAGATAGAAAGCCGGGATGGCCAAGTGGGCTGAGGTGTTTGCAAAAGTTAATCAAAGTTAAGCTATATCGAGCATGGTAAACACATGGATGAGATACTGTTCATATAAAGTAACCGTCCTCCAGAGAAAAGTACGCAGTCCGACATTCCCCTCCTCCCGTTATATGAGGTCCATTAGCCTATTGGAGGTAACACAAAGATTGGGCATAAGAATGATGATCCTACTCTGTGTACTTTAATCGAGAATTACTATGTGATTTTCCAGGATGTCATTGGTCATTCTCCTGAAGACTGTTCCCATGGAAAATCTGTTTCAGGGAAAGAAATATCCCCGGGCTCTGTTGACTCTGAGCAGCTGTGACCCATGAATCTAAACCAATTTGTTACTGTCATGAACTAGAGTGAGTTGGTGGAAAGGACACTGCCAGATTGTTCCCAAAGGAATCGGATATGGCAGCCTGCTGCTGCACCGTTGAGGTCTGTAGCAATGTGAGATTGGATGACCGTCTCCAGGCTATCTGTGCTTGCATTATCAATATAAGTATCTGTAAGAAGACCACACATTGCATGGTCAAAGATTTACAGGATCTATTGAACCAAAAAAAAATATTGAAAAGATTTTTTTATTTCATATATTTGTTTAGAAAGCCATTTGACAACTTCTAGTTTCTTAGTCAACTCTTAACAACTATAAGGCTGGGTCCCCACCGAGCCTGTGGCTGTTGCTTCCTGATAGAAGACCTAAAGATGGACCTGAACAGTGAGTTTTGATGTTAGACCACGGCCCGTGGAATCCTATCCATGCGACAGCTCTGCTGGTGTATTATTGACCTCCAGACAGAAAAGCTCATCTAAACTTATCTTTCAATTTTCCAGACAGATTTACTGATAGTAGGTTGGTGCTTTCTTATAGGCATTGCATCTATTAGAACTTTTACCTTCATTGAACAACCTTCTAGTGAATGTTAGTTGCTTATTTAATTTGGTATTCTACCAGGAAAAATGTAAGAGTATGTCTTTTTGTAGACCTTATTGCTTTTTAGATATGAATAGCTCATAGCATCTGTTAGTGATGAATTAAGACATTCTACTTACCAGATGTTATTATCAATCTAAGGGCAGCATATTAGTTTGGGATTCCTAAACTCCTTATCATAATGCCTACTTTCAGAAAGATCAAATCGGATATACCAACTCACGCACTGACTGTAAAGCCAGAATGATCCGAAATCACTTCTGTTCCCTCCATTAATAAAGTCAAGATCATGAGTGATAATTTATTCTATGGTTTGTTAACCTCTGGGGTTGAGGTTGAAGCTGTCCTAGGCTTTATGATGTGTGTTAGCATCCAGGGCTGCCATAATATAATGTCTCCTGTAGTCCATAAGCCCTTCGAAGTCATGAAGGAACCAATCCAACCATAATGATTCTACTTTTCTTGTCATTGCGTTCTTGCAGAATATATTGTGCAGCTGCAGTATCTTTTAAACAAAGTTTGATTTTTTCCTTAAAGACAATACAGGCTCTTGGATTGAGGGCCATAGTTATAGTTCTGTATCCAGACAAATCCTTTCAGTTTGCCATTGAGGAAGTGAGATTATTGAACTAAGGTAACTTCTAGGCCTAGTTTACTGTTACAGAACTCCATATGCCGCTAAAATAAAGAGGTGGTAGATATATAAAAAAGGCATTTAATAATTTGATTTAACAAAAGTTATCCATATAGTTTGGTATTATTAGTTGTAAATTATATTTTCCTTTTGCCTTTTTAAATTATAAGAATGAGATTTTTTATAAAATAATTAAAGTACCATTAGTGTTTCTTTTTCAATTTATTTTATTATAATTTTTTCAGATTGGTCAATATGTATTTGAAGAAACGTTTAACTTGCGATTTGCTATACCCTTTGAGCAACACAATGCAACACTTTCAAGTTCTACGCTTTCTACTTTAAAGCCACATCAGTTACAAAAGATAAAAGAATTAAATTCCCTTGACATTGAATTGTATGAGTTTGCTCAAAATCTTATGTACAAGTAAGTACTTTATTTCAGCTCATGTTTTGTGTTTGTGTGTCATGGAATTTTTTTTTCTTATAAAATTTGGTAATTAATTGCATAATGTATGATTCTTAAATCAAAAACATTTTTGTAATTAGTTTTATTATTTATGAGATCAGCAATACATAACAAAGCTGTCAAAATCAATTTTTTATGTCTTAGTTAAATACATATGCCAAACCATTCCATTTTTACAAATGGCCACTCCATTCTTCTTTCTTTGTTGTAGGAGTCGCCTTTTCCTTTCAGTCTGAATGATAGTTCGCGATTTTTTGGTAGGTATGTTAAGTCTCTGGACTCGTAACTTCCAAGCTCAGGTTTGCCTTGAACTTTAGTAAACAATATTTTACTAAATATTGTGAATACACCCAACCACTATTAAAAGGGGTTCTAGTCTTTTAATAGGTTGACTTAATGCTGATATAGCACCCCCTTGTTCAACCATTTCCTTATCAGTTAGATGCAGATCAGAGGTAATAATCCGTTAAAGGTTGTGGGTTGAGAAAATGTTTTAAAATAATAATTGTTCAAAAATAATTTTAGTAGCTGGTACATTTGTTCTTCATTCTACTTGATTTGTAGTTTTATTGTGTGTTTATAAATATATTTGAATGTGTGTGTACATTATTTCAAATTTTTGTTGTAGAAATGTAAAGTATTTTTTTTATTATATTAACTACTAATTGTATGTTCAATATAATATTTATAAACATATTTCATATGATTTTTTTATAAACAGGAGATTCAATAAATTAAAATCTAGAGATCCAATGTTTGAAGAAAGATTTGCGAATCTCGGAAGACTTCCTGGCAGAACTGAATTTAACTGGGACCAAGCTCTCGACGAGTCAAAAGAGACTACACTTGAAGCTAATACTTGAATTACCTTTTTATATGATATTGTTGATGACATACCTTTGTGGGTAACCTGCCTGCCTTTTCGAGGTAACCAGATTTTTCTGTTGTTTCAAATTGTTCCATTATTCAGTTTATTTTACCATAGGTTAATTAACAAGTATATTTATATTTTTCTTTGTATTCCTCTACAAATGTTGTTTTCGTATTTTTGCAAATTTCTTTCAGGAATAACATATTGTGCTTATTTATTGGTTTCTTGAATAATAATCATGATCACTACCTCGAAAACAATTCAGTCAAGCATTTATATTATTATATTTCAGTTGGTAATTTTTTAATGAAGCTGTCATCATCTTAAATACTTTTTAAGATGGTTAATGGTTAAAATTGTTTGCCATACATTTTTAAAATTGGAGAATGACTTGTCAATAATAAATTTTTGACCATTGTGGTTAAAATTAATGGGATTGAACTTGTTAACATTGTTACAGTTGTTTTATCATAATATCCCGGTATTATACATAAGTACTATGTTGAAAATCAATAAGTAATCTCGATTCACTATTTTTGAAGTACTCGACAATAAAAAACAAAATATAATAAAACTGAACTAAAGATCAACGTCTTATTAAGGGCTGAAGTATTTTCAGTCTTGCTTTGATCTATTAATAACCTTCAATTACTTATAGTTTTTGTATTTTTTATTCTAATTTGTACTTTATGAAATATATTTTTTGTTTCTTATTGACACGTCAATTATTCAATCAAGTATTCATGTTTCGTTATTTTTATAATGCAGTGAAAACCTTTATCATAAAGTGTAGCTATAAAAAAATCCATTAATGATTTTTATTGAATTTTTAATTATTCAAATTTCAATTTGATCAGACCGATTAAAAGGTAAAAAATAAAGGTTTTAATAAGTTACATCTGACAAATTTAGTTTTTAAAACTAAGATAATGAATATGCAAACTTAGCAAGATGAGATTGAGTCAATATTTGCCTATAAATTTACGTTTCAAGGCAAAGATAATAAACAATTATGCTTACCTAAGTAAGAATAGGTGAGCATTTGCCTATCTATTAACCAACTAAGACTGATGTTGCTTTGGTTATAAGGCCTAATCTGTGGAGAGATTCAGTGGTGGTTAAACCGTTCAATGGCAAAGCTGCGGGAACGACCACCCTGGAAAACACAAGCCCAATGCATTTGTTGCCTTAGTGGCACCAAATGGTTTAATAAAACTAATTCAATTCAATTAATAAAGATACTAATATATTTTTCATTTATATTTATAACCATGTAATATAATAATTATAGTCCATTTAATTTTTATTATTAGTCTTAAATAAATGATTTTTCATTATTATAATTGAGAAACATAAATAAAAAGCTTATAATTGTTTTATCAAAACCAGTAAAGATTTGAAGTGACAATTATGGTTTGTTGAAGCATATATGATTCATAGCACAACATGTGTTTCTGTGAAGGAAACTTGCAAAGTTATTGTATGTTTTTACATACAATGTTTTTATGTGCCATCTCATGTGGTATTATTTTTATTAAGGAGGATATTATAATCTTTTAGCATAGTATGTAGACCAGTACATGAATTATAAGACTGTTTCGATTGCTAACCAAAGAATTCTGTTAATTTTAATTGTTTACTTAATTCTTTAATTTATAGTTGTAAATATTTGAATTTATTGAGTTCTGTTTCCTCATATCTTCTGATAAGAATTATCAGTGGTGAAAAATATCTATAGCACATCCTCATTGATCTAAGGTAGTATCTGATTCAGGTAAGGCCAGATACAAATAAAATTGTTTTAATATATTTAAGAAAAAAAAAATGAATATATTTTATGTGATGCTTATTTTAAATTTAGAATATATTTGTTATCATTATTTTATTTTCAACTTATTCAAGATATAAGTTCTGCAAAGTGTTGGATTTCAGAGGATGTATTGTAAAGTTCACTAGAACCTATATTTTTCCTATCTACACTGAATTTGATCTTGTCATTAAGGTATTTATTGTTATCAGTTAATATTCGCATCTTTGAATTACGTTAATATATATGTACTGAAACTGACAATATGCTTTTAAAGTTTAGCTATTGGAATAATTTAATATAACATGTATAAAGAAGTAAATAAATTTCTAATTATATATTTGATCATATATAAATTCATATGTTATCAGTTGTTTCTAGAATTACAACCAGCATTTTAAAATTGTTGATTGCTGAATAATGAGCAGAATCCTTTATACCATTTAGATTTTTATTAATTTTGTTAGTATATATTTTATTACTCACTTTTTTAAATGAAGTATCATTTATTACCATTTTACATGCTTGTTGTACTATTTTGTTTTTATTAAGTTTTCTTTTAAAATCTTTTTGTATGATACTGAATTGTTTTTAAAACCTGGATTAAATAGTGAATAGTTTTTGTTTTATTAATATTTTAACTGCTGATGGCAGCACAAAGAATAGTTATGGAGTTCCAGACGTGCAAGGGATGGGTTGGAGCTAACCCCACAGGAGGTGATGTAAGGTTGAAATCACCTCTCGTCAACTTTTTCTCCTTCCTTGTCAAAATCGGTTTTATTCCTTCTTTTAGTTGACCATAAACTATTAAATCATATTCTAATCTTATTCGTGCTATTTAAAATTTTTTCTTTATCTTAAAAGTTTGTTTTTAAATTAGTCTACCAATTTAATGATTATTTTATGTCATGAACATATATTTGTAATTTATTGTTTCTAAAATAGTGGTTTACATTCTTTAATTCTTTACATAATGACATATACGTGCCATGAAAAATATTGGTGATATGTGCCATTTAGTGATCTTTAGAAATGTCATACGCTGCACAATCTTTTAACAAGAGAAGTTTAAAAAAATAAAATTATTTTCATTGAGTAGGATAAATTGTTTCTGGAAATCAATCAAAGGAAATTTTGATGGAGTAAAAGAAAATTAAGAAGTGTATTATTAACAGATAAAATGTTTATTGCAAACATATTAAAAACTATCATTCCATATTACTGCATACTTTTTATTCTTAGACTAAAGATTAATAATGATTTTTATTTTAATCTGTAATACTTATTTCATGCAAATAAAGTATTTTTTTTTTGCGATTCAAATTTTTTATATCAGATTGATTTTTGAATAATGATATTCTACTTTATTCATTTGTAGATAATTGAAAACTATTTATTAATCTATTTTATAAAATTAATTAAGTTATATTAAATTTGAGAATAATTCAGTGTTCTTCCTAATTAATTTATTAGATAAGTTACATATTTTATACTGAGCTTTTTTTTTTTATGTTTAAATTATATCTTGAAAAAATGTTGATTCCTGTAAAATTTACTGTCTTACTTTTCCTCAGTTTTATTTAAAATTCTTAATAATTGTTAGGTATATTTTGTTTATGTGGAACAGATCTACAAGGTCATTACAGAATTGACAAATTAAGTTTCAATAAATACAATGGTACTAATAATTATCCTAGGGCACTTAAGATATTTATCGAGAAAACAAAATTGTGCTCAAATAGACTGCTTAGAAATAAAATATGTGTAAAAGTATTGAGAGGTCAATATTACCAAAACGTGGTCTGAATTATCATGTTAGAGTTTGTCACTCTGAAGCAACGGGCCATTCTTTTAACCTCTACTAATCAGTATTTAAATGTTTTTAAAATCTATGAAACATGTTATATTTCTAGCCATATATATTTATAGAATAATTTGTTGTGCTGTACCTGATTTTTGTCTTAATTTATGAATTGGCCTTAGTTTGTCTGTATAATCAGATTTGGCCTTAACTTTGTAAATAATTGTAAAAATTGTATATAAAAATAATCCATGTAAATAATAAGTACATAATAAATAAATAAAAATATTCAAACAGGAAAAAAAATGTTTTTTTTTCTAGTGAGTCTCATGTACCACTACTATGTCTTATTATTTGTATAATTTTCTATTACTAAAAACATTTACTTCTAATGATTTCCATGTGGTTTACTTGATAAATTTTTATAGTTTTGGATTTCGCCCATTGCAACTAATTTATGAGATTAATTTTCTTGTACTTCACATATAAATGTTTAGATTTGTTTCTGTTATTTGCATGTGATTTTTATTACTGTTAGTCTGAAAGATATTTTATGTTTTGAAATGTGTAGAAAAGTATGTTTGTTTTATGAATTATGAATAATTTTCAGTGTTGTTTCAGTTAGTAGAATATTTTGATGTGTAGAAGATTTTCCTATTACCTATACCTTTTTAATTACAATTACAAATTAATATTAGATAAAAGTTGAGTTTATGGTTAACTGTGATGCCTTCCTCATATTTAGTAATATACTGCAAGTAAGCATTTGTATGTATTATTAAATTATTTATATTTAAAATAAAATATACGAAAACAATCAGTTCTTTTTTTTTTAACAGAAATGATATTCCAGTCTCATTTTAATATTATATGCTATGTATAGGACATAGCATATTGTTTTGCTCATTTATGCTCTTTAACACATATTGGTCTAATAATTTTTTGCACCGCCATTCATACAAGGCTGGCTCTATATCTCTGTTTGGTAAAGATTAGGATTTAATTTATTTAGAATTAAAAGAACGAGAATCAATTAAATTTAGGTCAAATATAAACAAAAGTAACTTACCGGCATTTATGACCTCGACATTTTAGGCCTTTAAGCCCCAACAAATAAACAAGAATCAATTATTTTCTGTCAGATATAAATGAGGATTTTTCGTCATGTGGACGAATATGTGTCAATAACTTCTATTTTTTTTGCTGTATTAGAGATTTAAAATATTTTAAAAATAATCTTCGTTATCTTGATTTTATATATTTTAATTTCATTTCTCTTTTTTTAATTAGTATTTTGTCATCATTTGATCTACGAAGAGAGATATGTTAAAATATAGCGAATCCTAAGATTTTCAAGCTTTTAATTTATTTTACTCATAAGAGATTAAACATCCCATAAAATTTCTCTTATTCTTGCCAAAAAATGTATTTTGAACGACCTTAAAAGTTAAGGTATAATTAAGGAGCCTTGTGTGCCTCATTTTAGCTTCTAGTCAACCATTTATCCTACGTATAATATGCTAGTATAGATCACTTTTCTGGCTATTTGGAGAGGTGGATTTTTATGAATGAGGTATCGTATAAAACGGGATTTCATAGAGAAGTGACAAATCATAATTTCAAAACTTAACACTAAAATAAAAGTCATTGAAAAAATTAGGGAGTTTCAAAAGTAGACGGATCGAGATAGAATAAATTGTTTTTAAATATTTTGATACGGGCATCGTGACAGAATAAAGTTCTTTAGGTCCTGTGTTTAGAAAGTTAAGTAAAGTCATAACATTTTTAAGAAAACCTATGGGCCCAATCTTATACTAGCGATAATGAATCTTTATGCTACGGTTGCCATGGATTCTTATTCAAATGAAAATATCTTCTATATATTTTTTGTGGGTGAACCGTATCTTAATTTTTCATCAAATCTAATAATTTTGAAGATAGTCTTCTTCGGGTGGGAAAAATAATCACATCCCCCAACATTTCAGAGAAAAAGTTAAGAAGAAAAAAAAAATTTATTTGTGCATAGCTCAAAAAGTATGCCAATTATGGTCGATTACATTCATGATTATTTAATAGGTCTCTAAATTCCCTAATAAACCAAAAAAAAAAATATAAATCATCGAAATCAGACTATTATAAGCAAAGATACAGTCTATAGTTATTTTTACTCATACTGTGGTTTATTATTATGAATGAAGTATTGTTATTTGACCAAGAAAAAGAAAATAAATTCCTTCATTTCATAATACATAGCATTAATGTATTTCTATATTATTTTGCAATTGTTCATTTTCCAATGTACTATGTGAATTATTCGCGCAGGCAAACTAGTTAAATATCTAACTTCATTACTTTATGCATTAATACAGAATCATATATTTACACTAAAATGAGGGATTTAATTTTGAAACGAACATTTGGAAGTATAAAAAAAAAATGTATATAGTTGGAAATTTTGAATCTTGTATGATCTTCTCAATTATAGTTATAGTTCTCAAGATACTTCTAACAAGGCAACAGTAACATACTACTTCTAACTTCTAACATACTACCAGCAGTAGGCAGATCATTTGTTATTATATTATATGCTAGATAATATTGGAGCAAAAAAAAAAATCCTTAGGAAACAAGGCTGAATGAAATAATTATAATCAATTATTAAAAAGAAGAAGAAGGCACATCCACAACATTATGTTTTACCAAATAGAATATAAGAGGAAAATATAATCATAACATTATTCTTTCATAGAATGAATGTAAGACTTCTTAAAGAATGAAATGAGTGAAAGAACAATTCATATAAAATAAGTTTATATTATTTTAATATATTCATTTTTACATAAAACAATCTTGACCAAAAATTGGAAATCTAATTTTTATGAAGAAAAAAATATTGTATTGTATTTTATTATTCATAAATTAAATAGATTTTCGACATTGAAATAAACAAATCAAAATTTAAAAATACACCATATTTTATTTCAACATTCATTAATTAAATAGATGTTCAATATACAAAAAAAACCTTCCTTAAAAAATTGCATTAAAAAAACTCATGGTAATCACTTCAACAGTCCTCATTCCTGATGATGTGGTAGAACCCCAATCAATACACCAATGTGGCTACTACTAAAAGATTTCCTAATAACAATTTTTTAACATTGAAGATTTGGACTTCACATTCCATTTTTTTATTAGTTAATGATTGATTGTATCTTCTAATAAAACAAATTAAAATTACAAAAAATTAACAAAAGTAAAAAAATATACAACAATTAATTATAACAGAAGTTAAAAATAACAATAAAAAAATTACTTTAAATCAAGTTAAGTAACTATTTTCCAAATAAAATATATATCTAATAAGGTACAATTAATTTCAACATTTGTACTTTTTTTATTTTACAGAAGAGACTGTTCAATCAAAATTCTTTCAAAGCCACTGGGCATAGTTCCTTGAAAATTGTCTATGATAAGATCCAAAACTGCTCCATCATCAACTGAAAAATTATTATAATTGTATTTATAGGAAAATATTTAATCAAATAGTAGATTTATGAAATATATGTAAAAACAAACATAATTTTAATAAATATTAAAAGTAAATTAAGATAAGAATATGGATATATATAATTTTGAAATGGAACCAAGATAAAGGGGGATTTAAGGTTATAGGAGCTATTCTAAAAGCGTCTAAAAAGAAAAACAATAAATATCCAAAAGATATTAGTATAAATTATAGTAATTTAAGAAACATTTCAAGCAATGTAACTAAAAATTGACTAACAATTGATCAAGTAAATTACCAAAAAGTGCTGGATAGACAGTTCCTTTTATTGCTGTTAAAGGTTTCTCCAGAGCTTTACCATTTACATAAAAATTAAGATCTATGTGATCATATGAGACACCCTAAAACAGAAAAAAATCCTTTAGTTAAATCAATAGAAAATTACTGACAGTGAACAAATAAAAAAATGTGTTTTTTTATATTATATAACTTCTTTCTTAACTTCAAAAACTAGTAAATAATCAAATTACACAATAGAAAATACTTTGAAATACTTAATTCACTTCTTATTACACAAAATTCATGGTGATTTACAGAATGGCAGTTACTCAGAATATTTATGGATATTATTATTATAGATTATGCGATTGAAAGCCAAATGTCTTTCTCCAAATAAAGGCACCAATAATGTAAAAAAAAACACAAGGTTAAAAAAACCTATAGCTGTGGAATATTTGGTTTAATACTGATTACAGATGGAGGGTCGGGGCTGTGGATATCACAAAGCATTAACAAGAGTTTTCATAAGTTGAAGAAAAAAAGTTTGTTATTAATTATTCATAGAATCTTTTTCAAATTCATGATTCTAAGAATACATATTAAATTGCACTCCAAAAGCTTTTACCTTGATATTCAACATAATTAATAAGCACTTTCAAACAAAGTAAAAACTATCTTCCTGTAATAAATTCCACGAATCAACAGTAAAATTACCACCACTTATAAAGATTTACTTACTACAATGTTTCCTTCAGTGGGAATGTCGAGATTGGAATGGACAATGGTTCCATTATGTTGTAGAGTACCACCACTAGTTAGAACCCAAGATTCAGAATCCTTTCCACCTGATGAATTGAAGTCAGTCTTACGAGTAGCAAGCCCTATACTCCACTTACCTGTTTTATTAAAAATAGGAAATCATCATTAAATTTAGATGGTTTTCTAAAAATGGATAATTTCATCAAACTTCCTAAATATCAAACTTTCAGCTGAGTTAAATCAGAAAGGACCCAATATTTAAATTATAAACAAAAAAGTTTAAGAATGTAAACATTAATTAAATAGAGATTGTTTAGCAAGCATTTCCCAATCTTTTTTTAAAATATAATCTGTTTAGAAGAATGATCTCTATAAAACATAAAACTTAAATGGGAATCAGTTCACAAGAGTTCCGCATGGTTCACAATCACTTCGGCCACACTTGTCCATGGAGTGCTGAATGCGTTCGGGTTTATCCAAAAGAGAACGAAGGGGAACGATCTCTTGCATCAGTTACTATTAAATTTCCCACTATTTAAGTACTTCTATAACCTTAACCATGTTCAGTTATATAGCAGGAGCCGACTTACATTCGAAATTTGGGCTATACATCATGAAACCTGAATCGAACTTGTACATATATTATAGATCTGTGAAAAAGAAATAGTAATAGATTAAAACCTTTAATTATTACATCTGAATGCTATTTCACGACATTATTTTATTACTGATGATTTCCATTATTCATTATCAAGGAATTATCAGATATTCTTCGTCAGTTGTTTCCCCAATACGTTAATTCCTTTCTCGAAAATAAACACGATTTTTTTTTTTTTTTTATAGATGATTACAACAATCCCCATTTTCGGATTACCAAGAAAAATAATTGTGAATAACAATAATTACACAGCTAATTCATCGAATAAAAATAATAGCGATTAAAACAAAAAAATAAATTTTAAGTTAACAGTTAACTAACTGGCAAATCTACAAGTCTCGTTGGGATCGGACATTTTTGGAATAAATATTTATTAATATTTTTCAGAAATGATTAGTTTAGATGCTGAATCCCTATTTACAAACATCCCAATTGATGAATGTATGAAAATTTTAGACAAAAATTGGGAAAATATAAAGACTGAAACAAACATTAAAGATAAAAAATTTTTTTTAGAAGGAGTGGAGCTGTGTACAAAATATAATTATTTCAAATACAATGATGAATATTATAAACAACTATGGGGGTGGCCATGGGTTCAACATTATCCACCAATCTTAGTGGAATATATCTGAATAAATTGCTAACAACACAAATCACAACAAAACTAAAAAATAAACCAATTCTAATAAAAAAATATATAGATGATTTATTCATAATAATAAAAAGAAACACTGCAAATAAGATAATGGACTGCTTTAACAAATACAACAAGAGAATAAAATTCACATTGGAAAAAACAATAGATGATAAAATAAGATTTTTAAACATGGACATAATTTTAAAAGACGGACAAATACTAACAAAATGGACAAAAAAAGAACAAACAAGAAATAAAATACTCAATTTCACCTCTAACCACCCCAAACACCAAATAATAAACACAGCCCGAAACCTAATAAACAAAGCAATTACATTAACTGACCAGACTTACATTTCAAAAATAAAAACTGAAGTATACAAAATACTAACAGAAAATGTCTACCCAATTAAACTAATAAATAAAATATGGTACAGTAGAGCACACAACAGAATACACATACAGAATTGGAACAAAAACAAAGAACAAGAAATACCAAAAACACAAATAAATAATATCGAACAAAAAAAAAAAACCTAAACAACAATTTATTACACAGTTTTTCAAGGAGACAACCACAACAAATGACAACATCCAAAACAATAATCCACAAACAAGCAAAATTCACAATAAAAGAATATTTAACAAAATGACATACATACCACAACTTACAAAACAAATTAAACAAACCAGAATAGCACAACATACATCAAACTGCAAAAATAGTAAAAATATTAACATAACAGCCCTAACAAACCACAGTATTAAATCATTACACACTTTTGACTTCAAAAACCCAGAAATACTGGCAATAGAACCTAAAACAAATAATAGGAAACTGCTGGAAGCTATACATATAACAGGAAACAATAATAGAACAGTAAACTATAAAACAGATACAAAACATTTAGGTACACACTATTCGGACATAATATCCAATATTAAAAGTGCAACCGTGGACCAGCTCCAGACGCAGCAGTCGTAGAGAAGAGGCCGTCCTCACGCGGCTGAGTATCGGACATACTAGACTGACTCACCTCCACCTCATAACAAAAGATTCTATCCCCCGATGTCAAAAGTATAACCAATCACTAACTATAAAACATATTTTGGAAGAATGCCCTTTTTACACCGCAAGATTAAAAGATTTTGGAATACCCCAGAATATATCAGCATCTCAGGGAAATCAAGAAGAAATAGTTATCAAAGTCATCAAGTTTCTGGATAGTGAAAGACTTAAAAAACACATTTGACAGGCTTTTTTTATTATTAATTTTCTTTTATCATTATTTTATTATTTTCTCTTATTATTTTTTTTTCACTTGATTTCATTTCATTTTAAATTCATTTGTTTATTAATCTCAATTCATTTATTGATTCTACTGCTACTTTTTAAAGTTTATTTATTTATACATTTTTTATACATCTTATTACCTATAAATGTCTATTATAATCCTTATTTATTTATTTTATTCTATCAATCCATTTCTTTATTTATTTTATTTTATTTTATTTATTTATTTTTTTTTTTTTTGTACCAATCATCCAAATAGTATTAAATGATGTTATTTAGTTGATCGGGCGCTTATGACCTGGATGTTTTGCGCCTAGACATCGAAACAAACAAACAATATTAAAATTTAAAAAAAACAACAATAGCCAAAAATAACACAACAAACAACCATAATAAGAAATAAGAGGTTGGGTATAAAGTGCAGATATAAAACTAAAAATAGCCGGATGTTGATTAGTATATGAGTGAATATGTGTAACACCAAATAATTTTTAAAAAATGTGACAAATATTGAATTTTCGACAAATGGTGCCACATCAACAAAAAAGAATGGTAAATAATTGTTAAATAGATAAATTGGAATGATATTGTTAAATAGAAATTAATATAGAAAATGTTCATAATTACAGTAAAAATAAAAATATTACTCTGATGATGGGAAAATTGTCCAGAAACGTAAGAGAAAAAAAGCACAAATAAAAAAATATGAAGAAAATTGGAAGTTTTATTGTCTAAAATATGGAAAAATTATAAACGTAAGCTTCCTAATAAAAAAGAAAAATAATTGCGAATAACAATAGTTACACAGCTAATTCATCGAATAAAAATAATAGCGATTAAAACGAAAAAATAAATTTTAAGTTAACAGTTAACTAACTGGCAAATCTACAAGTCCCGTTGGGATTGGACATTTTTGGAATAAATATTTATTAATATTGTACACTTTTCTCGTGCAATCTTTAATCTGACATTATTTTCATAAAAACGTCCTTGACAACTTGACAAAGTGCACTTGATAAATACACAATTCGTTAATAAGGAAGTTCCATGAAGGGAATCCTTTTTTTTCTTCAAAAATGCATGAAAAAGAATTGAAGGAGCAATAGCTGACGTCATAAAAGACGACAATATTCGGCTGTTTTCGGGATTCCATGAACAAGTGTGATCAAAGTGATTTTGAACCACGCTTAATCCGTGTGGAACTCTTGTGAATTAATACCTTTAAATGTTTGGTAATTTCTGTTCTTTTTGATTTTTTAAATGTAATTAAAAATTTATAATCAATTGGGGTATACTTAACGAACAAAAACTGGCTGGAGAAAACCACATGACTATAATTTTTAACTTTTGAATATTTTAAACTTTTCACTAAAAATTATATATGTTTTTCAGTTTTATCTCAATTACCAGTTTAATACATAGTCATGTGAAAACAATTAATTGAAATATGGTCATTTAAATTTAATATTTTTTTTCAGTTCCATCAGATAAAATGTTATCACAACTATTTGATTAGACTTTGATTTAGATTCATTGACACAATAAATCAACTGATAAATTAATAATTTTTTTAATTGAAAAAGTGAATGAAATTGTGACTTATTTAAAGCAAGTCATAAATCCATTTTTATTACCTCCTTGTTGAATCTTCACTTCAAAGTACGATTTACTTTGCACTAGAGGTGCAGTACAGATTGCTCCTCCATTGCCACATATTCTGAATCCATTCTTTAGAATCACAACATCATGCCCTAAAAATAAAAATAAATACATCATCCTCACAATGATTTAAATTCAACGAGTGCCCTTATTTGTTTTTAGCATTAAGCAATAAAAGATCACAAAAATTAAAATATGAATTTATCAAATCAAAGACATGATGAAAAATGTATCTTGGAAGTTTCTATTTTATATTAAAATAAAAAAATGTTCACATGATCATAAATGGATTTGAAATTTTTATAATACCAAAAGCGAATTGGGTACAGTTACCTTTTCAAAATTAATCACAGAGCTGTAGGTAACAATTGTACTTGATCAGAGACCTTCAAATTAGTTAATAATAACTGTGGAATAAAGTCGACTTTGAAACAAACTTTTAATAATAAGGGTAATATCAAAAGAATTCGTAAGATAAGTTTTCTTCTTCACGCTTACTCATCTTCAGTACTTCCTCAACTGATACTGACTATGGAGAATCAATATCCTCTATTGACGTTTCCATTATAAATCAGTTTATTCTTAAAACTTTTGTTTTAACGATCTACTATAAACTAAGCTGTTTATGAAATTAATATAAATAGTATCGTTAACATTATTCATGTTATACATGCATCTCAAAGATCTATCAAATCAGTACCATTTAATAAAAATATTTACCACCATCCAGATGCCTTTTTTTAGGAAATTATTGCTGAAACTAATATTTATTTTTCTATATGCACATTTTAAATGACTCCATATTTTCTATAGTTAAATAAATTATATTCATTTCTAGAGCTCAATGAACTTTTCAGTAAGAAAACTGATGTTTTTCTATCATAAACTTTCAACTCAAGCTCTTTAAAAATAAATTGTTTAGAGTGCTGCCAGTGGGTAATTTCTCAACAAGTGTTTTCATGTCATTATATTTCTGTGTACACATTTACTTAATGTATTTATATTAATACAGTTGTAAATATCATAAATAAAAAGAAAAGTATAATTTAGAAGAATCCAGAACCTAATTCTTTTTTTTAAATTAAAGAAAATTAATTTTTTTTTTTAAATCTGTTACAAAGAAGATACCAGAGTAAACAAAAAATGCGAAATAATAATTTACTTAATCATAACTAAATCCTGGCAAAAATAGGTTCATAAAGATTATGAAGAAACAGTTCAGCATGCTTGTTTAAATGTAAAATTTAACTATGGTCAGTCATTTTAAGGTTCCTATAGACTAAGATTATTAGAAATAACAGGATGCCTTAAAATAGATTAATGTGGAAAGTAATATCTTGTTTTGTTATCTCTTAAGTACTGATCATAGGCTAATAAAATCCTGCATCATGAATTGTCATTCAATGAATGGGTACAATATTACAACTTATTCCGATCTATTTCAAATTAGATGTAATAAAATTTATATTATAGCTATATGATTAATCAAGTTGATGGTTCAGTAATTAGTCAGTATTATAATTAATTCATATCAATTAATTTTAACTTAATTTTATATGTTCATTCATCACTCAATTCAATTAAGTGTAAAGACTATAAAGATGTCACTTAAAGTTTATTCATCACTGGTTCACCATTTAATCTTTAAACAGACAAAATTCCAGCCCTGGCCTAGAAGCCATGAAGGGCGAGTACATTGGGAAGAAGGTTCCTGAGTGCCCGGTTTGGGATAGGGAGAATTGAATATCCATCCATCATGATCAGTTTTTATTTATAAAATACAGAAAAAATTAAAACTGTTATCACCTATCTATTTGTTTCAGAGATAACTAATATCTTATGTAATAGCAATAGTTTACCTGTTTCCCCCTCTACCCTCTTCCCCAACAGTATTTTGTTTTTAAAATTTAATAAATGGTGATCACTAAATCTTTAATGCAAATTATAATTTCACTTACATAATGAAATATTTAATAACTGAAAATAAACTATTTAATAAAACAATAAATAAAGTATCTTATAAATAAATTGATAGACAAAAACTAACAAGACATTCCAAAGAAAATCTTTTTTATAATACTCAATAATCCCAACTTAACAATGATTTGAGAAACTTTTGGGAAGTACTTACTTATTACAAAATAAAACAGGGGAGGGAAATTGAGAGAGAAAAATTCAATATAGTTTAAGTAGCAATGCTGAACTTTGTTTATTTTTAATTCCAAGAAAGAAATAAAACCAATCATGAAATGAGACAAAAAAAAAAAAAAAAATCAAATATAGCATGCACATAATTTGATTTATTAAATGGTGGTTTTAGCAACATTTAAAGAAATTGCTTAACATACAAAGTAAAAAATTCAGAAAGACAATAATTATAATTTTTAAAACAGATTGCTAAGAAGCTAAAACTGACTACAGTTTATTAATTACATGGATATCCATAGATAGACAATATAATAAAGATATATGGTCAAATAAATATGAAATTTAAACTTCAGGTTTAAATCAAATCATGTGAAAATGATTGTACTTTATCCTCTTAATCCTGTGATATACAGAAATAGTAAAATAAGAATTGAGTATGTGCGTCACTGTCAATTGAAATTGTCTAATAAATAAATGTTAAAAAAGAGCCAATTCTTTACCCATATGCCTATTATCCAATATTATTGGTGTTATTTCTCTCGTGGAAGTTCCTTTAATAGTAAAACCAGTGCCTTCAAAACAAGTTTTAAAACAACAGATTGAAGCCAAAGACATTTCTAAAAAACAATTTATTCTTGAAAAAGTACAAGTGCTGTCATAAACTACTTTCTATGTATTACTCTTCATTTTTTTTTTAATGTAAGAAACTTTTATTGGCTAAAAATAATTAAAAACATTGGCCTAACATCTACAGTAACAACACAAGTCTAGATGACAACATAGGTTAGAAGTAGGTTATACCACCTGAAGCTTATTGATTGGAATTTACATAAATTTGTAGGGGACGTAAAATGATTCTCAAATATAATAAAGAACTCTACTATTTAAATTTTGTAAAGCTAAAATAATTTTTAAAAATATTATACAATAAGAAAACGAATTGTACGAAAACGGATATTTGGAAGGACATTCTATGATGCAGTCGGCATTGAAGTATTGAATTCGGCCATCTGCCACTAACTTAGTCTTCGTGAGTGCCAGCTTCTTCTTAAGGTTGGTTATTTGTTACAAATGAACTTTATTTATGATATTTCCATTGCAATTTGAAAATGTTGATGATTGTAAAGTATTTTATGTTTAGTTTCTTCTTAATTAATGTTGGATTTTAAGGATGTTTTTAGATTATTGTTTTCAGTTATGCACATATCACATGCTCATATTCGTTCGCTCTCTGTTGGAACAGGTAATTCACCATGGCTGAGAAACCCACAAAAGAAAAGGCGGAAAAGAAGCCTAAGGAGAAAGTAGAAAAGAAGCCTAAAAAGACTATTGAAAAACCTACTGAACCAGCTAAGCCAAAAAAATCTAAGCGAATGATTAGGAAAAAACCCGGGCGTTTGTATGCTAAAGCTGTTTTCACAGGGTTTCAGAGAGGTCAAAGAAATCAGAATGAAAATACTGCCCTGCTGGCTGTAGAAGGATGTAAAACACAGGAAGACAGCAAGTTTTATGTCGGAAAGAAGTGTGTGTTTGTTTTTAAGGTAAACAACCAGACATTTGGTTAAACAAAATTCGACTTAATATTTCTACCTTTTGTTATAGTCAAGGAAAAAGTTTAAATTTAACTCCTAACAAAACAAATTTCTTTTGCTTTAAAATTTTAGAAATCTTTAATGGTTGACCTAAGTAAACTACTTCCATTTTTTAATTAGTGCAAAGGTAAAATGATATTACTTTAAAAGTATCACTGGGAAGGACATGTTTAGGGTTGTTTATCCTCTTCGAGTGAGGGGGAGTCTAAAAGCAGCAGTGTAATTAAAGCTACGTAATTTCAATTTCCTAATTTTGACTGAAAAGTCCAGTAGGTAGCCAGAGTTGTAAATCCTGACCTAAATAATGATAAATTATCCTCTGCACGGTGTCTTTCCTTGGCTGTTCTCGGAAATATACTTAACTGTGAATGTGGTATAGCTTAAACTGATCTATTTAATTAATTAGGTATCTATTGTAGGTTTATTCCATAAAATCATTGCGTAACATTTTGGAAATTAAATTAATGAATAATTTAATGGATTGTTCCTCTATAAAATTTGCAATATTATCCATCTACAATCAATGTGACAACTTTTGGCCTATTGATTGTCTACAGTGAAAATCTCGTGATTACATTTTAGTAAGTTTATCAAAAGTGTAATGAGTTAAAAACAGGTGTGTTATTCAGATTTAGGGTCCTTATGAAGCTACTGATAAATCTCAGTGACTGGGTTTATGTGGTTTAAAAAAAATGGAGTTACGAGGTACATTTATCGACTACCATTAATATAATTAATCCTGATAAAAATTGTTAATATAATAAATAATGTAAATATAGTAAACCTTAATAAATATCGTTAATATAATAAATCTGCTTTCTCGATTCGTTTCCTTTCTAAAAATGAAAGAGTCACATGATCAAAACCTGTTCACCATTGCCTCTTGGTAAAAATCCACTTTTGAAACAAACTAAGTCACTGTAGGATTCTGTTTTTGAAATAAATCTTAAATTTTAAAACTAATGTAGGCTTAAGTCGGAATTCTCCTGAGGCAACACCGAACAACTTGTTGCCTTTTGCAGGCGTCCGACAATGTGGCACAAAATTCAATTAATGTCACATGCATGCACATTGTCGTATAGAGTGAAGCATGTGTCTAAAGCGATTCCATTCAGGCAACTAAGGTTTAGTGTACATCATGTTATTACAAACAGCCGCGGCAGCTGCTTATTTGCTTATTTCTTTGAATTGCAAAAGGAAAAGAAAAGAAACGCCATGATATTAGAGAAGAAAGCTATTTATCAATAGTCAAGAAATTCAGTATAATTACTTGACCAAGCGAAGCAAAACAAGTTTTTTAAAATAATGTTTAAACAATTTGCGCTGAAATACTGACACCCGTGTTTAAACAAAATGTATTTTATTAATTTTAAAATAGGTTTGTAATGCTCTCGTGAATGAGTGGCTGGATCAATTTTTAAGTTTTATGCCTCAAATTATTTTCTCGTGTACGTTTTGAAACAATTTGAGCTCAAAATACATAGGAAAAAATGATTATAGTTTCAAGTTTCTCTATTATTAATTGATTTGTAATGAAAGGGACTCGAACCACTGCACCAAGTTTAAATATTCATTGATGTCAATTTCCCAATCTACTAAAATGTTTAAGTAGATATAGAAGTACATTACCTTAAGGTAGATAGAATTTTCTTTAAATTAAAGTATATTTTAATATAACATGCTCGAAGAATAGTAGAAAATTCATTTGGTTTGGTAGCAAGTACGTTTCGTGTTATCACTGCCAGAAGTTGGCAATATTGACTTAGGTACATCGACGTCCAATAAAAAACTCAGTAGCTCATAAGCAAACCATTTCCCTTCCTTGCTAGGAGATGAGCCACTCTTTATTGCTGAAGTTTTTCACATTCGCAATGAAATGCTGACTACAAATTCCTTAATTTTTTTTTATCTCCATCAAAGTACAGTAATTATATTTATCAGATAATTGTTTCAAGTTTTTTTAAAATTCTTATATCTTTTTTTCAGTGATTTTATTATTCCATGATTCGGGAAAATTATTGTAATTGTCAATAAAAGTGGTAGTTTTTTCGTTTGTCCACTCTACAAGCTTTACTTTTTCTTTGTATCTGGTAATCCTTTAGCCCTAGTAATCTTTTATTGATGACCAAAACACTTTAAGAGTTCAGTTGAAGATATCAGATTAGCTATTTTAAATGTCTCTCTTGGAAAAAAAAAAATTGTATTATGTTTAATTGACCTTATATGACTGTAAAAACCACCTAACAGCATATGGTTAGAAAACTAGTACGGTAATTATTTTTCCATTTAGTAATGTCTAGCTAAAACTGCTTACTTTAATCAGTCTTATTTTGTGTCAAGTTACTCTTTCATTTATATTAAAGAGAAAGGATTGCTGGATTAATATTAATTATTGCTCAAAATAACTTTTTTGTGTTACATTAATTTCATACTCTATAGAATATATTTTTATTTCTTATTTGCATGAAATTTTAACTAATTGTTATTGTTTTTTATTTTAGGCTAAAAATCGAACTAGGGTTCCTGGCCCCGTAAAAAAGAAGACCAAGGTTCGCGCCATTTGGGGTAAAGTAACCAGGACCCATGGCTGCTCTGGAGCAGTAAGGGCCAAGTTCAAGTCTAATCTCCCGGCCACTGCCATGGGCAGGAGAATTAGAATTGTAAGTGAAATTTTTAATGCTAAGCTTGTAGAATAGAATAGAAAAATAAACTTTATTCAGGAACAAAGTCCCCTTAGAAGAATAACAATGATGAACAAATACATATTTGGCCAAAAACTAACTCAATAAAAATTCTAACAATATATACAGTAATTTAAATTATAATGTGTAACAGACTACACAAAATAGAAATACAGTCTTTTCAATAATATTTACAGTTGTAATCTATGTTAAAGACTTCTGATTGCTTTTAATGATTTTTTTTTCTTTTATGGAAATTATAGCAATAACTTAAGATCTCTCAGTCTAAACAAGTGTTTTAATTCTCTTTTAGAATTGTTTTTAAAACAAAAATTCGTTCTTTTTATTTTATTTGAGGGCGTTTTCTTCATGATTGAAGTTTCCCTCAGCCAAATTCCTCCTTCAATTGGTTCAGTTCCTCCATTCTGTCCATCACTCCCACCTCATATTGAACTGAACCCAAGACACTTCATAGATTGTTAGTGGTACAGTTTTTTTTATTCTCTATTTATTTCCTTTATTGCTCTCACTAAATCAGCGCCAATGCCAGCCCTTTCAAGAGCTTTCCAAAGTAATTTCTGTGGGACAGTATTGTATGTTTTTTTGAGGTCTATAAAGATCATATCTAGTCTCTTTGATTTTTCAGCTTGCTTTTCTAAAATCTGTCTTGAGAGTAAATATATGATCAATGCAGGATTTCCCTACGTAAAGCCTCACTGTTCTTCGGTCTGAGCAAAAGCATTTTTTTGATTGTTCTGACAAGCATCTTCATTATTTGATTTTTTATCATTTTAACACACATATTATTATTATTTTTGGTCCTCCCCTTCCCCACCTTTTAGGCTATACAAGGTTTTCCTGGCCCTGGGAGTGAGGGTGGGGATTCAAAAGACTCTCCCGTCACCAGGACTCGAATTCATGACTGTTTTTTTTTCTAGTAATCTCATGTATCAGGTTGCTGGGCATCGGTGGTGCTGTGCACACATGTTAGCCCATTTGTCCACCCCACCCACTATACATTTTCTTCTATAGTTACTCTTTCCTTTCTTGAAAATTGGGGTGATAAATCCTAGCATCATCTCTTTGCGTATAAAGTCTCCTTTTAGAATTGCATTAAGGACTGTTAGTAGCTTAGCAACTTCACTAAAACTATATTTAATTAGTTCAAAGGCTTCCCCATTTTTTAACTTCTTGATTTCTACACCCAGTTCTTGTGTAAAATATAGAAAAGTGTCAGTGAAGGGATCTCCTTCTCCTCTTTCCTTAAATTCATGTCTCCTCATTTAATAGAATTCTAAAGTATTGAGTTGTCCGGAAAATATTGCAGGATTTTGTTTTAAAAAGAAAGGTTTATAACTGTTTTATTTAATAAAAAAAGACCACTATCAATTTCATGCAATACATTTATGCCAATATGTTGGAAACTTTTCCATTCCCTTGGAATAGAATTTTCCATCTTTAAAATTGATGAACTCTAAAAATGCATTTTCTAATTCCCTTTGTCCAATAAATTATTTTCATGTAATTAGTGGTCCAAGTGTCATAAAAAATGATAATCTGTAGGCAAGAGATTATCCGGCCATTCCGCCCGAGTTTTAAACTCTTGAAACAATATTATTCGAAAATCATGCGTTGACATCTTAGTAAAAACTTAATTATTTCTAAGCAGCATAATGCTACAGAGGTAAATAAACATTATCGTTTGGAAGAGGATTAATAAGTGTTGACATTCATTCAAATGAATAATCTATCATTGACTTTAGTTCTCATCATTGAATCTTCTGTTGTCATGCCATGTGAATTCATGAATGTCAATGTTCATAGGTGTTGTTTATCTCTAAATCCTGTTGTTTACAAATCTGTATTAACCTTTCTCCATTGCCATTTCTTACGGATTCACTAAATTTCACTGTACCAACCCGTGCATCCATGTCACCTGGCAGGAATATTTCCTTCCGTCAGGGAATTTTTTCAAAGACTTGCCTTAAGTCTTCCCAGAATTTATTTTTGATATAAGCATTTTGATCATTACTTGGTGCGTAAACACCTATGATTTGTAATGAATGAAATCACGTATGAGAATTGTAGTGAATTTAATTCTTCAGAGCAAGTCATTTAATAATTTTGTTTGAAATATTGCTTTGAGGGAAAATATTTCCTGTATGCTTGCAGAAGATCTCAAATTAAGATTTAGTAAGTGAGAAACATTCTCCATGTCTAATCATGAAGTTATTGGCCTAAGACATTTGGCATCCCTGGGCAATTACTTCATCCTTCTCCCTTCCTAAAGAAAATTACATTCATATTTCTTAAGCTGTTTTGTATCGATAATATTTTTATTCTATTATAGTTCATTCAATTTCTATATAATTCTGTTGCTGTATTAAAAGGCTAAAATTGAGTTATTGAGTCACATATACATATACACTATTGTGAATTTCCCATAAACTTTTTTAAAAAATAGTAGAATAGTATAATTTTTGCTGAAGAAAAAAGGGTGCATTAATTTTGTCCAATAGTAGAGAGAGAATCACTTTATTATCATAAAATAAAATGGTGCTGCCCAATTACATTAGGTTGCTAACAACACAGCATACTTATTAATCACTACAGACAATATTTAAAATTAATATAATATATATAATATTTAATTGATTAATATAATATATTAGTCAATTAAATATTATATTATATCAATTAAAGTTTTAAGATTGACTAAAGTTGGTTCTCTATACTAAGGACTAACGTTACAATTATCTATAATGCCTGGATACATCTCTTATGGTGATATTGTTTTGTTTCTCATTTAATTTATTAGTTATTTTTTTATGTACATTATTAATTTTTGATCTTACTTCATATTATATCAAATTTTTATATTTACTAACTTAAAAGCAATTTAATCTTAATTTTTCATCAGACTTAAGCAATGACTTTTTATGCGATTTATAGTTTTTATATTTTTATTATAATAAATCTAGAGATTTTAATTTTTTTTTTTCTATTTTGTTTCAGATGCTGTATCCTTCTTTGATTTAATTTTGAAAATAAATTTTTATTATTTCACAATGGTTTAATCAATTTTTCCTATTCTAATTGACTTATAAATACCTAATTAGGAAAATGATTCCTTATATTTTAAGTTACAATATAATAATGTTACTGTGAATACTATAACTTGGTAGTAAACATAAGATTGGTTGGTTATTTGTTTAATATGAAAGCCGTAGAAGAAGTTTTTTAATTCCATAAACTGTCAAAAAAAAAATAGTTAAATTCTCACAATTGTCATGTTTGTCTTACATATTTCATGAGAGGAAGTTGTTTTTTATTTCATTAAGAGTGGTGAACTAAACAAAAAAAGTGGATGGATGGAATAACATTTTTATGCAAATTTAATTTCCTCCTTGAATTTTTGGTTAGACACTCCAAATATGAGTAGATCCTTTCTCCCTATTTTACAAAAAGATGTTCTGTTTGATATTACTAAATTAATTTGTATCCTTGTACTATGAGGTCAGCGTGTGACTGCATGTTTAAGGCAATTTAATAAGCTGCAACATTTATATTATGTTATTTGATAACACTTCCTTCTGAAGATAAATTCTCATTGGGTACTCTTGAGTAAGGTGTACTGGTACTGGAAGGAGATTATAATAAAACAACTTTGCACCAAAAGTAACTACATTTTCCTCAAATAAGCCATACAAAGTTTTAGTATGAAATTGTAAAAATTATGGAAAAAATGGAGAGAGGGACATACTATTGAATTTTAAAGATAATCAATATAATCGTTGTCTGAATAAACATTTGAGAAATGGCAAAAAGAACAAACTAAAACCTATCATAAATATTTATTAATATAAAAAGTCATCAGCAATATAAAAAGCAGATTAGTCATCAATTCCCTTCCATGTATTAATATACTGTTTAACAAAAACTTATAATACAGAAGATGGGTTAATTAAAGATTATTTTTAGTTGACAACATTGTGTATAGAAGTATTTAAGGGTGTATAACAGGTAAAGGAGGGTAGTTTTCACACATAAGAGTTTAGTTAACCCTTTAGATGAGCAAAGCCAATATAGTGGCTCCAGAAAGACCATGCTCCTGGTGTGCAGAGCCAATATATTGGCTTTAGTTTTGTATCCTTCAGTAATGCAAAACCCATACCCATGGTTTTTGCAGTACTGTACCAGATACCCCATGAGTCATAGATAGTTGCTAGAACCACTAGATAGCGTGAGATGTATTATTTAGTCGCAGATATCCATTGGATGAGGAGTCTGACCTCAACCCTTCAGATGAGGAGTCTGATCTCGACCCTTCGTATACCTGCTTCCATCCTTTTTCACCTTTACTAGTTAAAATTGAGTTTTAAATTTTTTTCGTAGTTAAAGTATCTGTAATAAAATTTACTCTACAATGAAACGTTTTTAAAATGTTTCCATATCAGAAGTTGGTTAATAATGAAAAAAATTCAAATTAAGAATAAAAAATAATGACACTAAATGTTGGAGTAGAGGTTTACTGGAGGGAATTCCAAATCAACGCTGCGGTGGGTAAAGATGGAACAAATTTCGACAAAGAGATAGCGGTGATCCTCATAGCCTTAAGAACATTGTCTAGAAGGTGGGACCAGAGCATCTCAAGCAGCCATCCTTGCTGTTACAAACACGAATGAATGTCTATTGAGTGCAAATCCATCCTCTCTAACCTGACAATCCGAGGCACCAATGTGGTCCTTCAATAGATCCCCAGCCATTGTGGGATTTTGAGAAACGTTGAGGCTGATAGTCTTGCCAAGCAAGGAACAGATTTTCCTCAGCCCATACATCCAAAACCTTACGATTCAATATGGCGAATGGTAAAGATGGTAGTGAAGGAAGAAATTAGAAAAAGCACACCTGAACAAAGAGGAAGGGAAACGCTATGAGTGTTTGAAGGATAATCCGATTCCAGCTGAACTACCGAGATAGGAGCTGCAGTTACCTGCTTCCGCCTGGCTACTGGTCACGACTATCTGCTGAGTCATCTCTACAAGATAGGCGTGGCTGAGGATCCTTAATTGTAAATTGTGTCATCAAGGAACAAGGGATGCAGACCATCTAGACACATGTTCTGCCTTGATGGACATAAGAGAAAACATATTTTCAAATATTTATATTAAAAAATTAAATTATACTGGACAGCAAGAAGTTGGATGACTAAATGACCAACGACTTTGGCATAAGAAATTTCTTATACAAACTGAATTTATTGTAAGATTCAATTATTTAATTATCAATCTTTTATTTGTTAATATACAATACTGTTATTGTCTTTCAAAGAGAAAGTCTAATATCTGTTGGATTGTTAAGTTTTCAGTGTGTGTTAAATGAATTATTAAGGGAAACATTAGAAATGGAAAAAGGAAAATAGGAATAGATTTGAAACAGTACATTAACTTTGTAAAACAAAATTTAATAAACATAACAATTTCACTTGATTTCATGTACTACACATACTACGCAGTAGTAATAAAAAAAAAATTCACTTAACATTAGAAAATCCATTATTACAAAAACAGTACAACCTATTGGTAGGTTTGCAGAAATTAATACAATAAATTATTTTATATATAAGGTAACTTAATACATACACAGATCATAGTTAATCTTTTTTTTGTTTCCTTTCTTGAGATACTGTTTCCCTTATTCTGTTGATCACTTTGGTTGTCAGCTTACCAGGCACTTTGAATATACTCTAACAATTAAAAAAAAAGAGGAATAAGGTTATACAATTTAAATATTAAAACAACAAAAAGTAACATTTAAAATGAAAATTAAATTCTCGTAATAACCTGTGAAACAAAATTTATGAATAAGCTTTACCAGCCACCACTCAAACTTTGTATTCCATTATTCCTGACAGAGCAAACTTTCTGTATTCTTAAGAGCAACTAATGATGTGATTTTTAAAAAATATAAATTTATATTTTTAAAAATTGATTGTTAAATTTTTTTTTAAAATGAAAATATGCAGTTTTAAATGACTGAACATGCAAGCCAGAGCCAGTTAATACTAGCAATCACATGCACTGAGCTCTGAATATAACAAAGTATAAATTCATTAATAGATATAACGGGAAAGACCAAGAAGTTAATTGTGAAGCTATTTTTTTCAGACAATCATATATATATTTCTCTCTCTCTTTAATGAAAATAATTTAATTATAACTTGTGCCTTAATTAATCTATGTGCCAAGTTAAATCTACATTTCATAAGGAAACATCTGAAAATAAGAAATCCTCTGGAAAAAAAAAATAAAATAATAAAAACTTATGAAGAAGAACATACCACCACATATGCTATGTATTGTAGCAACTGCTGATCAAACTGAAAACACTTTGCTTTTTGTAAACACTCTTTCACTGATAGCTCTTGAGTTGTTGAATATACAGTAAAAGGATCGGTTATAGATGGATGCACTTACCCAACTCGCCTAGTATTTGTCACAATGTATTGATGTCAGAGTTGCAGACTGGCCACTATATAGTATGTAAATTGATCTCATTAGAGTATAACAACATTTGATTGTGGAACAAATATGAAAGCATCACTGATGTAGTGAATGGCACTACCTAATATTCCAGGATGTTAAATATTTACTTCTGTACAGTTAGGACCCCTCTCCGGAACAAAAACGGATTGGTTTTAACCTCTGATATATCCCACTCACCCCAAAACCATTACTGACCATGATGCAAGAAGCTTCTAGAGAGATGATACTGTAAAAAATGTTGACCTCGCCTTCTTCACACTAAATCAATAAATGAATCTGGAACTGCCTGAAAACATTACTCCTGTCCAGTCCAATTCTTTTTGTGTCCAAGCTATTTGTTCCAGAGCAATCCTAAGCATCCAAGCAGACTAAGCATAATGACGCTAACGTACTACTTCAAGAAAATATTTAAGCTTGCAGTAATACATGCTACACAATCACGAACAATATATATAAAATTCTTCATTAAAAAAAAAAAATATATATATAAAATTCTTCATTAAAAAAAAAAATATATATATATATATACACACACACACATATATATATATATATATATAAAATTCTTCATTAAAAAAAAAAAATATATATATATATATATACATATATAAAATTCTTCATTAAAAAAATATATATATAAATACCTGCGTGAAATTATGGCAGTGAACTGTAGGAGGTCCTTTTACAATTTTTTTCAAACAATCATTCATTTCAGAAAATTGAGTAGTAGAAAGTATTTCAGAAATATGCAGGCCAATTATTGTTAAAGCAACCCGGAAAACAATTTTTGATCCTTCATTGAAGAGACAATCCCAAATCCTCAACACAGTCTATAAAACAAAAAAAATTGAAGTACAATAAAACATCATAACATTAAATTAAAGTTTTCATTTTATACCTCGGTTGGAAGAACTTCACAATAAATACATATGAACCATTTTGTTGTAATAACAGGCCACGGGAGACCCAATTCAGCAACATGCTTACTGACTTCAGGATATTTTAATCTAAAAAAAAAAAGTATGCATAATATGACTATCAACATTGTAATAATTAAATCAGTCAAATAGTGTAAGATGAACCGAAACTTCAATATGGAAAAATTTTACTCACACATCTGTAAATTATTAGAACTAAAACATAGATATAAGTACTTTACAAAAGTATAAAATTTTATTAGTCTCAACTATGTATTAAAAAATTAAATACAAATAGTTTTAGAATATATTATAATCATATCATTAGTTATTGTGTTGGTAAAAATACTTAACAATTATTTTATATAGAAAGTTTAAAATTTCATAATAATACAATTTTTAACTCCAAGAGACCAATTCATTTTATTTTTATTATTTTGTCCGAATATCATTTAGTATTTTGAACTGCAACTGAGAATTAAGGGTAACTATTAAAAATATAACAGAATAAATAAAAAAAAAAAACCTTATGTATTTAATTGTCATCTTATGAATTAATCGAAATATATTCCATATTTGCTAAATTTATAGTTCATAAATCTATCAAAAAAATATAATTTTAAACAGCAAAAAAGTTGAATAAAAAAAAACAGCTAAAGAGTTAACAAAGGTTTCAATGCAGGTTTCAGAAAAAAAAAAACTTTATAGGATCGAGCATTTGATTATAAGGCATTAATAATGTTAATATTAATTGTTGTACACAAAAAATATTAATAGGGAAAGTTGTCTCTGTACATTTTACTTCATTTCTATGTATCAATTCCAAAAACTATAAATTGAGGAGTATACACAAAAGTATGGGTTTATTTAAAATGGAAAAGTAAAATCATTTGACGCTTCTGGTTGAAGATATATTTATTTACACCTTAGGAATCTCCCGCTAATTAAAATTGAGATACAGATTACACATGCAAAAAATAAAATAAAAATGTATATAAGTTTTGGATTGAATTGCATAATTTTTTTTCACATACCTTGTGATAATGAAATACAACTACTCAACTATTGTTACAAAAAAAAAAAAAAAAATCATAAGGTCTCTACTCAAGGGATATGGGAGACAGTTCATAGAGGAAAGATGGGATAAATCATTAACAAGACATATCTATACTAAAAAAACAAAACAAAATACAAGTTGAAAATACACATTCAATGAAAAGTAGTCAGCTACAATATTAGTTTTACTATACTAATGTTAGCATATAGTCTCTTAATAGTAAATAAAGTATCAGTAATAATAGTAATGAAGTATATAGATATTATAGATTTACCACAATAAATTTTTAAAAAAAATACAATAAGATAAAAAATTAAGATATTAAAGTGGCAAGGGAACAAGAGAGTAAGACAGTAAAGTTAAAAGGCTAATATTGACAGGAGAGGACCCATCAAAACAATGTTTTAACAATAGTCAGCAGAGCATGAGAAAGATTCACTTGCGGTAGTATTTCATTTACAAATGAAAAACTATACATATTATTTTTAAAAGGATTGAAGAATAACAAGATAGCAAATAAACAGTAATATATCCTAACAAAGGTTAAAAAAAAAATTAATTTATGTTTCAATAACTTCAGAGTCAATAGGCTCATGATCTTAGCTTTCTTGAGAACTAGCTCAACGACAGGTGTAAAATAAGATGAAACCTGAGGCACAATAAATCACTAGATCAAATTATTCAATACAACATAAATAAAGAAACGTAAAGGGTAGTTAAAGAAATCTAAAAACTCAAGTTGAAATAATTTTATTTTGTTGATCAATTCAATTTGTATATAATAAATAAGAAATTATGGTTTTGAGTGACTGCAGTTGCAACACAACACATTTATCTATAATCTTCAATAATTGAAGAAGAGCAAACGTAACTAAGTGATCCACAAACTAAGATATCCTTTATATATACTCGTAACTAATTGGTTTAATGACAATCTTTAAAGAATACTGAAATAAAATATTATAGAACTTACCATGACTGCTAAATTAATTCTCAGGCAACTCATTTAAATGACAGGAATAATCTGAAAATAAAATAAGGTACAGAATATAAAATATAACTACCAATTCAAACCAATTGGAGTATTCTAGCGAATTATTGTTGATTTCGCAAGCATGTAGACAGAGGTAGCTCAAGTTCTTTTATTATTTAATAAAAATACAAATTATTATAAATTGCTAAGGAAACCTAAACAACAAGCATTGTCATTGCAAAATTTTAAGATAAATGGATAAAGTCTAACTTCTCTATTTTGTTATAGAGAAAGAGTTTAGATAAAAAAAGCTCAATTGGGTACTTAAACGAATTTTAAATTTTTATTTGTTGGTAAATATTAATTTATAGCAATACAAATGCAAAAAGCTCCAAAATTTTCTGACACATATTTGTAAAGATAATTGGTGTTAAAAAAATGGTGGGAACGGAGCTACACCTGGAGTCATGCCCTGCCAGTGCCTAGCTCATACAGTTGGGTATAATACTTTTTAGCTTATAATAATGTTTCCAGCTTCAAAACTTCTGTCCAAGAAATATCTTTCTGCTTTTTTTCTAACTCTTTTGTCTCTAAATAAAAATGTATTTTATTAACTTTTATAAATGCATGTTTGTAAAGTAGAGCTAAAAGATGTTTGATATGTTTAGTAGCCATATAAGTCATGTTGACTCCAGTCAACAATCAGTCCCATCCATGCCTCCCAGATGCACTGTTATTTTAAGTTTTAAACATAATATAAACTTTTTTTCATTGTTTAAAAAGAATCATTACAATCATAATCTTATATATGTCCTTTATCAATTGAATTCTATTGCAGCTCTAATTTACATAATTTTTTTTATGCAAGTAACTAATTTAAGGCTTACGTTAAATATTGTGGTATGCGGCTGGGCACACAAATTATTTATTCTTGAATTCTTTATTTAAAAAATATAATTTTCATTCTGATATAAAAGGATATATTAGACTTGGTATATCTAGTGCAGGTAACAATATTACTATTCTAATACATACATTTTATTGCATAAATTCAAATTATTAATTTTTTATATTATTGTAAGTAAATCATCAGAAATTATAAAAGGTAAAAATATTGATAAAAAGAAGTGCCTTTCCTATACAGAAATAATTATTGTGAAAATGGTAGGGTTAGGAGGGGAGAAGTACAGTATCTGGTATGGCAATCTGTTGAGCTGAAAGACCAGAAATCCTCCAAAATTTTATCAAAATAGGATTAATAGGAGTAGGTGATATTTCCGAGGGGCTAATGTGTATGCAAAACATGCATTACTGGCAATCTGATTATCCAAAGATTAGCTGTTCGAATCTTGGTGGCGGGAGGGACTTTTAACTCTGGCTGTAATCCCCAATCCCTCGGAAAAATACCGTATAGCTAAAAGGCGAGAAAGAGAATAAAAAAAATGTAGATGATATGTCCATCATATGGATTTAATTAGACACAAAACCATATTTGTATCTTGATGTCAAAAACATGGATGGAAATATGAGCAAAAAATGCATAACTTGTCATATGAATAAAATATTTAGTGTTGCAGCTATAAATATTCATTTTTTTGGTGAGGGATTTATACAAAAATTTTCCTTCAAATCTTTACGACTATTTCTATTTTATATATACATTTCTTCAATTGGTAGTTTCACAGATTTATGTAGAATTAATATAAGAGAAGTCATATTGTAAGTATCGCATGTATCCTCATGCACTTTTTCATTGCAGACAACGCTCTAACAAAAGTATGTTAATCTTCACGTGCATTATTGAAGAAAATATTTATATACATAGTTTATTTTCATAATTTTGCATATTACATCAGTGAATTATTGTAGAAATTTTTATTACCCAAAAATCACCTTAATTATGGAGTTTGACCAAATAAAGAAAACAAAAGTGATTAATGAATCATTGAAGGAAGTTAGTTGACTGTTCTACATATCATGGATGATAAATATTCAGGACGCAGTCTTTTTTTTTTAATTCTTTATTTATGCCAACGTTTCAACCCAAACATGTGGGTCATCTTCAGGGCGTGGTTTGTGCACTGAGGTTAAAGAAAAATTTTAATCCCTCAGTGCACAAACCACGACCTGAAGATGACCCACCTGTTTGGGTTGAAACGTTGGTATAAATAAAAAAAATTTTTTTTTGAAAAAAGACTGGGTCCTGAATATTTATCACCCACAAAAGTGATTAAGTAAAGAAAACAAAGGTGATTAAGTAAAGAAAACAAAGTTCCGTAAATCAATTCAAATGGTAGGGTAAGAGGTTGAGGGCAGATATATTTTTGCTCCTCTTTCCAACAAAGACACCATTAAAAATCTGAACTTTCCACTTTCATATAATTAATTTGGTAGATAAGACAGTCATACTCTAGGAAGATTGAATTTATTTCTGGGAAAAGTCAATGGACAAATTTTCCAACCTATTCTAGTTGAAAATTTTAAGGGTATTAAATTAAGTAAAAAAATAAAATTGTAATTAGTTTAAAAAATACAAAATTAAGCAATATAACTTACCTCTTGTTGATATATAGTCAAATCTTCAAAACAATACGACTCACTAACATAACATTCAGTAGAAAGATGTAAAGATCCCATTTTGATAAGTTAACATCCAGGACTTACCCAACTTTCTATACATATTTAATCATTTGTGTATATAATTGTAATTAATCACTAAGTTTACTAGATTCCATACAAAGTATTTAATGTGCATCATAAATGCTTGAGCTGAAGAGACCCACCCAACAAATATCTTCAATGTTCTCCAATATCATGATTATTAAAAATATTGTAATAACATAATTCGTAACTTGTATGTATATTTATTTGTGATAACAGTCTAAAGAACAGCCTAAATCAGTCTTCCAAACTTCATTGCTATTACGAAATTGGGTCATGAGAAGATGTTCATACTTTATAGTTTGAAAAATATTTGAATTCTTTATATATTTTTCATTATTTTATGGAAAGATAGCTTCTCATAAAAAAGTAGATTTCTTTTAACTGCATTTTTATGTCTCAAGTGATTTGTGAACACTTCATTTGAAAAATATAGAAGTGGGGCTAGTAGAATGGAAAATACTTGGGGGCAAATGGTTCAAAATCGGGCCATTGAAAAATTGACTAGTGTAAGGCAAATTAATCCATTTGTTTAAATTATAAAACAATGGAACTAGGAATATGAATGCAATAATAAAATAAGTTAACCAATTTTGTTAAATGATTTTGAGAATTTTAAAGTGGTAATTAATAGTTTATTAAGTAATTTTTCTAAAAATTAAATAGTAGAAAATGTTTTCTGGGATTGGAGTTATATACTGAAACATAAAAATATTCTTTAAAAAGATGTTTATAAATGATAAATAAAGGAAGATTATTTTGGCTTTACAAATAAATAAATCCCTTTTTTTCCCCATTAAGGAAAGTTAACAAATTATATATATATAAAAATATAAAATTTAATAAATAATGATTATAATTTCTGTCACTGTTTTGGGCTAGCCAAATGTTCTGATATTATATACATATATATAGTACTTTTTTGTTATAGCCCCACCAGTAAAAAATCTTAATTTTTTTTTTAAATTAAAATTTAAACATGTCCATAAAAAAACATATGATTAAATATAATTTTGTGGACCCTGAAACTTCTGCCAAAAATCAGAAAGTAGAAAGAACGTAAGGCTCTGCTAAATGGAATAATAACAAAATTCGTGGAACCAACAGAACTTTACTAGATTCCTATTTAGCAAAATTTATGTGACACCAAAAAATTAAACGACTGATCGATTTACCTCAATTATAAAATATATTCATTATTTTTACAATGATTGTCTTCTTGTTAATAAATCATTTTTGCACTATGTTTTTAATTTCAATTTTACAATATTATAATTTTTTTAAAAACTTATTTTTTTTACTGGTGGGGAAATAACAGATAACACTAGACATTAATTATTCAAAACATCTAGATGATAGGAGAATTGGAGCTCGCATATATAAGCTCTCTAGACTGGTTATCATTATTCCAATTAGTAATTAGAAAGTTTTGAGTAAGTGAATGGTGTGAGGTAGTGTTGCGGTAGAAGAGTTATTAGTGATAAGGTTACATCCTTTGCATAAGTGTCAATCCAGTAAGGATTGTATTTTAAAGTAATTTAAATTGTAATCCATTGATAACAATAATCAATTGTTAAATTTATTTATTCTTGTTGTTAATAAAAACTGTCTGAAAGTAGTAATATTATATTTAGTGACACAAATAGGAATGAGCATGAGACATATTACAATATATACATAAGAAAATCCAAAATTATATTAAATATCATCCTACTTTCAATGTCTGCATTGAAAAAAAAAAACATTTTTTTTTTTTTACAAATAGGTGGATTCTAAATAAAGGAAAAGGATTTTTTTCAGGTATAATTTATAACTCTGAAATGGAGAAGGGGTGAGACCCTAAGATAAAACCTTTACTGTTGAGTAGTTGCACAGAAATAACATTACTAATTAGAAATAATCAACATTGGATTATTGTTAATAAATGCAAATTTTTTGTTCAGATTTGAATAAATGCTGCTTTGACTTGTAGTGTTTTCAAATATTTATAAAAATTAAATTAAAAAGGAATATGATAAAAAATTAACAAACCTGACTAACTCAGATACAGTATCAATATCAGTCAGCAGACCATCCATTGTTGGACTGTAGTAGTCAGGAAGAATGTTCTCCACTAATGCCTAAAATGAAATTGATAAAGTAATATTATCGATATAATGAAATAAAAAAATACTTGAATTAAAAAAACCAAAAAAAAAAAACCTAACTACAGAAGTTGGGAAATTCTATCCACCTTACGGGATTGTACTTCCATATCTACTTAAACATCTTGATAGATTAAGGAGGGAAATTGACATCTAAGTATTTTTAAACTGTAGTTGGGTACCTTTCACTACAGATTACAACTCCTAACAAATTTCGTTCCATGTATCAGTGCATGTCAATATTCAAAAGAGTCAGAGTTTTGTTGTGGGTGTGTTAGGCGCCCGACTACTACACTAATTTTTAATATTCGGAGATGTAAATTTCCCTATTAATCTACCTAGATGTTTAATGGATACAATTTCTCAATTTCTGTCAGTTTTTTTTTTTAAATAAAAACAATTTATTTTCATAACATATATTCACATGATATCATTTTAAATCAATTAATAATCAAGATACTTACACTATAATAATTTTTTTTTCTCAGAATTTTGAACTTACATAGTTTCAAAACATTCACGGGATCTCACTGAGTAATTAGAGCCTTCAAAGCTAAAAATCGGTCCTACCATCTGCTCAAAAACTCATTATGTACCAGATAGCGGATTGATTAATCCTACTTAATTCAGTAATTTGCAAGAATTTAGAATTTGAATTGCTTCAAAACTTTCAGGGAATCTCACTGAATAATTCGAGCCATCAGACTTAAAACATGATCCAGCCAATCACTTACAATTTACAATTTTTTTTTTGCAAATTGATTAAATACATTTTATTTAATAATGGGTTAGTATTTTAAGCTCAAATTGTTTCAAAACACTCAGGATATTTCACCAAATAATTTGAGCCATCAAACTTAAAAATTGATCCACCCGCACGCTCAAAACAGTGTTACAGAGCCTCAAGCGGATAGCCCAAACACATAACCCTCGTTTCGCTTCGCTTAGTGGGGTAATGAAGGATAAAATCAAATATTATTGTTGATGAAATTGTCAGTTGAGTTGTCCTAATTTATTAATAATACAACTTGAAAATCTAAATGTAATATTTGATATAATTTTAATAGTATATACATTGATAGGTTGATTGCTATAATTTAATTGGGAATTAATTTTTATTCAGATAAAATCGAAGGAAGTCTTTTATACTTTCCTACTGCTACTAGGTAAGGAAAATATTTCAATTGGGTCAAATTTCCGATGTGCTATTTCAACAGATCTTTACGTTCATCTTTGTTGTCAGCTGATGGTAATGAATAATAATTTTCCCATCTTCAATTGTTGATTTTTGTTTTAGAGAATGCCACATTAACGGGCAAAAAAACAGTACCAAGAGGGAATCTTTTCTATTTCAAATTAGCATTGAAGTAACAGACTTATCTTAAAACCAAGAAGTAAAAATCTAGTGTGGTGCGCGCATCACAAAACATTCACTTACCATCCTCTTTTTAGCAGAAATAAGTATTTTCAGACCTTAGTAAGTGAAAGTAAAAATTATAGACGTTATGAAAAATTATTTAAAACAATTAAATACCATATCTTTTTGATTGACATCAACTGTATTATATTACAATGGATATTTCCTTTTACAAATGCATATTTAAATTATCTCTTTGATTATAAAAAATAATTAAGTGCCATGAAATATTTTAATCCGACAAGAGTGTCACTGATAAAGAATGGTGCTATATTTATTTATTATTGGTATTTTTATTTGGCAAGTTCTGATAATATACAAATTTTTATTTTTATATTGCTGTAATCTATAAAATTAAATATTAAATAATACAAATGATAGCATTTATGAAAACCGCATATGTTTATGAAAAATGACATCTTATCATGGGTATGTAAACGCTGCAGAAATGATAATGTGCACAAGCATACACAATGTTATTAAAGTGAGGATATTTAATAATTTTTTGTGATTAAAACAATGTACTTAAAATTCATAAAATAATAATTTAAAAATTGATTATCTTTTAGTAAACGACAAGAAATTTATCTGCAGCAAATACCTTATGGGTAATTGGCAAAATTACTGTGTCATAATAAAAAATATATAATAAAATACCACAAGAATGTTAAAAAAAAATCTGTTTACTTTAAGAAGCCAAAACGTTGAATCTTCATTTTTGGTAACTAGAAGTATTAATCCAGCAATGTAATTCATTCCCTACAAAACAAAAATTGCATTAAATAAATAAAAATATTGAGTAGTGTAACAAAAGTCAAATATTAAATTATTAACTACCTGGCAGTAGCCTACTTTCTTATTGTGGTGCGCATATGCAATAAGAACCCTAAACAACATTTCTTGATGCTCATCAGATGAATTGAAAAATATATTGTCTGGAAATGTTCTTGGCAGATCAATCCTTATTGCTTCAACAAGAGTAGTGTCATGGGTAGAAGCAACCATTTTTTTGTACAGATCAACACCATGTTTTATTTTTGCTTCATTAGCTCCACTGACATGCAGCCATACCTAACAAATCTGTTATTTATTGAAAATTATTGGTTTTTTGAATAAAAGTAAAAAAAATTGTTTGTTTCAATCAAAATACTTACTTTTTCACGATACTCATTTGGAATACCTTTCCTGATATATGATTTAAGAATTCGTTTTTTTTTTAATGCCTGTTCTGATTTCATCAAAGTAGTCCATTTTTTGGATCTTCTAGCCAAAATTTGAAGGTATTGAGACATAAATGTCTCATAAGTTTGATAATCAAAATCATCAGGTCTTTCAAAACCATATTCATCAATCTTGCTAAAATAATTGAAATCAAACCCAAGAGCGATGACATAATATTTTATGAATATAAAACAAGGTAACTAACATACCTAAATCGTGATTGAGCCATCTAATAGTACCTCCTAAGGTATATACAGATCCGACCTGAGTGATCATAGATTTCCTATTTAAAAGGAAAGCGCAGCGATAAAACTAAAATCTTAACAAAATTAACTTTTTAGGGCAGAAACGTAACACCAACTTCTCCATCCTCTGCCCCACCAATGGAAACTCCCTCCGAGGTTATTCCAGGTTACCAGCAGTGTAGCCTGAGATTAGGCATGTTTCTAAATTTAGCGCTAAGCTCATCGGTGGTATCGTTATGCCCAGTTTAGAGTTTTGGAACTTACTCTTCGTTGCACTTATCAGTCATGTATAATTGTAGATTTTAATGGTATGTTAATGTAATTTTTTTAATGCAATTTTTAGTTTTTTTAGTTTCCAGTATCAGGGGGACCGTTTAGCTGCGTTAGTGGAAGGAATATTTTTATTTTTAGTAATTAAGATTCTGAATTCTTAGTCAAAATTTGATTGGTTTTATAAATAAATAGTAGAATAAAGTTTAATTTATGTTATAAAGAGATTATTGTGTTTTACATTAACTTATAATGAAAAAAATTATTGGACAACTTCCGATTCGTGTTCAGCGCCCCAAAAAACATTTGAAAGGCCACTGAAAACAATTACAATAGTGGAAAAAAAAATTCCCCTCCTAGCCCTTTTTGAACCTAATTTGACTGGACTACATTAATCGAATCTCTAAACAGAAAGTAATAATTTTAGTTTCCTGTCCAATGTCAATAAAATTGTCATGTCAATTCTTATTTTGTAAGAAATTTAGTCCTCTACAAGATTTGTTATAAACCATTTTGTTCTAGACTCCATTTAAATGTAGTTATTAAGCCCACCTTTACCTTATTGAATCAATAATATGAAGCAATATTCTTGAACGTTGTATAAACAGTACAAATGTCAATATATTGGGTTGACAAACAAGTCCTTTCGGTTATTTAAATCGGAAGAGTGTTGTGTTTCACCAAGACAACGCAAGGTCCCACACCTCAGTGTTCACTCGCAATAAATTATTGAGCCTTGGATGCCACCTTTTGTCCCAGAGGTATTCACCAGACCTTGCTCCAAGTGACCACCACTTATTCCGGTCTCTGCAGAACTCCATGAATGGAAAGAAATTGAAAGGAAGAGGACATCAAAAACTCCTGGATCTGCTTTTTAATAATAAACTCCAGACATTCTATGAAAATGGCATTATGCAGTTAGTGGAAAGATGGGAAAAAGACATATTAAACAATGGTCAATATATTGTTGATTAAAATAAATTTTATGTCTATAATACATTGAGTTTTATTTCATCCTGAAAGAGCGAAAGGAGTTATTTGCCTACCCAATAATTGCTACAATATACCTACCCCTCAGGCGGCCAAGATATTCAATATTGAAAGTGTAAGTTGGACTTCAAGAACCATCAATATAATTGAAGACAATATAGTGAAGGGTCCCCTCACACCTGTCAATTGTATTGAATCAATACTAGAGATATTTACGATCTTTGTTTCTCATAAGAAGTCCTTAGCTTTTGTTTTCTGGACATATATAATAGTGGATTTCATATTACTCTAATTTCCTTGGTCATGATATTAAAAAAATAGTATTTAATAAAAATATCTTCCTATTTTATAATTACAATTAACTATATTTGTTTATAAGTGAAACCATTAATAACAATTTTCATAAAACTACCAATTAATTATTTATCAATTGTTTATTACCAATTACATTGATACGAGTATGCATAGGAATGAAATATTTCTATAAAGTGATTTATATTTTATCTCCATTATAATGTAACCATAATAAATATTGAGGACCAACGATCTAAATTGATCTACAAAGTTTATTTTGTTCCTAGACATTAAAATGCTTCTTGTTTGAAATTGGTTCTCTTTTTGTTTCCTACTTAAGAATTAGTTTCGTTAAAAAAAAATTGTTATCATAAAATATTGTGTGAAAATTAACTTTTGAACAAATAAAAAAAAGAAAAAAAAGAAGAGGGATATTATAATAATTAAATGATATAAAATATTATCATTTATCTTTTTAAAAAAATTAAAAGTAGGGGAGGATAAGGGATCGGATCACATTTACGTTCTACCCAACAGGAATCCCCAAATATCATTTTGCACAGGGCCTCTCAAGATCCTAGAACCGTATATGTGATATAATATTACTCAATATAGCCCATACATGTGCAATTATATTGACGCTGTTTCAATAATATTGAAGGAGTTTCAATAAAAATTATAAACAATTGATATGAACCTGATTTGAGAGGACTACATAAATCGAATCTCTGAACAGAACGTAATATTTTCAGATTCTTATCCAATGCCAATAAAATTGTCGTCCCGAAACAATCCCTAAGACTTATTATCCTAAAACCATATTTCAATTTTCTCATGTAATGAGCAACTTCTTCAATTTAGAGAAAACTGAAGAGTGTGTTATTAATATGGACTGATAAATAAACATCATTCTGTTCTGAAGTGAGACGTAATTTCCTTTTGTTTCATAATTCCTATCGAGGTGGGAATCTACAGATGTGAATAATTAATTTCGCATCTCAATCACATCCTTTTTTTTTTTAAATAGTTGAATTATACATCATGAGAAACAACTGTGTAATAGCTTATCAGATGGTAAGGACTGAAGTTTTCATATGGCTACAAAAATGTTTAGATAGATAGATAGATAGAAAATAACTTTATTCTAGGACAAAGCACCTTGAGAATAATAAAATAGTACAAAATTAAAAGATTAGAACTAGCCTATGTAAAAACAACAGAAAAAAAAAAAAGTAAATAAAACATTAGGTAAACATGGGTTTAACACCGCATCCAAGCACAAAGTTGTCAAGTTAAGAATATGCTATAAGGAGTAATTAAAAGTGTAGTGGCTCTAAATTTGTTTATTTTTTTTATCATTAAGGTATATGCTATAAGGCATAATTCTTTTAGTTAAGGTATAGGCACAATTTTTTATTTTTTTAACGTAGTGGACTCTCAACATTGTGTTCACTATGTAGGCATTAATGCGCTTTGGAAGGTATTTACATATGCTCTTGGCCAAGTGTGAAATAGCAATGATAAAATTAAATAAAAGAATATAAATTATAAATTTTATTTCATTCCATCCGTGCCGGAGAGAAACAAAGACCTCCGTCAAATATTATAGCAAGTATAGGAATTCACCACTAAAAACCAACATTTTCCTATATAATTTTTTTTTTTTTTAAATATATGTAAAGATATTACACAATTATTATAGAATATATGTAATATTTTGTTTTAAAAATGTTCCTCCTCCCTCTCGTCGGGCCTGAATCAGAGAATGTATATAGATTTGTTCGAAGACATTTAAGGAATTTTTAAAGAAGGGATGAAATGGAATACGAGATTGGTAATACGTGTTACAATTGTATAATAAGGTATTTCAATTCAGAGAGAGTTGATGCTAATAAAAAAATAATATTTGTAAGAAGGGTAATTTGATGTTTCAGTTGAGGATTAGGTAAATTTTGAATAATAAGTTGGGGAATTTACTGTTGATGTTGTGGCAAGGCTTCACGTTCTTTGCTTTCGCATCTACTTCCAAGTATTTTTTCGAACGACACTGCCGAATCCACGATTTTAGAAGGTTCTCTTATTGTTTCCTCTTGGCACCGGAGTTTCTGACATCTGGATTTATGATTCTTGTTAATTTTACAGCTTTTGTAGATAGTTGCAATGTACATACTTGAATTCACCAGAAGAATGCTAAAAACGAGGTTACTAAGATATAAAAATCAGTAGACTTTCAAGATAAAAGGTGTCATTGGGCACTTATCCCCTCATGCATCACATGCCAGTTATTTTATGTATTATATTTATATCACATCTGCTAATTGCTATTTCGATACTGTCCCTTCGATGTTTCAATATTGAGTTTTAATTTAAAAATTAAAACTATCGTTTTCGGAAAGCGCTAGGAATTATATATGAATTTGATGGCACAAAAAGTTATACTTATCTTGCTTGTTTCATAAAGAATGTAGTACGTGGTAGAGGAAAATGTCGATATTTCGATAATATCGTGTGACCCTTCTCATTCAGTAAACTCAATTTGCTCAAATACATTAGTTTATACAAATCCGATAGTTTGAATCTTCTCAAACCAAGGTCACGAATTATTAAAGAGATCTATATAAGAAGCAAATAAATTATCATTTCGCTGAATCCGATTTATGAGTGAATGGAAGGCATAATTGGTTGAATGGAAATTTCTGGAAAAAAGCTCAAGATGATGAAAAGGGTCAGAAACTAGAAAAACAGTTTTACTAAAACGAGTAGACGAATTAAAGATAGCATAAAGGAAAATACCATCTTTTATGATGCGTCTATGTGCTAAAGAATCAATATTCATATTTCAAAAATGTTTATACAATCGATGAAAATATCGACTATCGATATTTTAAGCCAGATAATTTGGTGGTATCGATACTTATAGGCAAATATGAATATCGATATTGGGCCTTCGATATCCCATCCCTAGACTAAACTAAGGAGGAAGTGCAATGTTCGAACTTGCACAGACAGAGTTTGAAGCTCAAAGTTCATTATACAGAATATAATGAGTGCGCACAGTAAGCATTGAATAATTTAAACGGCAGTATTTGTTTATTTACAAAATAAATAAAGGGTGATGGGCACCCCTGCCCACCGGAGGATCCAGAGGGAGAGACTTTCGGGCTGAAGCCCTCCCTCCCCCAAAATGGTAAAATATGACCATGTCTTATGAAAAAAATTATCTCTGAAAGTTTTATTGTTCGCCTAATTAAATTAAACATGTCTTCAAGAATCACTTAAACACCATTTCAAGTGATAATTTCTTTAATTTTCTTCCAAAGTAATTGTCGTTACACACATAAAAAATTAAATTATGAATCCGCTAGTGCGCCTGCTTAATTATACATTATTTCTTCTTTAATACTGTTGAATTAGATTTCGTTGATATGTCATTAGATGAGATCATATCAATTAAATTGTTCAAAACAAAGAAAATTCTAATACAAATTCTTTGGCCCAATCAATTAGGTGTAATATTGGACTGTTTTGTTATTTGAAATTGAGCAAATCTTACTATTTAGATAGGTACAATAATAAAATAATGTTTAATATA